TTTTGTCTAAGAATATCAACCCTAAAGTAAAGTCTGCTTGAAAATAACCCCGATACCGAAATTTTCTATTTATTAAAAAATTGAAGAAATTTGCAATCATACAAATTGCAAATGAATGAAATTATAATATACACACTGATAACGACAATACCGATCCCTAATCACGATCATTCGGTATACATTAAACGATTATTTACAAGCGTCTGATTGATCAGCATCGAACCGATCGCGCGTCGCGATACAATTTTAAAGCTGACGTAATCACCGGTATGTCAGGATCGAGGCGTTATCGGTATGCGGTTGTTGCACAGCTAGAAACTACATATCAGGTGTATATAGCCTACGTATCTAAAAGCTCGTTCGTTACAGGTCCGATCGTTCCGAGGACGCGTTCGCGTATCCTTTATTGGAAAACGGAACAAATCGGTGAAGGGGCGTCTAACCGAATCCGGCATCGAGCAGGACAAATTGATGCCAAAGGCGAGTTGGACGTTTTCGTTTAAGGAAAATCCTGCTCGATTACATCGTATCAGTTGCGTAGATTAAAACGCGTTGCGCGAGTTTCGATCGAACCTGTTACGCGATTAACTCGGGTAGGAGTGTTGCGACATGCTCGAACGCGACATCCTGTGACCAAAAATCGCGACACTCGGCTCGTTCTTTGGTGGTTGGAAAAAGGGGTGATGCTAATGAGCGATGGAAAAACATGATCCAAGTTGAACGCACCGCTGTGCCGTTTAATCGCCTCGCCTTCTGACGATGGTAAACACGATAGTTGTACTGATAAATGTTCGTTTGGATGCGAGTTGCATAACGCGGCTACTGTGTTAGGGGATAAATAAAAATTCATGGTACCAGCAGAAGAAAGTTACGAGTGATGTTGGAAATTCTAATGGGGACTGTATAATTAGATTTTGAATTTGATGCGATTCGAATAGTTAATTGGTTCCAGGAAATTGTTGATGCCAATTTCTCCTCGTAGAATTATTTTAAATAGTTTGATTGAAAGATTGTTGAATGAATTTGAGAGGTTGGGAACGATGCAACCAAGGCCGTTGCTAAACGCTTCGTAAGAAACATTGCAAATTATTACATAATCGTGAGCTGACGGAGCGACTACTTCCAAGAATAGACATGATTTTAAAGTTGTACTGTAATTTCATAAACGAGGTTGCAATCTCTGTGTGGATCAATGAATGCAAATGATGCATAAGTCCGTGTTGTTTTGTTATGATTAATTTTTCATAAAAAAAATTAAACAAATTATTATATACTTTTTTAATATTTTACTCTATTTACACCTTTGTCTAAAAAAAGACAGGAACATTGACTTATGCATCAACCCTAACATTAAAATCAACCCTCCTACACAATCCTGAGTACTTCCATCAAGAGCCAGAATTTGTTAATTTTGTAATAAAACATATAATATAATAGAACATTAAAAATATTTTCTCAGGTGAGGTCTACCTACTTCGTGAATAGAAGAAAGGAAAAGAAAATGAAGCGCTCTTATTCGATAGTGCCATCTCTGCTTCTAAGATTCTCCCGCCTACACATTTTCAATATGCCCGGTTTGTTTGACAAATTATTGCGAGTTGCCGGCAATTTCCGCTACGCTGTAAACGCTTGTTAGCATCGAAAGAAAACGCAACAAAGGATCCTGACAAATTTAATATTGCTCTCGAATCAGCAGAGCGTGCCTCATTAGAGTTCGTCTCGGCGTGCCTTCAGCCTATACGACCCTTCATAGGAAGGAAGCCCCTCCAAAGCTTTGGAAGTGGGTAGATAATCACGGATGCTGTGTAGGTGCGTCTTGAACTAGACGGGGTCGAGGGCTTCTCCCGTTTTTCCGCGTATTCGTCGGTGGTACATTCAAAGAACTTTGCCGGTCGGTGAACTTTCGATAAATCGTCCATTGACTTTTAATAAATCGAAACGATAAGCCGTGAACAGGTTGTCCTCTTTAATAACTTAAATCCCTCTAATCACACACGAGCCTGGTGAAATTTCACCAAGTTACGGGTGGTTACGTTTAGCCGACAGTTTGGTCAATATTCTGAGCGAGTTTGGATACAGGATACTTCATAATCGATGGATAAAAACTTTCGCAAAATAGCACTCATGATACATCAATTTGAAGCTTAAAACTTGACGAAAATGACTGCATAAACGGTTCATCAATATTTTTAACACAAGATGAGTAGTTGTGGATTGCAACGAACAATATCGTTCTATTATATCAAGTATCCAATTTTTAAACGTAAATAATTTAAAATTTTGAGATACTTTTATGTCATAAAATAATACCACTTATACCATACCAATTTGAAGCTTAAAATTTAATAAATTATTCTATTTCAGGATACATCTATTTTATTTTCAGATCGATCGAAATCCGATAGAACAGTTTCCCGTATGAAATCAAAGCTTCTGGTGATGTATGAAATTTCAATCGCGATTTAATAACTCGTTTGCCGAGATTAATAAAGTGTGAAACTTCTTTGCACACACGTTTAGCTAAACTAAAACTTGTAGGTAGATAGATATCTTTGTCAGACGACTGAGAGTGGAAACTAATCCAAGTATTGGACGTATCTCCTATTCGAACGTTTGCTACCGTGTACTGCAATTGTAATTTGAATAGGGAAACGTCGACGAGCAAAAACATAGTTGCATAAACATGCTGCAATTCGAGAACGTGATGCGAATCGTTCTAATAATCGCGATGCACGGCAGGGCTTTAAAGCGGGACATGGGTAACGAGGAGGACCTTGGCCCCCTATTCGTGTAACGATAAGCATTCGCGTAATGATAGGTGCTCACGTATTAGTCGTGCACATTAAATTTAACAAACCATCCATTTCAGTGTGAATGCACGCGGAGAAATATGTGCATGTGCATCTTGATTGCAGGGAACTTTGGATAATTAACGTAAACGAGAGTTTTAACTTCCGTTTCGAGACAAATGAAATGCATTGCTGCGTTCTAAACATTGATCACTGAAATGACAAAGATAATTCGTGTTTCCCGATTATCAGGTTAACACGTTGAAGTACTATGATGAATATGACCATGTCTGATACGGAACAATGCAATCAGAATTTTTAGGAATACGAAATTCAACTTGTTCACTGCCATAGGAGCGAACATTAATTTCAATTAATGTGTTAAGTATTATAAACATTTTATCGATCATTACGATGGCTTTAGAACTATCGAGAGAAGCAAAGTTCTCCGGAAGCGATAAACAAATTGCGGACAGCAATTCGTCCGAACTGTTGAACAGTAATAGAGGGTCATCCGATTAAGGTCTCGGACCCACGATCGAAGGTAAGCCTAGTCAATTTTGCAATTATACGCCCACAAAACATCGTTAACTCATTGACGCTCGTCAACTTCCTAATTGGCACACGATACGACCTTTTTTCGGCCAAGTTTTCCAGCTCGTTTAGTCGCCGAGATAATTGGCTGTTCATATTGCTAACGGTGGTGACTTCAATTAAGCCTCGCGAACTAACCAATTGGCTAAAATATAATAATTAATTGATTTGCATCTCAGGGTTATATGCAGACCGGTATGATTCTTTAAAACAAACTTTCCAATTATCGTTTCCATTAAGTCATAGCAACAATCGTTTTCAATAAATCGTTATCTAAATGCAAACAAAACGTCGTGACTGTGTAATGCTCTTAGAAGATTACGTATCGTTCAAGAAACCCACGTAACATTAACAACTTTTAAACCTCAAAATTGTTTTACACCGACATTGCTAAAAGGTTTCATCGAATGTTTGTTAAAGTTGATAAGAAATCACGCGCGAATCTGTACTTTCAACCTGAAAGATATAGGTACGTTATTTACTCCAATTTATGAACACGTACTGAACTTGATCTCACCCTAATATCATTTCACGCAAGCTTCACACGACGAATAATATAATAACAGAACACGTTAGTTCTCTTTCGCGTAAATCGAGAACGAAGATATAGAACTTAATTATGCACGGGCGTCTGACAACGCACTGTATTAAAGCTAATCAGCATCTAGAAGACTTCCTAGACTTACGATTGAATATTATGTGCCGGCTTTTCTCATCGCTTTAAGTCTAATGCCCCCGAACATCGAGGCCATTGTACACTCTCCGACATAAACACAAGCTTACGAGTGACTTTTAATTGTCTGATTATCATTGTAGATGCACTTAAAAGTAACAATATTATTGCAGATATAGTTGATGAAGACCATAGCATGACAATAATTGATTTCTTTTAAATACAGTGTTAAATTAAAATTCGGTCTCTCTCCATGGTCCGCCATCCGAGAGTTCGTACACTTTGTACTGTGAAACTACTTTATGTATATTAATTATGATTGTATCTAGAGATGCATTCATATCAGATGCACTCGGTATGCATATTTTCTTAGATTGTTACTTTTCATCATTTTAACTTTGTTTTTAAAATTATCTTCATGAATCTAGATCTCTATCTATGCTAGAGATAATCCACGGAATAATAGCAAATAATTAACCGAGAACATTCTCAGCCGTGCACTAATACGCCCGATCAATTCAATAAATTATATCGTAATAATATTCCTAATAATATTCATGTGTACATCCGCCTTAAGGTCGCAAAAAATTACCAGCTTATAAGTTTATAGGCGTCTGAATAAATTCAGTTCCCCTTTATCATTCAAACCCCCATAATGATTTACAAATTCACACCCTTGGTCATTCATTATTTTCATCCGGAAGGTACACGAACATAAACAATGGATCTGTCACGCATTGTTTCTGTTATCTCTAACCCTTTCGTGTCAAATGTTCAATGAAACAACGGTTAAATGTGCTCTAACGCTCGTGGCAAAAAGACGCGATACTCTGACAGAGTATTTAACAAGATGGCGAATCGCGTGCTCCACCAATGAGCATCGTTGTGTTTCCGCGTTCGCTAGATCGCTAACGAAAATAGTTGCCAACATAATAAACACCAACCTGTTCGCTGCATGACGTCGCCATTCTGTCGAACTACGCTACCGGCGTCGTCCTTGCTCGGATTCACTTGTACATCCGTCATATTCTACTCCGTCAACGACTGTGTGCACCTTCGTCTCGTTCGGCCTTCAATCGGCCCGATGTCGCGCACTTGCTTGTCACGTAGTTACACGCACGATGAAACGTCGCGACGTGAACCGTAGGGAAACTAAACCGGAAGATAAAAAGGAGTCGTTCTATTAAGTCGCGCAATAAAAGTGGAAGACGAAACGCGCGACACTTGCGACGCGTTTGAACTGGCTCGACCGCCGGATTGCCCGGTTCTCCCGAATCCCCTACGCCTCGCCGCCGGAAATTGCCGAGTGCTCACGAACCTTTCTCTAGTCGAGCGATTCGGATAAGACGCGACGCGATCGTGTACTGCGCATCGCGTGCTCGCCCTTATGCCGGATAGAGCACTACCCTTGGAGGTTAATTTCTTTTCCACGGCGAAGAATGCTCCGCGATTATGGCAGTTTAACCTTTAACGATGCAGCTATGCCTTCGAGGTATCGGAAGTAAAGATAGAAAGGAGAGATTAAACCATAACTGCTCCTGGTTTTAGCTGGACTAAACCTTCAGGAATTGGGAATACTAGACCGTCGATGTTTATGTAAGTACTTCTGATTCCTAAAAATATTAAAAATATATATTAAAGATAAGTTAAATATAGAAACGTAGTAACCTTTTATTTTCTCATTTTCTATATTTCAAACATTTTAGTATATAACTAAAAAATAGGAATAACAAAGTATGTATTATTTCAAATTTCCCCGCGTATACGCAAGTGACGGTCCGCCACAGGCCTATATATATGAGGCCCTATTCGCTGCATTCGTCATTCTCTCCAACGACGCCTACGAGGTAGGATGGGAGCCGGGGCATCACCATTGCTCCCGGGGAAGGCTGATTTGATCAAGGGTGTACTTTCAGTTAAAAAAGGTACTTGTTCATAATTTTGTCAATATTAGTTATTCAAATTTTTCTTTTAATATGATATAATGTGAAGAGGTGGGTGCTGTTTCTCGAGGGTACAATTTATTAAATTAACCATAAGGAATAAAATAACATCGATCTTTTAATTCGGTTTCGTACAATATTAGTACACATATATTAAGATATGATACAACTTTCTTATTATAAATATGTTTCATGTTACATCTAGACGTATATTAAACCGAATCAAACAACGATGGCTTTGTATTGTCTCATTATATTGTATTGTCTTTCCTTTCACGGAATTTGATTCATCTTGCAACATTTTGAATTTATATTATCCGTTTCCTTTTTTCTTTTTTTTTTTGTTATCGAAAGACTCGATAACGACGATGCTGACTCGAAATATGTTTCCTCGTTTTACGCGTAAATATGAAATGTATGACGCTCGGATGCGCCAGATAATTTTTTAACAGGGGATGAAAAGTGTGATGAGTATGACGAACTGACGTGTCCCTCGTTGACGTGGAGTTTGCCGACGGATGAATACCGACATGGCAATGCTCTTGTTGTCACTTCATTCGTCCCCTTCCGTCGCTCTGTCGCACAATCGACGAAGGAACGCTAAAAAAATACCAAACGATCAATATTAATATCTCGCTCTGAAGCAATAAATGGCACAAGTCGAATTGACGAAAAGAGTATTTACAACAGTCTTCAGTGGCGGTTTCAGTGAACCGTAAGTGTCAATCGAACTTGGTGCCTGGTACACAAAGATAAGCCATACCGAATATGATAAGCATTAAGAAAGTTTGATTCGCAAAAATCTTAGTTTTCGTGTAAATATTCGTACAAATCGTGTACGTTTCTTTAAATTCGGATATATTGCGAGAACGTACACATTGCAATTTTCGTAGTTTATTGATATTAATAAAAAGCACCTGTAACTTAAGACGACAGAAACGAAAACTTCCATTGGTAGAAGTAGTGTAGGAAGTTAATAACATAGATAGTTAATGTCATTACACTGACATTTATAATTGACACAGAATTTCGCTGTAAAGTATAAAAATTCTAGAAATCCGTGACATCAGCAAGAATCACCGCATTAATTATCTAAGACAATGTAGTCTCACTTGGCTACTTGAATTTTAATAAAAGCAAATTTATCAAAGTTTCAATATTAAACACATTACAGAATTGATGAATAATTTCATTGCTTAGAATAAAAATTCTTCAAACATTAAATATTAGAACTATACTTTGAATTAACAAATTCCATCACGTTGATACCAATTACTTTAAAACAGTCCATACATATATATGTATGTTTCATATAAACTTGAAGAAGTGTTAAAAATGGAAGTACCATTTTCTGAAATTTACGTCAATGGCACTGTTGAGTCACGGACCTCGTGTATGAATAACTCTGAAGCTTTTGTACGTGTTGCTGTACGAGAAGCAGGTTATCGATTTCAGCATCCCTGCCATGTTGAATCGTTGCGTCCTATAAACTGCGAGATGTGCGTAACAAAAGGCGAGAAGGAAAGTTTTGTTAGTTAACAGACGTAACAAAGCGAAAGAAACATAATGGAAGCCGTTACGGAAGCATACGCTATAGGGTGTACTTACGAAGAACGAATACTGTGACAGTGCCATCTGGTTTGCTTATGATGATGGTAATAGTACCATCATCTTCTTCAAGAATGCTGTAGAACACAAAACACGTGGAAATGTCAAGTGATAGGAATAAAAGGAACTTGGGTTCGACCGATTTATCAATTCCTGCAACATCCTGGGTGGCTGTATAAAATTTTCTAAGAGAGCTACGCTACATAAAACACAATGTACTGGGACTAATAAGAGGGGGTAGTTTCTCGTGTAGATCTACTGTAAAATCAACGACTACTAAAACGCATCCCTTCTATGGCTTACTGCTGTTTTTCTTTCAACTAGCGATGCTCTACATTATTGTAACTGATGCAGCTCATCTAACACTCTTTCTTTCTTCATCTATTCCGCGTGTTTCTATTCTTGTTAATGGATCGATACTTACGGGCATAAGGGATGAAACCGTCTTCGTCTTCTGCGTCCATACAGTCCTTCAGTACTTCTTCTACTTGTGCGTCCTCGAGACGTTCACCTATTAATTAAGTTCAAATTTTTCGTTAAAAAGTAGTGACTCAACCCCCCTAGGTAAATTTTGATAGATTTAATCCTTATGAAGATAACTGCAATGTTATATGAGCCACTGGTTTGCCAAATTGATTACTTCACTAAATAAAAAATAGAGAAAATATAAAAATAGTACCAAGCGCGAGTAGTGTGTGCGAAAGTTCAGCGGCAAGCATGGTTCCATTTTCTTGTTTGTCGTACAGCTTCAAACACTCGAGGAAGTCTTCGTAGCACCCTTGTTCTTTATCCTTTTTGCACTGGCTATAAATCGGCAAGAATTCATCGAGTTTCATCAATTTCTCGCCCCTCTTTTTCGTTCCTCCAAGCTTTTCTATGGTGGCGTTTGTAGGGTTCAGGTTGAGGGCCCGAAGGACGTTACCAAGGTCCATGCAGTCGATGTTGTTGCTACCATCGGCATCGTAAATCGAGAAGGCAAATTCCACCTCTAATTAATAAAAGAAAAAAAAAGTAATTAGCTTATACTATTATTTTTTGGTAAATGAATATGCAATCTGTTACGTATTCTATTTGAAAATTAATCAAATTCTAAGAGAAAAAATTATTATTCTTATATTAATCGAAACTTGTTATTCGTTGAATTTTAATAAATAATTCTGTAGGAAAATCAAAATGGAGAAAGGTCTGAAATTAAATCGAAATTGTCGCTACCTGAGGGCTCCACTGATAATCATCAATTTCAACATTATTTAATTATATATTTTCTGACTTTTTGTTTCTACGTTCAAAAATAAGAAACAACCTCATTTCGACAAATAATGGCACTCTTAGGATTGGGAAAAAAAATTTCCTCGATCATTTAAAACAAAGAATGCACAACGTGAAATCTGGGTTAATATCAGCTGAAGCGTGGTTGTTCGTGCGTACCTGGTTCAAAAATATAGTTCTATTTTAAAACGCAGCAGCTCCCACCCAGCAACCGATTCAAGAACTTGCTGGTGGAAGTAGTGGGTCAGATTACCCCCGCCGAGCCATATAAGAACACAGTAGTAACTATTTTTGAAATGGTGCTTCCCATTCGGGGTGATTACACCTCTGCTTCATCGCTCGCTAACCGTTACGTAACACGATTGTTACACGATGTGAAGACTGTGCAATACAAATAAATAGAGAACGCGGTTGAAAAATAGTCAAAATTTTCCAAATTTCATCCTAAATTCTATGACTAAAAATTTGATGAATTTCACCCCCTTTACTACAGCCTTCTGCGTCTATATATTAAAGTACCCAATTCGATATTAAAATATGAATCAAATGATTTTATTTGCAATGGAAAATTTTTAAGATGAAAATATTTCGCATCGGACGACTATAATCGTCCGTAGTACCCAGTGACCATTTCACCTCGAACGACCATAAACGCCATGGTATTTTACGGGAACGTGTCACAAACACAGTTTATCTTTGATCTTTAAATCATCCCCTTCACGACATTTAAATCTTCAATTTTCCTCACTTCCGTCCGCGAGACGCATTATATTCCCGTATTTCACTCGATACTTCACCATCTCTTTAAAGATTTATTACTTGACAACTCGTCCTTTATGTTTCTCTAAAATAATTCTTACTTTGGTCGCACGAGTAAGATCGAGCACGTACACACAATTTAAAAACGTTTCCCTTATTTTTTACTCACTTTCGACTTCCCTGGCGCTGAGATCTGCCTGTAAGCCAAGAAACAAAAATATATCAATTTATGAATAATATAGAATAATTTTCAGAGAAAATCTTTCAATGATGATTAATCTTAAAGGTACTTTTAAGACACTATATTGTATAAGATTAAAAAAAAAAGAGGGCAAATATTTCTGAACAAGTAATTATTTAAAAAGTAGAAAATAAAATTGTTAAAAATGTATGATATTAAGTTGATAAAAATTCAGAAGATACAAATCTATGTTAGGTAAAAAATGGAAATCTTCCAAGGTAAAAGAGGATGTCTCACCATTGTAGTGTGTCTGGTGCTACTGGATGTTAACCGAACGGAGCGTGAACCAGAAGTGGTATCGGGTGTTACCAAATTTATTCATTTTATTTCTGTAGATGGCGCAGTGATCAGGACACACGAGAATTACAAGGAGGACCAGACCCGAAAGGCTCAGTTCGGACGAACCAGGGTATCGGCAACGCCGCGGTCCAAAAACAGTTCGAGAGGCAATCGCGGTTTTAAAACGTGCTTCCTGCTACGATAAATGGTTTTCGACGGTACCGTTCGTATGTCACGGCTGCCAGATCTGCAGCGTAGAGTATACGCGCCAAACAAAAATACCCCTCGGTCGGCCTTCGATGTCAATATACAGTGCTAGCCGGATTATTGTAATACCCCATTGGGGCCCGAGAATTTACAGAAAAACAGGATGAAGAATGTTGTCATCAGGTTCTTGGGAACAAAATTGATGAGCGTCACTTGCGAAGCAGCCAGATAGGGCATTGGTCAGGGTTCAGGATCATGAGTCATCGTATAATAGAAATAAAAGATTTTCTACTTTATAATACAAGAGGGAAAATTTTTTCAATGAAAATGAGTCCAAATACGACCTTATTTAGTTTGAAACCAATAGTCTGAATGAGACCTTCTTTGATCTTAGTTTAATCCTTGGAGACTATTATTAACTATCATTTCTAGACGAACTTGGTTGTTACCTGTACGAAGAACACCTGAGAACATTATCAGTTTTGTCATAATAGAGTATCACTCCTGACAATCTGAATAAATATCTGGAGTAATTAATTAACTGGGTGAAATTTCATCCATGATAGCTTTTAAGGCTTCAAGGGTTAAATAGAAAAATTTAATTTGTCTATATGAATGGTCAAGGAAAAATAAAATATAATCACTCTTCATACTTATCTTTCGCAATAATGAGTCATCAGCTGCATGACTTTAGGGTTCACCTCCGATGAAGAATGGTGGGGATACAACTGGTACAATAATTCGGGAAACACTGTACCTGTACAACTTTTACCTTACAATGTTGTTCGATAAAGCAATGACACTTTCGTACACATTTATCAAAATGATTAATTGTATTAATAAAGAATTGTGATACATCATTTCATTTCCTCCACGGTGTTCCAAGGAACGCGTGGAATTTGTTTCACGTCTGATATAACTCTGAGAGTACGCAGACCATTTCGTACCTGTGGCCAGCTGATGATTAAACTAGATAGTTATTTTTATTACCTCGACGCGGACAAGCAACGCATTTCGGTTTTAAAAAGTAGGTTTACGATTAACCCCTTCGCTACGACGACCGACTTATAATCGTCCAACCCAAAGTGCTTGTATTTCAAAATAAATATAATAGAAATTTTCGTGTTACAATTAAAAAGCAGCTACGAAAATTAAATTTTATGAAGAAAATTATATTGAGTTGGATGATTTAATTAGGGATATATTGCTAAGTACGCTAGCTTTCCGTAAGGAAAATGGCTATGTAACGTAAGGAAGTTCGATTATTCATCTTAACGCGATTCAACCAGCTTGGTTAGATCTACCTGTAACAGATTACAGTACGTGGAATTGCAATTATTACCCTCGGTCCAAAGGTGGTAGGATAAGTAATAGAATCCTTCTTTCCCTACGTCGCCATTTCCTCTAAGAAAGCCACCATGCTCAGCGATGTACACCTCCCGGCAGTGATGACCATAGCGAAAGGGTTAAGTAACATATGCATCGTTCTCGAACTCCATCGAGGAAACACCCAAACCACGATGCAATCATTTTTTTCGTCGGCCAAAAATGGTCCTGAGCAGTTTCCGCATTCTACCTAAGACGTTTCTCTTCTTTCGATTCCTCAATTGCAAATCGTTCTTCCGAGACCTATTTTGACTCTTACTGGAAGAAGCATCCGGTGAGAGATTATCATTAACAGGAAGAGGAGATGGCACAATTTCTTCGACTGCCACCACTTCTAAAGAAATGTTCCTTGGAAGTGGTACCGGACGTGCCACTGGTGATGATGTCAAGTTTTCGTACTTGAATTCGCGCGCGTTACTTCTGGACGGACTATCGGATGGTAAATTAGCATTGTTCTGATCTGGATCATCAACGCTATCGATGGTTCTTATGAACTGTTCCTCAGCTTCCTCCCAAACAGCGATTTCCTCTTTGCTGGGAGATTTCGGTTCGTTTTCTTTTTTCTGGATGGATTCTTCAGCTTTCGTTTCAAGCTCCTCGATCAAACGATGGAGAAGATTGACGGATATTCTAGTTGCTTCGTTGGAGCCATTGGTTTCTTTCTCTTGACGAGTACGCGTCGAGTCTGGTGTTGCCTCTATAACTGCATCGTGTATTATTTGATGCACGTCTCCCTGACCCTGAGTAACTTCCGTTTCATCCGAGACTTGAGGTAAAGCGCTGTTGATACTGCATACGAGATGTTTTACCTAGTTGAAGAATTGATGAAGTATACGTAATATTTCTAAATTAATTCATTTAAGTTACCTCCTTCTCTAATGCTGATAGAGAGGTCGATTGAAAAATGGAGTCTCCGATTTGAAGATTATGTAAACCGCGCACCACCTTCTCTAACAATTCCATCGTTTCCAGATGGTTACAATCTGTAGGTGAACGATCATGCATTTGCAGCGATGTTCGTGTAGGCTGTGATTCGATGCCATCCGGTTCCTGTTGATTATCCAGCATTCGTAGCTTTTCTGGCAACGTTATTATCGTTGATTGCAATTTGTCAAGATTAATGTTCTGCTGATAAGTGTACGAATGATACTTAAATATAGGCACATAATATATCATACTTTCTATGTACGTATTTGATAGATAACATTTGCTTGAATCGTTTAAATAATATGATCATTCACCTTTGTTGGGCTCCACAACGTCGAAAGCTTCCAGGATGATCTTGTCAATCAAACTTCTTGCAAATGCCTCGACCATAATTTGAAGCATCCACGATTTTATTAGAAACTGAAGTCGCTGAATCGCAGCGATCGTCATATTTCGTTCAGTATGTACCATAAATATGTATGCGCATTGGTGTAATTAGGATTTTTATTTGGGGTGAACCAGGTCCCCTTTACTTTAACAGTGTCAAGTGTCAATCTATTATTGCTTCATTTTAGTATAATTATTATTCATAATTTTACGTAATGAGAATATTTTGAATTTCTTCAAATTAATTTTATTAGTAATGATTTTTTTATTTAATTCAGGCTCATCTTAATCACCCCCTTGTTACATCAATGTGTATGCCCTTGAATTTCGCTAGAAGTGCTCATGCATGCTTCTCATTATTAATTGTTTGATTTATTTTTATCAAGTAGAATCAAAACAAATCGGATGTGAATCGAGAACGACATTCGTTTAGGGTCATCGGCACCCTACACTGGACTTGAGAAAATGTTGGCTCGTGCTCAGAGGAAGTTTGTTAAACTTTCAAGATGTAGTTCACTGATTTCCTATCAACCGCTAAAATATCGCAGTTTTCAATATTAATTTAAAAGCTACATCTATATACACGTCACCATCATTTACCAGTAAACATAACCTTTGTATAATTACAAGAAGTTTTTAACAACAGCGGAATTTTTAATGTAATATTAACTTTAAGCTTATACAGGTTAATAAGCAGAATTATAAAAAGTGCACGAAGATAATAAAATTCAATGATCTGAATTATTATGAATTTTATCCGCGATGTACCTTTTAGAAAAAATTAAAATAAAGTAGAACATTTAATTTTATTGGAAAAAGTTACTTTGTTCGTTCACTAAAGATGAATCAAGAAAAATACATAGAAGTAACGATCATCGAATCAGCTGCAGAAATTCCTACATCTGACACCTGTTCTGTTAAATGTTTAAGCACAATTCACGAACAGAATAATCCAAAAGTTGCTCGTCCATCTGTCGAAAATAATGTACAAAAGAGTGTTCCAATTTCATCAAGTTTGAAATCAAACGTCGAATACCTTCCATCTCTTCAACAAGGTAGAAACTCTATCCAAAAATCACACCAACCGTTAGATATTGAACTTCTTTTACGATATTATGCTTGCACTTCTAACATGGAACAATCAATAAACAACGTCCTGGAAAACAGGAATGAAAAATCTTTCGAAGGTCCTTTACTCGAACTGGGCGCAGCTACAAAAATCTGCGACACCTTGAAGGAACCTTCGTCCACTGGTTCTATATTAACCACCTTCCGATTTCACAATATTTTATCGAGATTACGACATCTAATTGGTACGTGTAACAAGAACAAATTAGAACAAATCCTGTCGAACGATCCTTCGATGAAGATGTGCAAATACTGCGGTGTGATCAGTTGTTCGAAATCTTCGAATATTCCTGTTGAACCGAGAAAATCTCCTCCAAACACTTCTTATTTCTTGAGCACAGATATCTTTTCAAATGAAGATGACGACTCGACGATTCACAAACAAGTAAAGAAATTAAATCCTAAAAAAACTGTTGAAAAAGATGTTACTAGGCGTCGTAAAATTAATCGAAAGAAAGGAAATGAGATAAATGGAAATTCAGGAAGAGTCGAAACTATGATAGCTGAGCGTGAAAACGATAGCCAAGTAAATGCCAGAAAATCTGTAAAAAATGAAGCGGAATCGCAGGTTACAAAATCGCCACCTTTCAAACGAGAAGTGCATAAAACTGCAGTTGCAACGAAGAATGCACCATCACAGCAAACAAAAATGAATCCTGCCGTTGAAAATAAAGATATAGTTAAAAACAGTGCCGATGCCAATTTCACAAATAACTTTTCGTCCGATAAACGTTTCAGGCTGCTAGACTCTAAACAAAGATTAATAGAAAATACATTGAATCATAAACGCAATAATTTAAACGTTGACGAACCTAATGAAAAAGTCGTGAAGGATATTTTATATGAAAAATCAACACTTCGGTTACCGGAGTGTACGCATGTAGGTTCTGTAAGAAATGTAAATACTAAAGAAAATCAATCAAATAATCTTGAAATCGGAAGCCCCCCGTTTGTTAATACAACGACGTATTTGGCACGTGGCCGTCCTGAATCGTTAGACAAAAGAAATAAAGAATTCGTTTCGCAACTCGATGAAAGAACGTGCGTACATTCTAGACGGCCTGAAGACCAACATAGTTTCATTCTTCACACTGACCAAATTGATAATCCGCAATTAAATTTAGATTCTTTGAAGATTCATTCCAAACTTTCTCCAAATGATACTTCTTCAAATCCTAAAAATTTTCAAGAATCTAACAGTTTTACTTGTTTGATGGAAGATGATTCTCTAGAAAATTGTATTAAGTCTGAGACACTGGTAGAGTCTAGCGAAAGTGACACCACAGTGATCAGCTCCTCTTCCGCAGAGAATATGATTCGTAAATGGGTGAAATCATTAAGAATCGATAACGAAACTCGTCAAAAGTCAGTCACGTTGAAACACTCTATGGATGACTTGCAATTAGATACAAAGCTTCGATCCCTTTGGAACAATGACAGATCTATTAAACCCACATCAATTAAAGAGGAACATAATTTAGGAAGTCATATCTTGAGGAAGATATCGCATTCTGTGCCATCGAAACGTCCCAAAAATACTTTTGGACAGACCATGTCGTATACACTTGACTCAAAGTCACCCAACGATCAACAATTATTAAATAATAAAATAAGAGCATCAAGTTTCAGAAATATTGAAAGTTGTGGTGGTAAGAGATTATTTGGATCTTTCAGGAGAGCCATGAGATCTAAAGAGATGGACTTGAATGTTGAATCTTTTACCTTTCCTGGCAATCATTTTCTGGGTGATCATTTTAGAAACATTACACGAAGGATCATTTACAATGATTCCTCTTTGAAGAACATTAGTGGTAATTCTGAAACGTGTGATGGTGCAGAAAATATATTATTGTTATATAGAAAAATTCTTGAAAGCACAGAAAAGATGAACTGGCAGAATTTTCAAAGATTCATCGAAGAATTGCATCCTAATCAGAAAGAAGTTTGGCGAAATATTTGCATGGTTATTGATAACGAAGCGCGAAGATTGGCCGATAAAGGTAACACGGAAGTGTGCATAGAGATCACTTCCGCTCCCTTGGAAACGACGATGGAGGACAGAACGTGTAACGACGAGATCGTGTTCGAGATGGACATAACACTTGAAGAAGTGAAGAGGTGTCTTGGTAGGCAGCTGGGTTCCACTGAGAAAGCAAAACTTGACATCCTTCAGACAGCCAATGAAGTTATTAAACTTCGAAATGATGACGTTTGTGATACTGAAGTGGTCTTCAATCAAGCTGAATAGACAGTATTGGGTGCTTTCAATTTTCCTTGCACGTTACATTGATTTCTTCCTCGCATACCTTATCGTGCACCTCTAGTCTGAATTTCTCTCCTATTTTTGTACTATTAAACATTCGAAATTTTTATAAAAAGAATCTTATATTTAAACTAAAATTTTTAATGTCATTTTTTAAGGATATCCATACGTTAGTTAATCCTTGAACAGCGAAGCCTGGATGAATCGTGAATCAAACTTACAAAATATACAAAGATATTAACCTAAAGTTAAATATATAATTTTTAAAGAAAAGAGATTCATATATTGGAACAGAGTAAAATTTACAAGTTGAGCTTCTCTCCATGGTCCGCCATTCGAGGGTTAATAACCCAGGCAAAAAATTAATGCAATCTCAAACATAAAATGCAAAGAAAAAAATACTGAATGTTAGTATAGAGAAAAATAATGAAATAAGGAATACGTTTAATTTTCTTCCAAGAACGTCGAGATAATCTTTCCCAGCGATTATCAGTATACCTGTGGAAAAGTAGATCCGGTTGATCGGTTCGCGGAACATTTTGTTGACGCAAGGTGAGCAAGGGCTGGGTGAGTAAGTGGGTTGGTAGAGAAGGGTGGGTCGGTCCTGGTAAAGTAGGGGTGGTCCAGCGAGCAGATTCCTGGGCTGATCGATGGAACGACCGGCGCATTGGATTTTCCGAGAGTAGCGCGCGCATTCCCATCCTTTCCAACAGCATTACGTCCACGGTGTGTTTCAGTTACTCACGATCCTGCCGTGCTGGTGCATCCACCGTTTGGTGAGTGCATACCTGCCGAAGAGAACGATGCAACTGTGTCACTAGGCCGAGTGGCACGTGATCCTCTCCTTGCACGGTGCTGCTCCTCTTTGCATCCGTCGCCACGTCGAATGATCCTCGAATTATCGAAGGATCTTGAACAGTGCGCGACCAATTTAAAGAATTATCTTCGTCCCATTCGATATATCAATATCTTGATCGTATCGATGCGCGACGGTGTTGAAATTCTAATCAAACGAGAAAACGATTTGTTACGATATTGAGAGGCAATTGATTGATCGGCTGACAGGGTGAGTCTTCCGAAGGGTGTTTATCCGCGACGTAGAAAAACCGGCCCATGTCGCTAGGAAGCGAAGGAAAGAATAATTACTATTGTCAGGTGAGACACGTGGTTCCAAGTACCTATGGTCCATAGATTATCTTCGGTAGACCCTCTTCTTGGTCCGTCGTTGGCTTTTCAAATGGAAGGGTTCGAATGGTTTTAGACGTTTTCAGTGGAAACATGGATAATCGTCGATCCGTCGATGGAAACCTACAGGAACATGCTCTGCCGATCCCGGTGCAGATGTTCCTCTGGAGACAGTTGAGGTATAATGATACTTTGAGAAAATATCTTGTTCGGTTGTTCGTAAGATTGGCTCGTTTTTGTTGGATTATCGGTCAAAAATTTGAGACCATTTTTGGCTTTTAAAATATTCATCATTTTCATCGACGTGTTAATTGTCTGACTACACATGGGTCTTTCTACTGGGTATTTTCGTTCGAAGGTAAAAGAAAAGTATACAACCGAAAATGGCGTATAATTATAGGCCTCTTACGATTAATGATCCTAGGAAACAATGATCTCAATTTTTTGATCGGTACTGCAGAATATATTAAGCAATTATCATTAACGAAGTAATAGAAAATTCTTTGTTATTTTTCGGTATTCCAGACCATTCATTCGTGCTAAACTTGGGAAACTTCACGAAGCATCCTGCACGGTAAAAAACTAACATGTTTGCTTCTAAATCGCCAAAAAGAATGAAAGATGCGTGTGTGAGTTTTGATGCAGTATTATAAAAAATGTATGAGAGCGCGGAAAGAGTGTATGAAAGAATTTTATAGCAAAGAATCCTACAGAATATTATAGTTAATATAACCGAATTATGTTTTAAATAAAGTCTTACAGCACGAGACACGATATTCCCGATAATTCAACCAACAGATTCAATTCATAAAAAGGAAACTTCCAAATTGTAGAAACGCTTCTGCTCCATGAACAAACGGAGGAACGAAACATCGTTCTATCCAACATTTTCGCTTTCGTGATTGTCCTTAACGAGTTTGTTGTGCTTTTCGTTTAGAAGTCTGCCTTATTTATTCATCATTGTGTATTTGTTATATAATATTTACTAAAAAACATGTAAAAAGTATAATATTGTCAGTTTAATATTCATTAATCTTCATTTGGGAATCTGGTTTTTTGAAATTCCTCGAGATAACAAGTGTCATAAAGAATCTTTTAACGAACGAGTCTCAAAATTAATCACAAAGTTATAGAAAAAGAAAAATTAACAAATTAATTAATTAGCAATTAATTTGTCTTAAATTACCAGAAAGATTTTAGCTTTCTTGCACTCATGGAATTCAAAGTTTCAATGTTACAAAGAGAACGACAAAGAGAATAATTTCTCGTGAAGTACCGCTGGATTTCATGTCGTGCAAAATCCTAATTACCCATATCCCATCAACCCTTTGTTTTCCAATACCTAACCCGACCTGCACTAACAAAAGTAACCTCCTCCTCCACGCTGCCGCCTCCACGTGTCACCTGCAGTTCTGTCAACACGCGCCAGGCCATCATGTAAGTTCGCTAAAGCCTGATAGCCTGCCTGCCTTCGCATTTGTAAACCTACTTGTGCAATTATACGCTTTTATCTCTCTAATTAATTCCAGTTCAGTTATTAGAGAGCACCTACTTTTCTCAAAAGCCACCCCGCTATGTTGCATGCTTTTCATTGTAAATTGCTTTAGCACCCAACAATCTTTTAACCCTTTCAATGCTATTATAGTGGGTTAATTAATATGTAAATCTGTGCGATTTTTTTAGATAACTTTTTCATAAGAAGCAATAATTTTAGGGAAGCTTCATAATTTCTTATACCTTCTTATCTTTGATAATGGTATTTTTAAATTTTCCATTGAATTTATTTAAAATTTGTTATCAATGTTAACATTTGCTTTCATTATTCTGAAGAATATTTATTGTTCCTACAAATTTTTCGTCTCTAATGAACGCTGGCATTGGAATCTCCTGCAACGAAAGGGTTATTTTAGATCTCTAATTACAATACCTCTGTTCAGCTTTCCCTACCACTCAAATTCTTATATAACACCCTGTATTGTGTTCATGTTTCAATGTTGTTGAAACCGTCCACATTGGAACTGAATGTATCGTAAGTTCATGCATTAGTTAAACATTTTTCATCACTTTTTGGATATTTATATTGCATTCATTTTTGTGACATTCGTTGAATTTCATATTTTTAGCAATGTTTAGTATTTATGAATTTTTCTTGTGTAGCTTGAAATGTAATTTGAGAAATTTTTGAACAAATTTTCAGCACTGATTTTGTCAATAATTATACGTACGTAGTTTTGTTATTAATGAGTACAGCTTTGCATCGTAGCTTGTTGCAAGTGTTTACTCGTTCTCTTGTTAATATTTTGTATCTTTCCACAATTCTGAATTTTCATTCTATTATATTTCAAATAATTTTGTATTAATACAAATGATGTGCTTTTTAACGCATATTTAGGAGACGAAGGAAGCTTGCACGGTTAGTAAAACAATAAATAAAATAAAATAATTGAATATATTGAAATTCTAATTCTAATTCGAATTACTAAGGGTAGAAATTAATTTTCAAATTGAAGACTTCAATTTCCTACCTCAGTTAAAATAATTATTTTAAGCGATGAACAATTTAACTAACCTTTCGTCGCGTCTTTTTAGTCTCTCGAGAAGGTGTTGGTTCAAGATCTGCACAATGATCTAACACCCTCTTTGAGCTTGATACTGGGCAAGGTGCCACGCTGGCGTTTGATTCAAACCGCTCTTCCCTACGTTCTCCATGCCGCAGCCAATCTCCTGCACAATAGGTAAGTTGTCAGCATTCTTTCTTCCTTTTAAATTCAACGACTGTTACCCGTCAATTGTTCTCGTTAATCTTCAAGGAAGGATTTTCAAACTCTCGGAGCTATGGAGACGACGCTTCTTTATATCCTTCATTGGATACTTCTCGACGCTGCTGAAGAATGCGCGGAACTCGAATCTGATCCTGGAAATCCTTTTTATTATGTCTTTCCTATTCCCACCATGACTGTAAGTAATCATTAAATCGATCCACCTTTATTAACTACATCGCCTTATTCGTTTTCCATAGCTGTTTGTATATCTCTTCGCGCCTCTGTGCAATCATTTAAAAGACATCGACTTCAAAACTAATTTACGATTGGAGAACGGTTTGAAAATATGGTCGGCTATGTACGAATGTCGTCATCCAGATACACCCTGCTTTACCACGCATTGTAGGATCAAACCGCAAGTTTTATGGAGTCGATCCTTTAAGGCTTCCAAGCCGCATCAAATGTCTGACGATGTGTTTGTTGGAGGAAGTGAGTTACTTTCACGGTTACTTATTTTTAAGGATTCAATTTGACAGAAATGTTTATGAATTGTACGATTTCCAGATGTTGAAAGTCCACCCAGTCAGTCAGTTAGCGTTCTTTCAGATCAAAGCGTTGATAAAATGTCGTCAAAACAGCTGGACGAGGATGTAAATTTTCACATTATTTGAGATTTTAATATTAATTTAATCGAAGATTATCAAATGCATAGTCTTCTAATTATTTAATATGATTTCTAGAACACTTGGGTGTCATCGCCAAAGGACACTGTATTCCCAGAAACGATTCCAGAGGAGAGTTCTGGTGCTGAGGATGAACACGTAGTGAGTACCTTAACAATAAATAATTTTTCATTAAATTCACTTTAACGAATAATATAATAGAATATATGTAATTAGGTAATCTTCAGGTTGCCTTCCCTTAGTGAATCAGAAAAAGCACTCGATGGGGTGAGAGATACTTTCATAGATACTCTTATAGACTTATAAAATCAGCAACTAAGTTTGACAAATTTTTAAATAATTCTAGGGTGAAGCTAGCATTTTTCATGTAGCTATGGGCAAGACAACTGGTTTCTCGAAATTAACGATAGAACAAGTTACAGCGATTTCAGCATTCGACTCTTGCAGGCAATATCCTCAGAAGCCTATAAGCATAGGGTTAGTAAAAAATTTATTAATTTTTTAATATATTGATCGAATTGTCTACCATTTCTCATTTTCATATTAAAAGCACTGAGAAAGAAAAAGAAGATCACAAGACGGATAAAGAAAAGGAAAAGGAAAAGGAAAAAGAAGCACAGGATACAGCCAAGCCAAAAACTTCCAGCACTCAAAAAGCTCCTATTGATTCTACTACAGGATTAACGAGTAGTTGTGCTGCTATTGATGCAGATGTTCGTGCTGCTACTTTTCTCGATGTAGCTGTTCTCAGGTGTCTTTTCGTTCCTCAATGGCAGGAAGAGGGGGTGCATTGGGCTTTGCAATTTTTGTACCAGCGGTAATTATTCATCATTTTTCTATATCCCTTCCTTTTACAGTTTATGCGATGTTTACACTAATGCTGAATACCCGGATCCTTTGGATAGCGCAATAAAATTAAAAAAAAGAATTATTAATAATCAATAATTAATTAATAGATTACGCATGATAAACGAAGAAATATCAGTGCAACAAATGCCACGTCGTCGTAGCAATTCCTTGCCGATACCAAAAATTGAAGTGTCAATTTATCAGAGTCCTGAAAGTAAGAAAAAGGATGTGGCGAAAGATTTCATGGAAGTTCCCGAAGTTCGTGACGTTGCCTTGATATCCGGTACGTATGAAGATAATTTTATTCAAAATTTTCAATTATTATTTTAATTGTTTCTATAATACAAGGCCACGATGTTGAATCAAGTCACACGAGACGAGCCAGTGAGAAATCGAAGAAGAGAATGAAAATGGCTGATCTTAAAGCATTCGTTGAAACAAAATTGTTATCCAAATCTGAAAAGGCACTTGAGAAAATTGGCCAGGAAGAACCAAAGATGCTATACGATCAGGTTAATAATTATATTAAAATTAACAAAAATATATATGTGATAATAGTAAAGCATTGACTTTTAACAAGAAGCAATAAAAATCAATCAACTGATCAATATCAATAATTTTATTATTTTAGGGTAAATAATGTAAAATTGAAATTTTGTTATCAGGAGAGCCACAGAAGTCTGGACACAGGGGATAATCACTTATCGAGACCAACATCGTTTACTTCAAAAATTTTTGAAGCTAAAGATGTTGACCACATGAAACATCCAACGAATTTGATCAAAGGAAAAAGCATGCCCAGTTTAAGGTATGTATTTACAGTTCAAACAAAATCAATCATATACAAAGACATTTTATCTCATAGAAGCTTCTTCTATTTAACTATTATACAACTATTTTTTTTTTGTTCGTTCGTACCCACATACACGCGTATAATTTTATATTTCATCGTATTATTTTTATACTTTAACTTCCTTGTGAATTTCGTTCTTTCGATTACGTTCAATTTGTGTATGTGCGTGCGTATGGATCGTTAGTTGAACAGTAAATTATATTTGAAAAATCAAATTGAAATAAATCATTTTACATAAAGATGTAGTTTTGCTTAAATGTATGCTGAAAGGGATAAGCATCCCTTTAGAACAATGAATTTTTATATTTGATCGTAGATTATAATCAGTGTTGGGTAGCATATGATATGTAACACTTTTTTGACATTATTTTTATACAAAAATGGCATCTATCATTTAAATATGAAAGAGTACACTTTAATGTACTTATTTCATTTTTATAACGTTTATTTTAATATAATAAATTTATTGTGAAATTCACCGAGCATGGTAGGCTTCACCGGATTTCCGGTTTCCAGGGTTTCAGGGTTTTAAGGTTTCTGTCTATTTCATTAATAGATGCCACTTTTATTATTATATTTTTAATATGGAATATTTGTAGACAAAGTATTGTATTATGCTTATTTTAATTATTAGCACGATAACATCAATCATAATAGAATTAGAATAATTTAGTCGTGTATTAAAATTAAATTTCAAAGCATCTATTTTTTGTAAGGTTCTTGATTGGAAAGGTTCTTTGGAAAATTTTAAATGCATCTGTTTCGGCTTGTGTTATTACTGTTTCAGGTTTCATCGATTTTTTTTGAAGATATTTATCTTTTACCCAACACTGACAGTTATTTTGAATTATACATAATCAGATTTTTATGCTAAGCATCCCAAAACTATGTTATTTCATTGAATATATAGACTTTTCACGACGATATAAACCAAAGTTATCATTTTTTAAAATTTCATTAAAGAAATTTGCAATTTATAAAAATCTTATAAAACCTTGATTTATATCTGAATGAAAAGCGATTCGATCTTCTTTGGTAACACAGTTTTGGGTCGCTGCATAATTTGACGAACCGTTTCGTTAAAAAAGAAAAAGACTTATGCGTAATGTGTTTCTCTCTGTGTCTCTCTCTTCTCTCTTCTCGTTCGCCTTTTCACCCCTGAACTCGTGCTCAGCTGCTTGATTAACGAGCTGACCGCGGGAGGGTAAGTCATCAACGTCACTCGGAGGAAGTTCCGTACTGCAGCTCGGTTACACGCTTCTTTTACGAGCTTCCTGCTTCCGGTAGGGCGCACAATTATCCTTTAAACACACACCACGCCCTAGCCGCCACGGCACTTTGGCAAGAAACAACGAATACCGTAAACATGTCATTTACTGTGCTTATTCTTCAAATTCATCGTCTATCAAATTGAACGATTTTTATATCCGTCTTGTACATACACATTTTTATGACAAGAAAAATTAACGATATGGAAACTCCAGAATTTCTCAAGTATCTGTATAATTCGTCACGAAATGCACAAAAGTATTTTTAATATAAATATATGCCATTCGTTTCCTAAGAAGTACACCCATCATCCTGCAAGCTATAACTTTTATAATTTTCTAATATTTATTTTTGCCCATTGGTCATAAATGCCATTATCAAGTCGTGTGTAAATAATAAGTTGCATAAAAAGAAATCTATAACGATTGTACATCATTTTCTTCTATCATTGCACTGTGAATTATGTTGTAGCTATTATATTTTTCAAAATGTTCACCTGCATACAGGATGTTTCATAATATGTGAAATCCATTTGGATGACAGAGGAAAAATAGAAAAATAGTTTATTTTAATTTTTTGATGCTCATTGTTGTTGAAATGAATCTCGCATATTAGAGATGATCCTGTTTCTAACAATTACATGTATCGATACAATGAAAATACTCAGCTTCATAGTACGAAAGGGATAACGTATGTAGTAAAATTTCGTTGAGGGAGGCATCGAGCATGCAACGTGGAATGGCATATGCACCAAAGTAGATAAGAACCCTAGAGATCAGACCGTAGTGCTTGGCTAGGATTCACAATGGCAATTGGCATGAGGAGTATCGATGCGAATATCTCTTGCATCGTGTGTCTAATTAATTCTAACTCGTAGGTACGTTGGTGATACTCGAATCGAGAGGAAACAAAGTCGATTTTATAGCCAATCGTACACTGCACCCAACCCTATCATCACAGTTACGGAACACACCCCCGCGCCATCCCCAGACTTCATGAAACGACAGGCAAGAATTTATTTCTAATCTCTTCTAATGCAATCGACAGACTTTCATTCTCTATTTATTCGAACCTAATCATTTGAAGAGTGGATGGTTCTTTCTGTCGCTGCAACTTATTTTCTTAATTATTTTCACAGGGTTCGATCGACAGTCAATTAGATATTATTAGCATACACGGTAGTCGTTTAGATTCGGAAAGGAAACCAAGCCTAACGAGATCGCAGACAGACTCTAACATTACTTATGCCAGTGATGAAATACCGGAAGCGCCAGGATCCTCTTGTTACATTACTAAAGAAGGGGACATTGATCTACAAGTGGTTTTAAAAGTGAGATTCTTAATACAAACAGAGCTTTTCTTTACTGAAGTCCTTAGACACTTAGGACTTTAAATGAAATGGAAGTAACTTTTGCATTTAATTCTTATTAATCTTACTGTTATTTTATCATCTTCATTTTTTGTTAGGCTGTACATTCAGCCGCTTTACGAGACAATAACTGCTGTACATTACGAGTGTGTGAGAATATTTTGAATTTGGTGGAACTTCTAATGGAAATGGGAGTAATGAAACAGTGTCTCCGTGAAGAAATCATGGGCAGTATAGCTGGTAGATAAATATTTTTGTAACGAATAATAATAGATTTTTGTTTAATTATTTTTTTCTTAATTATTTGATGAACTGGTGGCCTATTTAATATTTCTTTAGAATCGACAACGGTGGTTGAGAAATCAGAAGGTGGAAAGAAGAAAGATACTGGTGAGAATGAACAGGAATATCGACAGGATCCTCCAGAAAAAGCAAAATATTCATCCCACAATCTGCTAATGAACTGCGTGATTAGAGTTCTGAAGCATCTGGGTTGTCCGCATAGTTGTTCAGAAGGGATACGAGGACCACAAGCAGATTTTTGTCGTTCTCAGGGACAAACGATCCTCAACAAATTATATCGAGCCAGCTCCAAGCAATTCTCACGGTTCCTGAGATCACTAATGCGGGAGCAACCGATACCGGAAATTTTGGAGTTCTTTCACGCATTCGTCGGATTCTGCGTGGATCCAAGTTCGTTATTATCTCTGCTTAAGTAAATCGAGAGATAGGGAAATGGCTAGGCATATTCGTTAGCATCGAATCTTTCATTCTATAGCCAAAATATGAACGAATGATTGTTCATTACTAATTTAATACACTGTCGATCGTTCATGATTAATCCATTAATGAATTAAATATATTTTATTTCAGGATAATGAAGGTGTCTAATATTTTCAATACCTGTTTAAAAAATTTACAAGTGTTCAAAATAATAATTATTAATAATTTTTCTAGATTATTTCCAAAAACGAAGCTAATTTATAGAACTTCTAAGTTAGAATAAAAATAAATAAATAATAATCAGAGCAACTTGGACGATCGACAATATGTTAATACTAAACCGCAAAATTTATTTTCCAAAACCAGCCGCCATATGAAAGCCAGTTAGCATGAAGAAATTTTATTAACCGTATAATAGCTGCTTTCTTATCCCTGAATTTCAGTTTAAACAATTTTCTTGTGAATATTTTTTAACAGATCAGAAACGAGGATCCAGTAAATCACCAGAGACCGGAACTCAGGGATACGCGACAAATTTTGGTGCTAATTTAATGGGAACGACGATGGCCGGTGGGGGTACAGGTGGTGGTGCAAACGTAAGCGGTACCACGGGAACCATGGGGGCGACAGGGACCGGAAGTGCAGCCGCGACTTATGGCCTTGGCGGCCATAGCGCTCGGGGTATAGAGGGTCATATTTTCAATTGCGTGTTCAAGGCACTGGTTACACGCTTTGTGAAATCGCTTAAAGAGTTAAAATCCCAGGACAATTTAACCCTTTACTGTGATCTTCGTCAGTTTATGACTTATGTCAAGGAGGTCCATGGTGGTGTGTTTCGTCGTGTTGCTCTCAGTGGTATCTTGGACTCTGCTGACAGACCTAATAAAAGGTGCAACAGTAATGTCCAAACCACTCGAGTTATCAGGTAATTAAATACGGTAATCCTTTTGGTATCGAGATACCATCTTCAGAATGCAAAGTTTGAAGTTTCCTAATTCTTTTTAGACACATACATCAGTCAGATTTAGAAGTGCACGCGGATATCGGGGGAGATACATGTTACACCGTAGACGATAGAGGAACTCGAAAGTTTCTTTTTAAAAAACGTAGCACATCCTCCACGTGTGCGGTATGTATATAAAAATGTTCATTTTATTCATGTTTTTAAACTTACAGTGACATGATCTTCTTTTATTCAGAGTCTTCTTGAAACAGAATTAAGCGAAGAAAATGCGAAAGTCAGCCAAAGTCCTTTAGGTAATTTGAGGAAGAAACATCATATACTCACTCCAAGGCAAAGTGAACGTAATTTAGGAATTGAATCTTTGAATTCTGGAAAAATTCGAAAATCGACTCGTTTTCAAATAGGTGGCATAGGTATACATCAGAGATTTTTCTGCAGTATCATACTTTCTTCGGTGTAATTTTGTATAAAATATTTTTTGATTAATTTCAGTCAATTGGTTTCGAAAGGAATACGGCAGAACCGATTCTACTGATAGTCATGAAAGCAGCGAGTCACCAACTGAGGGTAGTTTTGTTAGGCAATCCAGTTTTCATTATGGTCACCACCGTAGTGCGTCCAGGTCAGGACGAGGGTAAGTGAAATTTTTAATTAAATAAATGAGAGCAATTAACAGTGGTACCAGTTACCATTGACTCCTATGGTAATCATTATGTTAATTACAATTGTTATATGTTTAGTGTTGGTCTAACTCTACAGAAGGCAAAACGTAGAATGCAAGACCAGCTGATTAATATTGGCTTTGGAAAGAGCAAGAAGAAAGAAAGTCTAGAAGAAGTACCTGGAAGTTGTAAGCGAACAATAAATCACCTGTTCGTTTTCTAATCATGTAATTGCTAAATGAATTGATTTACCCTAGATTTCAGTAGAAGGAATTCTATGGAATTCGGCGAAGCATCAAGGGAATCTGAATTCGTAGTACTGAAGGAAAGAAGATTGGTACCTCGAAATCCAGTCTACGATGGAATGCTGAGATTCTCATTCTTATTGGAAACTTGTCAACCTGGTTCGGTTCCTGATCATTATCTAATGGGGGCAATCTTAGATCTTGTAAAAATATTTAAATTGATTTCGTATGAGTTTATAATACGTACAATCGCCTGCATTAATATTCCGGCAACAGAATATTTAACCCTTGAATAGGGGGTTCTCTTCATGGTCCGCCACCCGAAGATTAATAATGATCTAATATTTCAATATCTCTAATGTCTAAATATTAATATTGGCTATTGTACATTTATTTAATGAATTTAACCTAATTTACCATAAAAATGTCGTGATCTTTTATGCAGCCCTATGCACCGGTGGCCGCCCGAGCGTGTTTATTATTGGAATGCGCCCACTTTGTGCATCAGTGCAATAAAGGACAATGGCCAACTTGGATGAAAATGAATTTTCCCATATTCCGTCCATCGATGCCTATTCACAATAGAAATGCTACCACAGTGCTGAGCAGAGTACACGTGTTGCAACGCACTGCTGGAAAATTGTTTTATCAATGGGCAGAGGTACTTGAAATTTTACCATTTTAATTCAAGAAACATGCTTAAATATATGATTTATATTCAAATATAGGCTCTTGGGGCACGATTAGAGGAATTGTTATTGGAAGATAAACAAAATGTCGATCAAGTGATATCAATGGTGTCTGATGAAAGCAGACAGCGAGAGTTAATCATTGAGGATGAAGAAGAAGATTTCCTTGATGAAGGTAATATTTAATAATAATTATAAATATAGTACACAATTCGGTATAATAATTCAGAAATTCTTTAATTATTATCTTAGCTAGTATAAATGGTTATGGATCACAGTGTCCCATGGCGTTACGTTCGGCAGCTTGTATTCTACTTTTGGAAGTGACAGCATTTTTAAGAGAAACTTATCAAACTCTACCAAAATTTAATAAACTTTTAACAAAAGAACGTCCACCACCTTGGGAACGGATGTACAGTAGAGAAGCAAATCGACGGTGGAGTATGGCGCTCTCCTCTATGGGTCATTCCCAGACGTCTGCACAGAGTCTTCAATCCATCGTGGGCGATCGCGAGGTGGCTCGTAAGTATTCAAATAACAGAAAATCTATTTTAATTACGATATGACAATTAATATAAATGAAATTTTCAGCGGAGCGTAAAATTAGTTTCGTCCTGTACGAACCAGATAATGAATCCGAAGGTAGTAGCAAATCAACAGTCACCATTCAAGGAGAAGAATTTCAAAATCTTGAAAAAGAGAAGGCTAAGAGAGTGCAACCACCTCAGAGTCGACCGTTTCTTCTTCGTCGTGGTACAGCTGAAAATGCAAGTGGTTCTTTTAAAAAAAGAAGCTTGAAACTTCGACGAGGTACTAAAGAGGGCAAGGATACCGAATGCGAGGCTTGTGAGTACATTAAGCGTTTTACTAATCAAATTAATTAGTATCATTACGTATAATGATGTTAGAATAAAAACGTACGGTGCTTTTTAGTATCTGAAATTCCAAATGTACAATAGAATATTTTATAAAAATTTGATGCTTAAGGAATAACCAACTTTAGGATAGACACCCTACATATTTGGCCTAGAAAGATTGTTTAGCTGAATTTTTACTGTGTACCTAAATGACAAATAAACAATCTGTTAATAATCAGATACGGTAAAACGAGCGGACTCGATCCAATCAAAAAGAAAAGTGAGCTCATTGTCAGACAGGAGCGACACATCCGAACCAGGGTTCTGCGGTGAAATCAGCGGAGAGGAATCACCGGGGATCCTCATAGACGATCAACCACCTGAGAGTCCCTGCGACAGCAACGAAACAGACGAAACGAATAAAAATTTTCCTTGGATGAAGGTCCTAGTACAATTCGCCAATTCGTTCAACTTCTACTGTTCCCATCAGAACTTCTGTCATCCTTATTGCCATCGGCGTCAAATGCGAGCCTGTAGCAGGTTAATCAAATCCGTGAGGAAGATTTACGGAGAGGAATTTGGAATTCTGAACGGCACGGGAATATTTGATTTCGATACAGAGAAAAAGGAAGCTAGTAAGAAGGAGAAACGTGGTAGGAAAGTTTCAGAGCAAACTAGCACTCAGGTATCGCCAGTAAGGAGGAAGGACAGCGTGGGGAAAAAATACAAGTAATTTAATTTTCTATTAATTAAATTTTAAGATTATACTTGTACCCCCTCTCCTAGAAAGGCCACCCCTAGATCTAACAAATTATCGTGCATTCTACTAAACCTTGCAATTAATATCGTTTTCACTGTGCCAGTTTATTAAATATTTTTTTCTTAGGATCGAGAAGAACATGGATGGATCCCAATCCTGCAGACTAGCCCAACGCGATTCATCCAAAGACCTGGCTGACCAAGATTCAGAAAAAGGCAAAGAAACGTCGAAAAAGTCCGAAGGGGAGCCGGACAAAGAAAATTCAGCGATTCTAAAATACATCAAGACCCAAGTGAAGGATGTGTTCCACGCACCCATGGCAACTTTGGTAAAAGGAGCGGTGGTAATGACGGAGGAGTTATTCGTCGACGTTCTACCTGTCGCCTGGGAGCTTCTGTTGGAATCGAATCAAGAAGTCGCAGCTTCGGCAGCGTCTCTCTTCATAGTAGGAGCTGTACGAGCTCCGCATCAAGCGAGCGAATTAATGAACCATGGTCTTCAACACAGCAGTTCCAGCGTACGGATAAACGCCATATTGAGATTTCAAGTTCTATGGAAGCTACGGTATCAAGTCTGGCCACGAATGGAAGAGAACGCCCATTTGACGTTCAAAGTTCCTCCGCCCGGTATTGAATTTACGTTGCCCTCGCCGAAGATCGGTATCGAATCGTTGCCGGTGGTGGATCCACCGTGGATGCCTCAGGTGAAAACAAAAGTAGAGGAAGTGACGATCAATCAGGAGCATCATGTAAGTCTGTAGCCTAGCCATCGATGTCTGTAGAAAGACCTTAGCCGTAGATCTATTAGATGTTAGTACCGGTAGGTTAGACAACCATCCCTAATAAAGTAGAATTTACTACCACTGTTACTTAGAGGTCTCTGGTGACGGCTACGAAAACACGTAAGAAGCAACAAACGGAACTGATAAAGAAGGCTTTACAGGCACAGGATGACAAGAAACGCGAAGAAAGAGAGAACTTTTTAATCACTACTATACCGATTACCGTGCAGGCTGCGTACGAACCGAGTCCTGTCGGAGATGACCACGATGAAGGTGTGTAATTAAACGTGCAGAATTATTCCACTGATTGTTCATTTGATAATTCTCAATTTAGGAAATGTCGGGGACGAAGACGGAGGTGAAACTATACCAAGGAACACGTCCCATCACGGTCAATCCGCGCCTTCGTTATTTCCTTCCTCTTTATGCTCGGCGATCGTACAGATCATCAACCTGCTGGACGATGCTGCTGTTTCGGACGATGGAAGCGCTGTTTACGAAGTTGCATATCAAGTGAGCTCCCGGTGCATTCAATTTTCTTTTATTAGCCAACCCGTATTTAAGATTGAAAATCTTGAGAAGGGGTGAGAAGATGCTATAGCTTTTTTATTTAGACTTTCTGTCACTTTTGCACAGGCCAAACGGTAAGAGTTATCGAAAAACTTCCGGTCTGACCGGAAATGACCGAAAAGGGGTTGGCTCTAGAGCGAATTTCGCTCTAGTTCACTTTAGCTTGTTTATAAAATATATATGTATTTTTAATTTTGTTATTAGGTCATATGGAACTGTTTGGTGGAAGACAGTGCTCTGTTTCTTCGTTACGTTTTAGAACGTCTTACCAGAGATAAGCAAGAATTGATGTTTAAAATTTTAAGGCACCTTATTCGATTCGTACCAAAGCTACCCCAACAGGCCGCATTCGCTTTGTATAATTATATAATTGGTTACGTTATGTTTTACGTACGCTCCCCTCACGAAGAAGGGCAGAAATTAATTGGAACTGCACTTTCCATACTGTGGATGGTAATTGAATTTTTCTAATATAAATCGCATTTATAATTTCAGGTATATCCATTAAATTTCCATCCACATAATATTTTTTAATTTAATTTACGAATAATTAAGTTTGTGATTTTGCTTTTTAACGAACTTGTAATACATTCTACTGCCTCCAGGTCGTGCATAGTGTTCATGGAATAATGTTTAAAGATTTGAAACAGATACTACGGAAAGAACAGTGCGATGCTTCTATTTTATTAACTGCGAATGTTCCATCCGCTAAAAAGATCGTAGTTTATGGTCCTCATGATCAGGATTCCGGAGGAATACCATTACATTTCCCGGTGCAGGAAGACACACAGTTCGGTCAGATACTTCGGGAATCCTTGAATTTCTACAACATTGAAGAAAATAAGCACCAAGAATATTTTCTCGTCGACTATAAAACACGTTCGTACCGATTCGTTATTTCGTTAATTCTTAAGTTGATTAAAATATTTCTCTCTTGCTGTCTGCAATTTCAGATCAAATTCGCAATCCGTCGTCGTATGCTCGAGATTATTATTTCTTCAAAGGTAAATCACAATTCTCCGAAATTATACTGGTACATATGAAACAAGAGGACGCGTTCAGTGCTTTGCAACGGCAAGAGTTGGTTCATAAATTCGTTGAAATTGGAAAGGTCCTATTAACGTGGGCAATTTTGAAGAACGTTGATATGGTGGTGCAGAGGGTAGTTTTTCTTCATGAAGAACTAATGAAATTACCCTCCTTTCCACGAAGAGCATTGGAAGCAGACCTGGATTTGTATAAAGGCGGTGAAATAGGCCGGGTGAGAATTCTTTTAATATTTTCAGAGATTATTACAAAAGAATGGTTTAAAATTTCAATGTTTAGGAACTCCTTGGTCTGGACGTGATGCACAAATTCATGTGGGTCAAATTAATCGCAAGGATGTTCGAAGCTATGGCTGGCAATTTCGCCTACTCAGGAGACATCCATCTCTTTTTAAACGTTTTAAACGGTGCAGTTATTCTTCACAGCGAGGATTCATGTATTTTGCGTTACGTAGTAGCTACATACATAAACGCAGCACATAATTTCAAGAACATTTTCTCAACGAATGGTTATTTATTAATTATACCGACGTTGTTGCAATTGTATTCTACTCATCAGACAAATAAGTTGGTGACAACCACTGTGGAGTATGCTGTGAAACAATTTTATCTGATGAATCGAAAGCCATTTATTCTTCAGATGTTTGGAAGTGTTTCTACTATTTTGGATACGGACGAAACGAGTGTTCATGGAGAAGCACATAAAGTATATAATAAATTCTTCTCATTTTTAGATAATTCTAATTCGTGAATATTAATTAAATATGTTTCTAATTGTTTAAAGGTTCCCTCAGCCTGTTTATTCAATTTATTGTTGAGCTTGGAGACTCCATCGCCGGACCCTTTAAACATAGATGAATTGGTGAAGGAGGAGAAGCCTTTAAGAGCCATTGATTTTTGTTATCACGATGAGAACGAAATGGTCACGGTATTAGATTGCATATCTCTTTGCGTGATGGTGATAGCTTATGCGCCAGATTCAATTAGAGGGCAACAAATGCTGGTAAATCAGCAGGAATGAATTTTAAACGGCACCTTTGAATAATGGCAAAATTATCGTTTATAGAATCATTTTTTTATAGATTACATTGGAAGCAATATTACCGTGTTATGTTCAGCAAATTCAATCTCCAACTTATAACAAGGAAGGAAAAACTGAGAAGGAAATAATACATCAATTGGCTGTTGCTGTGAAAACTTTGGTTAATAATTCTGAGGCACTGACCAAGTAAGTTTTACTTCTTTTCCCAGATATAAAAATTAATTTTTTTAACTTCCATTTTTGAAAAATGCCATTATGTATCGTTTTTAATATTTATTATTAGTTTACCAAATGCAATCTGATTATTTATTTTCAGGTACTATAATGGACCTCAAAAATCAAGTCCAGAGCACAAAGGTTCCAGTCAAAGGAATTATGGCAAAGGTCCATATTCACCTGGTTTTGATTTTGAGGATGAAACTCATACTACCAAGTACCTAGAGCACACCAAGGTGCGCAATATTTATGATCGAGATAACGAAGCTAGTGAAAGTTGTCATAAAAATGAATTTCGTCGTCCACGAGACACATTGTTAAATATGGTAGGAGATTTTGTAGCAAGATGTTCAGCTCGTTTAACAGAATTGAATAAAAAGTCACAGGATGGAAAGACGATCGAATTATTGGACTCCAAGTGTCACATAGTAAGTATACTTTAATTTTTTATAAAAGATAATTTTGAAACCGATAAATAAATTTTCGAAGTTTCCTTGTCGAATTACTTTTCTATTCCTTGAATTTATTAATCCTAATCGCAGTTGATAAGTTAAAACGATGAAAAATGATAATTATCATAATTTTTAATAGCGACTAGCAGACATAGCGCACAGTCTTTTAAAGATATCTCCATACGATGCGAGCACGATGGGTTGTCGTGGCTTAAGACGATACATGAATGATATTTTACCATCAACTGATTGGTCCAGCGATGATATGAGACCAGCCTTAACGAATATTTTAAGAAGACTCGATAAAACCTTCAGTAAAATTCATAAAAAAGCTTCGATTAGAAGGAATACCGATTGGACAGCCGCGAATGATCTCTTGAAAGGGGTGTATGAAACGTTGGCCAAATGCCCCTACATTGCACATTTTCAATATTTGAAAGCACTGCTAACTACTTGTCAGGTATATCAATCTTATTATATGAGAAAATTAGAATTTACCTATGTAAAATTACATTGCAATTATAAATTATGCAAAAGTGATTTAACCCTTCTTCGTATCATTAATAATAGCACGAGGTACCATTTATCCAAATAAGGATTAAATATGCTAATTAATTTCAATAAAAAACTTGATATTTAATTAATCTATGTGGAAGAAAAATTATCAAAATTAACATTGAAATTTGTAGTGTTAACAATGGAACTTATAATTGTACCTATATGCAACTACCCCATTAGATAGACAACGTAATTGCCTTAATTTCCTTTAAGTATGCAGACATTAAAGAATGAATAACATTGTTGCAGCTATAATAAGACATTTAATTTTTTGTTAATTGAAAGTTTTAATTTATCTACAGTCATTAATTATTGGAGATACCCCACCGGAAGATGTGACATCGGCTTCCTCGGCCGCTTTAATGAGCAAAATACCGCCGCAACATTTTTGCTCGACGGTACTTCGATTGATAGCACTTTACGTTATATCTCTCGGCGAAGGATACCTTCATGCCATGTTTACTACCCAAACTAGAACCGAGAATATGTTACTTAATTTATTAATACCGTTGTTCTTGCGTGTGGGAACTGGAAGGAAAGGTAAAACAATTATTATTCTTAATGAATAATAATTTACGACTACATTCGCTCTAAGTACTCAGATGGTTTCTATACCGAAAAATGGCAAAGTACTTTAATTAAAGATTATTTCCTTTAGATGTACCAAAGCTGAGACAGTCGGACATTAATTTTGCTCTAACAGCGGTGTTGAATACTCTATGGCCACCGACAACTAAAACTATACCAATAACTACCCAAAATCTGAAAACCACAACGGATGTGAGAGCGGGTAGTTTGACATTTGTGGCGAGAGATTCAAAGACTTCGACGAAAATGTCGTTGACGTTGTATCAAGTTGCATTTTTAGGTAAGTAATTTTATTACAATGAAAGAATTGAGTATTTTAAGGGTATTGTTCAATTTTTTATAGCACTAAAGATAATGACGATATGTTTCGAAACGGAATTGAAGACCGAATGGACGAAAGTCTTGCGCACAATGCGTTTATTAAATAAACGAAACGAAGCGTCCACTTACTTGTGGAATTTTATTGAATTCGTGGTGACACATCGCACAGCTTTATACATTCAAATGCTTCCGTTTATCGTTCATAAAATTGGCCAGGCACCAATTTCAGAACACGAGAGAAATATGCAAAGCACAATACGCGCAAAGATTAACGGTGATACTAAAACGGTACCAAAATCTCGCGGCACTCTGTTAACTGATCTTATACACGAATTGAAGGACTTGAAGGAAGAAATAGAAGATCGAAAATTTGGTAAGTAAAACTGAATACAAACTATAAATTTGTGCATAAAATTATTTTTCTTTAACATAATTCAGATGAAGCACAACCCGAACCAAAAAGGAGCGTCGCAGACATGCACTCCATACCGGAAGGACAGCCTCGAACTCAGAGATTATCATTAATTGATCGTTTGACTGGAGATCTAGGATCCAGGGGTCATATGAATCACCAGTCGAACTCAAGTAGTACTGTAAAAACGACACAACCGAGTCAAGTATCCACACCGCCAAACGGTATACAAACTGCACGCGGTACGATTTTAATAACATGTCTTATTATTAAATAGTTAATTATATGTGGTTAATAACATATAATTACACTATATATTTAGTATATAATTGAGAAATATGAATAATAACACAAACGGCCATTCAAATTTTCCCGCGTAAGCGTTTATGCGCAAGTGGTCGTGCGCCGCGGTAGACCTATATATAAGGGGCCTCCTCCGGTACAGCGTCAGTCTCCTCGGGACCGCCCAAGGGGTAAGATGGGCCTCATATGAAGAGGAGGTTTACGGGGAGGGCCAAAAACCCCGGAACCTATGGGAGGAGGTGTAATTAGAAATCTCCGGAAGGGGGGGGAGAGAGGACTACTATGAACTACCCTTCTCCTTTAAACTTTAATATTAAGAATTCTTAATCCTCGGGACAAACCTTATTTGATTCCTCAATTTTCAACCTTCACCCTCATAACATTGCCACTTTTTCGAATTTCTCTATATTACTTCAAAGTAATATTTATAAAATATGAAGAACTACTTGTAAGATCGCTTAACACCACGATGGCCGATGTTCCAGGATCAAGCACTAGCGGAGGATCGTCAACCCTTCGCGAGGCAAGCGAGGTTGTCGCTGGCGAACAACAACACACGGATCAACAAATAACGACAGGTATTCCATTTCCTTCAACTCCTTTTCGCAAAACGGTTTCGGACTTAAGATATTAACAATGCGACTGCAAGCCTCTCATAAATGTTTCGTTGTTCCTCTAAGCCAAGCGATTACAAAGCGTCTACCACAGTTGGATCGAGCCATTGTCTATAGGGCACTGCGACCGAATTTGCAAAATCTCTATTGCAGTATTTTGCTTCTCCATGTTATTATTTTACAACGATCAAATCGTTTCATTTTATTCAGCAACAACGAGGCTTGCGAACAATATGGTTCAGTTTATTTTAAATACAAATCTCTTGTTTCCGAACCGAAGTTTCTTATCGTTTTCATCGCTTAGAATTTATTTTCTCATTTCTCATCGTTTCAGTCTTCTTTATTTAGTCGTAAATTGACACATTGATCATTGCTTCCATTGCTAGCTAGGGGACCGAGGTAAGCGGATTCTAACAGTAAATTCTATCACAACCTATGATTAACGTTCTGCTGGTGTGTTCCCTTATCACGCTTCTCCTTATCTCGTAATTTTATCTTTTCTCGTTCACTTTTCTTTCTTTTTCTTTCTATATGTTCCCTCTCGATTACACTTGTTGCTGCTGTTTTCTCGTTACCTCCGTGAACAGAGATTCGAAAGAGATTTCGATTTCTTCCAGTTGTATGGACAAAAAAGAATACAATATCTGTTTCTCTTATTTAAAATAAATTATTTTTCTTAGTTTTCTGTTCAAGTAGAGCATTAATGAGAATCTCATTTTCACGGTGTTTCTCCTAGATTATTCTACTAATACTATCGTTTCCCGTCACGTTTTGTATACGATCTTAATCAATTTACATAGCAGTATTTAGACAATGGTAATGTCCAACAGTTGGTACCCTATCGTCGTTGCTTAGTTAATACTTTACTGAAACGTAGTTGCTTCGACTCTACCGCTTTTCCTCTCTCGCCTGAGTATACAGGCTAACATGATAATTTTTTTATTTAATCATCTGGTATGCGTGTGCGTGTACGTCTGCTTCCTGAATACTCTATACAATTTTCATGTTACTACTTTGTCGATGTTTCTGTCCTTTAGTTTCTCAGACTTCATAAAACTTCCATAATCGAAGCAACCCCGTAAACAATTTAAGAAAAAGTATGTAGCTGCATAGTATATTTGTCAATAATTCATCGAAACACAATATTGTTAATTTTATATCTCCTTCGTATTTAATTGTTTCAGTTATTTCAGCTTATTAGACGCGGTAAAAGTGAATTTATTTTATATTGAAATTTTAATGATAAAAGATACAACGTTAAAAATAATATGGCCACTTGGATTCTTGAAACTTTTTTTTTTTTGTTCTTCTTTTCTGTTCATTCTAGACGTTGAATGTGGCATGTTTCAGATAGATCTCAACCATCTTCTACTAACGATGAACGTAACCATGTTAAGCCTCATCCTATATTAACTCATCAAAAGGCGCCAAAACTGCGCTTTCTCTCTTCTGTAGAGTTTAGGCACTCATCAGGTAAATTTCGAGCCACTCTTCTAAATAAATACGTATATAGTTGCAACCGATCACGGTATCTTATTATTCGCAACCCGCGAGAGTATTGTAGTATTAACGATGCAACATTAAATTGTGTGTACTGTATAAAATATTGATTTTACATTAATTATCAAATTTAAATGTACATACACTTTTCTCTAACATAATAGATATTATTTCACACATTTTATGGCACACTAATGAGTAACTGTTTAATTAAATCATAGATAGAGAAAGGAATTACAATTGCACACAGTTCAAATCAGTCAGTTCATTCATTATTCATCCTTGCACACATAACAGTGTAAAAGTAATTGAATAATAGTATAACATTAGATTTGTATGTTCCATTACATGTTTCTCATTATAGGCATTTAGACATGAATACAAATCAGTAGCATGTGTAATAATAATCTTCTATCATTATCATCATTATGTTTCATTTCATTTTCACGTTCATTTCAGATATATTAGTTGTATAATTTCATTCATCTCTAAACTTGCTAATAATATACGATCCATTCCTTTTTTAGTGATTACTTTAATAAATTATAAATTAATGTAAAAGAATTGGCATTCTAGAAAAATTATTGTAAATAAATTAAAAAATTCAAAGTGATCACTACTAAAGGAATATCATATAAAATATTGTTTATACCTCCTTTTTTTTCTATTTTCTTCATTGTGTAACTATCAAACTCTTTCTTCTACAATTCTTCCAAGCCTATCTCTTCGTGCTTCAATAATTAATACCTCTGTGAGAATTATTAATTAATAAATTCTATTTCTTCAAGGAACACAATTACAAGCATGATTATAAATAAAATCACTAACTAAACTAATTTTTATTCACTTTCCCTTAATTTATTCTTAATAAGAAATATATATTGTACATAACGAAAATAATTTTAATATTATAGCAAACTTAAGTAAAATTTATCAAATTATGAATCAGTAGTTTTGGAAGAGTAGCATGGATAGATTGCAGAATGGAGGGTAATATTTGACAGAAGCGAAATTAACTAATTTGCTAATGTTTATTAGGGGAAACCATGACGAGTCAACTGAGCCCGACCAGTCCAAACGAGGACAGTTCAGGCGAATGTCGTCCAGACAAACCTCGATTACAACGATCTATGGGTCAAAGCAAGAAGACTTTCCGGTTGAGAAAAAGCCGAAGAGCTCATATTGAGGTAACAATTTCACAGTTTCTAGAACTAATCATTCAGAAACCATCATTTCCTGTCTAAACACAATGATTTCTTCTGGTAAAAGATTATCTAAAGTAGATATTTCTAAAAAATTAATTTTCCTATCAAACCAAGGACTATATCTAAGAAGATATTTAGGTGTTCCAGTTTTCATGGACTAGTCTGTCTACCATAATGCCACAAACGCTAATTACTATACCAGAATTCATTAACCGAGTAAATGAGATTTTATTTTTACAAAAAGACAAAAATTCTGCTGGATTTTTCAGATGTCTCAATCAAAGCCAGAATCAATCGACAACGTCAGTCAAGTACAAACTACTCAACCATCGGTCCTGACACCACCTACACCAATAATGGACCCTTCGAGCTTTAGCATCCCTTCAGATTCCTCGTCGATTCGTTCGAGGCGAAGCTCGTCGATTCGTCAATCAGATTGTGAGAAGGGCACCAATTTAACAAGCGAACAACTTCATGGTCTTCTTCACCATCACCATCATCACCACCATCACCACCATCTTCACCTTCAAACCTCAGACGTCTCGTGGGACGAGGACACTTCCAGCACATCCGGCTATCGTGAATCGTACAGTATGCAATTAGTATCTTTAGAAAGTAACAACAATAATGCTCGTACGGTTCAAGCACCACCCTTGGCATCGCCAGATTTAAATGACATACCTTCGACGAGCAGCACCACCACTCATGTATTCGAAGGTAGTTCACCGGAGTGTTCCATCAACGGAAGTGGAGGAGAAAAAACTGCGTTGTTGACTTCCAGTCAGAGGACCACGTCCCAACATTCTTTACTGATGGTTTTCCCGAATCAAGATGAGGATACATTGATATAGAGGTGGTTAACAGGTTTTTGTAATTTGATTTACCATGAGGAGACTGATTAGAACATCGATCGCCTCTGATCGTTAACAGGAAGTCTCTAGTACAATTACCCTGAGGAAGATGGTGGTGGAGATGAAAGAGGTTCAATTACTCGTACTTGAAAGTTTACTTAGGAAAATTTCCTTTGATATTATTCATTTTGTAAACTTAAATTGGATATAATGTGTGGGATCTTCCTTTTTCGAAATTACCATGTTCCTTTTAGGGAAGCCTAGGTTCGAGTTAGGTACTGTACATACATATCTATTCTCTAATGTTATTTGTCAATTCATTATTTGTCAATGTTATTCAAATGAGACAAAAGTGCAAATTGGTGATGTTAGATAATTATGAAAAACAGCGTTAGTAAAAGTTCATTGTCAATGGATATATCAATTTTTAGATTTGATTAGTAGGAGTGACTACAAGTACAAAAAGACTGCACATGCCTTTGTTCTTGAGGGGTCGTGATTTTAGGGGTTCCAGACATCCCCAGGTGTGGCTACTTTTCCATGCACAGAACACAGTTGGTATAATAATCGCGCCTGTTATGCAACTTTAAAGACACAATTTTGACTCCCTTTGATTCTATTTTTTTAGAAATCAGTCAAAATCAGCACAAGACCGAAAAATTATTAAAATAATTGTTTAACAAACTTGTGTTCACTTCATGCGCCTTAATAAATAAAAGCAAGTGAGTTATTATTTAATTTACTGAATTACTTTCCACCGATCTAGAGCGAGGTAAAACCTAGTCAATCTTTTCTTCGAGAGGTGCGTATCTATTTGTCAAACATATAATTTATTTTCTGTGTTGATTTAATTTACTTTACTGATTTTTTTAGCTTATTAAATAAGCTCATAAGGGGGATGAAATTTATGAATTTATCCCTCTTGTGGCCTTTGGCTCACCATCCCTTTTATTTATTATTGTACCCTCTTTGTGGGCCAAGGCCCACCCTTCCCACTTCTTTATTATATTATCCCTCTTTTGTGGGCCTCATGGGGACCACCCTTCCCAATTATAATATTTATTATCTTTTCTCTCTTTATAAGCCTTGCAGGTACCACCCTGTGTCCCTTACATCCCTGCACCCCTACAGATGCCTAGTCTCCTGATTACCAAATATGGATTTTATAATACTTTGACGACCATAGTGAAATTACGACCACATGAACGATCGGGCCTAAGTATTTTTATGTTAGCATTGTCTGTAAAAAGGAGAACGGTTGAAATAAAAATGCTTAAATTCACGTTTTTATACGATAAAAAAAGTTTATTTTGTTATTAATGATAACAATATCAATAATTAAATCACTTATGTCGAGGAAGATCCACAGTAATATCAGCAAGCACGTATGCCACTGCTGCGAACACGGCTGTTCCCTTATCAAGAGCTTCCGGATCCTCGAGCAACATGGTATCTGCATTAGTATGGTGGTAATAAAAGTATTTTTCGTTCTGTGTCCAAAGTGATCCTGCAGGTACTCCTGCCTGTGCCCATGCTTCGATATCAGGACCCAGTTGGGGAATACGTAGTCCCATTTTTCCCATAGGGGATAGAAGCCTGTAAATAATACAAATCAAGAAGGTAATTATATTTCATATCAAACCTTAAGTTTAATTCCTTACTTCAAAATTCTTGCCAAAATGCATTTAACTTCATCAGTTCCAGTATACTCAAGTCCTAGTGGTGTGAAAGTGCCCAAATCCGATTCCATTACAAATTGTAAATTATGTTCTTCAGCTTTGTGAGCTTTAATATAATGATTAGCTCCTATCATACCAGCCTCTTCAGCTGTCCACATAATCATTCTGAAAATTACCGATTCAAATGATTTACGTTATTTAAATTATTTCCCTCATTTGTAGTTAAATTAATTTCACCTTATCGTTCGACGTGGTCTAAGATTGAGATGTTTCAATAATTTCAATGCTTCCCATGAAACAAACGCACCACCTCCATCATCCATTGCCCCTTGACCAACGTCCCAACTATCAATATGACCAGACACAACCACCACTTTTTCCGGATTCGTGGTGCCATTTATTTCAGCTACTATATTTCGTGATATCGTGTCCGGCAAATTCTTCGCCTCCATTTTCAAGTTTATTTCTATAGTATTACCTAAGGTAAAAGCAATTATATTTGAAGAAATTGTTTATTCTTGAATTGCTAGTATTTTGAATATCATTTACCTCTTTGCGACATTCTCCTTAACAGCGCAGCATCTTCAGCCGTGATACAGGCAGCCGGAATTTTCTTGGTCACATTTTGTTCGTACATTTGTTCGCCAGTGTGCGGCGTGTAAAGGGAGAATGGCGTGACCGAGTTAATTAAAGCAGCAACAGCACCATATCTCGATGCTACCGAGGCTCCAATGACACGATAATCAGCCGTCTCCGCGTAATTAACATATTTCTGATTGTACACGACGATTTTTCCTCGCACCTGAAAATTATGAAAGAAGAAATCAGAATTCATCCAATTTTTGTTTAATTGAGGTTTAATCATCACGATGAAAATTTTCAAAGTAATTACTTCATTTTTCCTCTGATGCAGCTCGTCGAGACTATTTACAACGATTGCTCTTGCGGTTATACCTTCAGGCGGTGTACCAACACTGTAACCCAATCCAAGAAGAGCAATATTTTTGCGTCTTGGCTTTAAAAGAGTCGCAGATTCCTTCCCTCTAGAAAACGAATGGCTCGATCATCTAAATTTTCAAATAGTTAACAAAACCTTACCTGATCCAATGAGGTACGGGCACGTGTTCACCGTGGACATTTTCCAAACCACACTCGATTGATTTATTTAACACGTAATCAATCGATTGTTCTAATACTTCGGTGCCGTATAATCTCGGGCCGAATGTGTCAACGAAGTAAGATAATTCGTTCCAAGTTACTCCTTTAAAGGATCCCGATGTTGCTTCTTTTATTATATTTTTAACAATCGGAGCGTATGAATCTATTTCCTGTGCTAATTTCGGTGGCAGTTGACACGTGCTAACATCGACTTCCGTAATACCGCTGAACGCTATCGCAAAGTGCGCTCGAAAGAGGCACGCGATGATAAAAACCTTGGTGTAGGCCAACATATCGGTGCCGATTGATATAAATGTTTACGATCGAGTGAGAGCACTATTTGCTTCTGAAAATATCATTTTAATCAATTCGAATGATATGCATACCCTTACCATAAATACTTATCACCTTCGAAAGCCATTTGAATAAAATTAAACTGCTTTAATTATTTCTGAAGATTCTGTCTGTTTTGTGTCATAATTAATAATGATCACGATAGTAAATGGAGCAGAAAAGTGTGTTTCAATTACCAATGAATGCAACTAATTGAATAAGTGCTGTGCAAAATTGTTCTTAATTCACTGTTGATACATTTACCGAGTAAGATATTGTTAATAGGAATTAATTAATTCTTAGCAGTGATTGTAACGTAACTTAAAATTACCTTAATTTCCTTTTGAAAGTAAACACAATAACTTTATTGAACTACACGTTAACCCATGTTTCGAACAGTACCAGTGCTTCGAACCGCTGGCGAACTTATGATCCCTCTATACTGTGGACTCTAGAATATATAGAATGAAATGGAGGGGAATCGAAGAGCTACAGAGAAGAAGGAAGCGATAATTATCAGCAGACGCTTGCATCTATATTATTTGTAGGACAAGTTTTCCTTATAGCTGCAAGGAAAACCAATTACAGTAACGGTAATTTCTAATGACACAAGATTAGAAAAAGACAAAGGAAACATATTAAGTGCTTGTCTTTGTTACTTGCTCACAATTTCTGGAAGAACTGTAAAAATGAGTAACAAGTATCAATAAAGGTTACGGAAAATTGTGAACTGCAAGATTATCAGCCTTTATCAATAAGTCAATGATATATTATTAGCATCGTAACTTTCCTGGTACGAATCATTCAACGAGCTAAGCAGAAACACACACTGCACAATGGTAATTCATAATATTTCTAAAAATGGAATTGTGTACTGTGCTATAGGTCAATGGAAGCGTCTTTTTATTCTCTATAAGAAAGTATTAAGGCACTTGGACCAAAAATTGATTAGTTCTGAAGATATCTCAGGGAGAGACAACAGGCTCTCTTCGTTTCTCTCTAAGATATCTTTTAAAGTTTGATGCTAATAATATATCATTGACTTATTGATAAAGGCTGATAATCTTGCAGTTCACAATTTTCCGTAACCTTTTATACTTGTTACTCATTTTTACAGTTTCTCCAAAAATTGTGAGCAAGTAACGAAGATAAACACTTAATATGTTTCCTTTGTCTTCTTCTAATCTCGTGTCATTAGAAATTACCGTTATTGTAATTGGTTTTATGAATATATATGAGTCGAATATTTATTGGTTTAAATTTTAAAATTTTTTCATAAATGCATTAATAACGGAGATATGGCCTGAAACAGTTGCTCGTTCCACCCTGTAGAAGGGGAAACAATAGCTCAGGAATGCGGAACGTCATGGTTTACTAGAGAAAGGTCAAACGTAATCAGTCTTGTCGCGAACGCCGAGGAGCACAGATCTAAATACATGTGATACGTATACAGGTACAAGCCCACGTTTTGATTATTATTGAAGCATGTGTTCATTTGTAGATTACTTAAAGTGATAGTGCATGTGCGTAAGGGTTTTAATTGTATTTGTGCCCACTCATGAGGATTTTTCAACACGTTTTGTCTGCACGTGTACCAATGTGCTTTCCAGTATAATTAAGTAGGTTTATACGGATACATTATTGCGTTTCATGGTATAATCATATATGTGTTTATAAATGTTTTATGGAATTTTATGGCGTGCGTTTCTATGCGTTTTGATATTTATTTATGGAATTATTAATGTGGTTTACCGTGTGATTATTTTTGTGTCATTTTGCCTCCATGGTTTTTTTTTCGAAAAGATCTCTCGATCCTTCAACCCCTTATTTAATTCCTAAAATCACTCTCCTAAATCGTAGAGTGCGCCACGAAACAATTGGCAAAAACAAGGTTTCAAACTACATCGGTATTTCAGATCGTATGGCACAAACTTCCATGAGGTGATTAATCTATGTCATACGTCTTTTATGCTCGAAGAGGGGAACTCAATTCGTGTTTCAACTGTTCTGTTACAGATGGCAGTGAACACTTAGTTATTGTTAGCTTTCTATAGTATTTAAATTCACAGGTTTTGAGCGAAGGATCGTTTTGCGTTTACGGATAATGCTCGGCAGTAAGCAAAATGGCGTCATTGTGGATGGTGATGTCTTTGACGATTTCTTTATTTTTAACACCTTTTCTCATGTTTTTGCTTGCTATCATCTTCTTGGCATCTATCGGAAAATCACTCGGCGTTAGAAGGTTATACATAAAATTGTTGCTAACACTTTTCGAGGTAAGACATACATTAAAATGAACAATATTTAAAAACTTCGATTATTATGCTGTACCCAGTAATTTAAAAATCGTGAACTGAATTTACAATGCTCATCCGGTTAGTGATACGTTGTAAATATTTTTACACAAAATGTATTATTTCCAATGCAGTTATGAAGGTTATATTGATCTTTTAATACTTGTTTCAACAAGATTTAGTTTTGTTCAATTTCAAGTGGACGTTGTAGATTTTCATTAAATATTATACTTTACGTACTCGATTTAATTTAGACGGTAAAATTTGTATTAACACCCGTTACATTCTTATTTTTATTTATTATTAATAGTGTTTCATTTTCGGTACTCTTCCCAATTAATTTTGCTACAATTATAATTCCCTTCATTTGTTGATAGAGTTGTATAAAGTAAGATTCATGACAATTAACATAAATGTCATGTGTAGAAAATTAATTTTTCGATTCACAAAAAGACAGTGTTCGGGTATCCTATTCATTTACCCTCGTTTTCTAAGAATTCAATGCTGTTTCATAAACATATGTTCGGTATCATCATTAAATAAATAATAAAGCATGTTTTTTGTTTTGTTCATTTTCAACGATCGTACAATTCGACCATTGTATCGATGATTAATTACTTGCTAGTAAAGATTTCAACCGTTTTATTCATGCCTGTCATTCGTATGTATATTTCAATACAGTTCCTCGCACTTGCGGTTTTAAACGCACACGTTAGTTATGGCATCAATGAACGCAACCGGTACGGTGTATACACAGTGAAATATTAAATCGGGATTAATTTAGGCATAGTTTAGTGAATCACCGACGATAGTGCTACACTATACGTAACAAGTTCGTATCGATTTAAAGTTATTAAACAGTGAAGTTGCAGGCTCAGGTGATTCGTTGTGTTAAAAGTACGAAATTCAACACCTTTAACTATAGCTTTTTACAAACACCGGTGTATGTACCCTGAAAATGATTAGAATTTCCTGTGTCATCGTGCGTTAAACAGCACTTTTCCACGTTCGAAACGCGTGGTAACCATTTTGACAGTTTCGAAATCAAGGTATCTCGACTTTCTCGTAATTTCCTCAACGTGTTTGGAATATTGAATCATAGCCTGTCGTGTAACGTGTGCAAGACGGTGTATGCATTCCCAAAATAGAAATGGCGATTTCAGGGTAGTAAATATTTAAGAATCATCTACGATTATCAATTTGGAATAATAAATAAAATTAAAACGTTTCCTTCGTACTTATACATTATATTATAGGTATTTTTACTTTTCATTTATTATTCCAAATGAAAATATGAAATTTTGTTTTTCAAATTCATATGCACCGGAATCGATGGCCCAGTTCTTTGTATATAAACGTTCATTAAAAGTTCGTAGTACTTTGATCGCTCAAGAAGACGGTCAGTTACCTACCGTTGGTTTAAACTCGATCCCGTTTAGTTACTGATGGTGGCACGGCTAACGAGCGAACAATACCTTTATTACGCTTTTGTATCAGATTCTTTTTTCTCTTCATTATCTGGTACATCGCAAGTATTGTTATAAATTTAATGGGTTCTTCGATCATCGTCTGATAACAAGCACAAGTATTTCTTCAGGTGGATCAATAATAGTCGGGCAAAGTCCTCAGCGAGGATTGAAATCAGTAGATACAGTAACGTCTGCACGAGATAATATTCAACACAATAATTACATGTGAATTTAATAATTAAATTGCACGGAGCAAAGCAACATTGAAAACCATCAATCTTCAACATATTTCTGCACGATAAATTTTAATCAGTCATTCAACTTTCGCTTCCGTATTTTTCCATCGTCTTTCATCGTTCAGATAATTATACGATTCGTTTATAATTGACCGTCCTGTATAAAAAAAATCGTTCACTGGTTTTGCCTTATTTCCGGAAAATAGAAATTAGGAATTAAACACACGCGTACATTTTTTTTTTTTTTAATTGAATTCGAATCGATTCGCACGATAAGAAATTTTTGCGCGCGAAAAGAGAGTATGCGTATTTGAAACAGAGACATCAACTTGTATTAATCTCCATAAAAATAATTCATCGATGATATATTCATACCTAACAATAATCACAAAAAAAAAAGAAAAAAAAGAATATTGAATTAATCGCCTATGAATCTATTCGCTTTCGTCAGATCACACTTGTTCACCATGTTCGTGTAAAAATAGCATATAAATTGATAATTATGTTACTCGTTATAACGTAATCGAGTAATTTTTTGAATAAAAAAAAGAACAAGACGCCATAGGCTGATTCAAAGGCGAATGAAAATCAAGAACGGGTAATGGCAAAGTTCAAGCACATCTTTTCTCAAAACTGGTCTTTTATCGATTGTACTTTCATCGTTGTTATCGAGTAATGTCACGATTAGCAGGATAATTCATTAAACGCGTGTTTGAACTGACGTTCATTATCAGGGCTGGTTTATTTCCAAATCAAAATTTATCGAAACGAATCGTTTCGCGATGGAGTCTTGCCTAGGGCCCCCTAAGGTCCAAGGCCCCCATAAGACGATTTTGCATCTAAGAATGCAAGAAGAGTAATTTTTATTTGAATATTAATCGATGTAAATGCAAATCTAAATTTGTTATACAAGCTTTAATGTTAATTTTATAAATTTTATTTAAGGTACTTTTCTTTATGTCATATAAGGGGCCCTTTTTCGGACTTCCGAAATCTCAGGGCCGGCCCTGAGTCTCGTATTAAACGGCGATTATCCAAAGTAATTAAAGTTAGTTCTTTCTAACGCGACACTGAAAGTGTTAATTTCTTTTTCCTCTATGTTCTAACGCACGAAAATCAAGATTCCCATGATAGTATCTTCTTTATCAAACGTAACTCCATCTAGTTTGTTTTTCGCTGATGTCTCATGACCTTGGTTAAATTTCCATTCGCAAACCGGAGGGAATGTGTTTGTTCGGGAAAAAAAAGAACAAGAAGGAGAGGGACAAAAACTGCAGTAAAATACATATGTGTTTAGTACAAACGTACTTAACTTAACGAAACGAGAAGCCAAGTTTTTGTTGCATTTACAATAATATATGCTTTGCGTGCTCAACTTGCTTATTAATGTCCTTGTTGAATTGTATAACAGGCTCATTCCACAGATTTAAATCACATTTCCATCATATAAGAATAAATATGTTCATTTTACTTGTCCATCGTCGTGAGAACGACTATATCCGTGCATAGTCGAGGATCATTCAATATGCAAGGTGTACAACTGAACTTTATCAATCATAAAGAGTAAACTTTTCTATGCTGTTCAACTTTTTTCTGTTTGTAATGAAGGTACTTAATAACACGATAATTAGATCAAGCATCGTATGTTTTCTTTTTACCTAGAACCAACCCTTTTTCGGTCATTTCCTGTTAGACCAGAAGTGGCAAAAAAAAAAAAATTTCGGCTACATATTCGTTGTGATTTTGATCCACTAAATACAATGGCGCAAGAATTTTTTCAATAACTCTTACCATTTGGCCTGTACAAAAGTGACAGGAAGTCTAAATGCTATAGCCCCCTTCACAAGATTTTCATCAATCTTAGATACGGGTTGGCTAATAAGCTGAAAAGAAAGAATAAATTTTGTTTGAGCTTTCTTTTTCGATTATATAAGTTAGGGGATGCAACCCGTTAGAATAAAAATAATGTCCATAATATTGTCTTTTTATGACAAATAATTTATCGTTGACTTCTCGGTTCTCTTTCTTCTCGGTTTATTTTCGCCTATAGAATCGTCCCCTGCCCGATTGTATGTAAGATGAATAAATAATAAAAAAAAAAAAGAAATTCATAAGACAAGTGTTCACACGCGTACTTACAGTACCGATCATTTCATGAAACAGTAACAGGTCATTCACTGCTGATCATAAGTACATATAGCGAAACAAACATTAGTATGCATAATGTTTTACTGTTTGATAAGTAATTGCATACCTGCTTACTTAGATGAATTCAGGTATTTACGACAATGCCATCACCTGTTTATTCAGTCACCTTTTATGAAACAGCTTGTATTATCATATGCAGCATAATGATTGATTACTATACATCAGCGACTAAGGAAATGTATTTTTACTCTGTTTCGAATGGTTTATTTTACGCATGATTATGCAATTCTTTCTTTTTTTTGCACAGCTGCAATTGATACATTTTCTTATAGTATTTTTAAACACGGTAATTATCGTGTTCTTTTTATTGGCGTTTGAACTTTCTTGAACCGTTCCACGGTCATTGTCCATAAAATTAACAGCAGTTAATTAAAACGTTGTTTTTCTTTCATTCGTTAAATTGACTCGAAACTGTGAATAAAATGAAATCATTTGTATCAATTTCAAAATTTTATTACTTATCATGAACGTACTTACATATTGATAGATGTTTAGATAACTTTGTTTACGCTCAATGCAGGAATTTGTATATATGCAAGTCAGTTTGTAAGAATAAATGATCGATCGGAATATGTAATTGCTTTGTTATTATCTGAAGGTACCAATTATTTTTACCTTTATACGAGATGTATGTTCAATAACGCAAGATTTTCAAAGACCTATACAATTCTAAGTTACAAGTTTCAGTTTTTAAAATTAAAGATATTTTTTTATTGTTCCTCGTACTTAACTCACGTGGATCCACGTTTCAAATATTGATTTCTCGTAAATTATATCTAGACTGAATAGCCCTATTGTTTCTGTCTTACTGTCTTTTAAGATCAAGAACCGTTCAACCCCCTTTTTCTATCAAGAAACGCATATCATGAATTCCTCAGAGTTATTAGAATGTCCCGTTTGAATAATTGCTCAGATCGTATCTTCCTGTCGATTTCAGTATGGCAGACAAAACATTGAAAATGTGAAGAAACGAAACGGTACGTGGAATCAAGATGAAGAAGAGGCGGACGAGGAACTCGAGTCGCGGCACGTTGAAAAGCAGAACGTTCAAAATTTAAAAACCGAGAACAAAATGCAGAATGGAGTATTAAGTAACCGTACCGTGATAGCCAGGTCGAAGGATCTGATTTTTGTGCCCGAACCGGAAATGCAGAATCAGAGGAACCATCTCGAAGAAACGAAAGCAGAGAATTCTCAAACATCAACGACTGTGGGTAAAAGCGAGGTAGACCGTCAGTCCCTCCGACGATATATGATTTATGCGAAGCAACTATTTCATAAGATTTTTCTTCTTTCAGAGCCTTATTCGTCGAGATTCGTTTGAAACATTAAAACGAGAATTCGAACCAGCAATCTGCTTGGACTACATCAAAGCTGGTGTAGAAGCTATTATTGAAGATGAAGTAACATCTCGTTTTGAAGCAGAAGAGCTAAAGGTAATTCCTTATGGTTACAGATCAAAGGAAAGCAGATTATCGTATGATAGATTAATAACTTTTGTTTCAGAATTGGAACCTGTTAACACGAACGAACAGACATTATGAATTCATTTCCTGGAAGTTAACAGTGATATGGATGTTCGGATTTTTCATGCGATATTGTTTCCTTCTTCCTTTAAGGATATTTATTTGTTTTATCGGAGTGAGTACTCATTAATTTTTGTTTTAGTTGATTACATTGAAGAAGAGCAGGAAATTAAACCGCGTATCTTATCTTACATAGACGGTGTTCTTTTTGGTAGTATACTGTTATGAAAGTAACGGACGTGTCACTGTATTTACATTGCCGACGATAAAGTTGAAATGCATTAGTAAATGTTACAGGTAACAGTATCCTGTAACTTTGCTTTGCAGGTAGAACTACTCAGCAATGATAAAGAGAGAGTTTCTCAGGTACAAAGATTATGGTTTACAGGTGATGTGGCTGACAGTGTGTACAGCAATCGTGGGATACGTTCCAGAAGGTAGTTTCAAACGATGGCTGAATCACAAAGTCTCTATAATGTGTTTTGGTATATTGTCGAGCGCTTTGTCATCGGTAATTACTTATCATAACCCAGAGAATCGACCGGTTAGAGGTATTTGCGTGGCTAACCATACATCTCCCATTGATGTCTTGGTACTCATGTGCGATAATTGCTATTCCTTGGTACGTTTCTGTTGTGCGTCAAAGTTATAACGTTATTTGCTGAACTAAAGTCATGTTTGTTAGTTACATAATGATTTGCAGATTTTCATATTGTTTTCTTATATCAAGACAGCTGATTTATTCTTTTAGATAGGACAAAGGCATGGTGGGTTCTTAGGCATTCTGCAAAGAGCCTTAGCACGTGCATCTCCGCATATTTGGTTTGAACGATCCGAGGTTAAAGATAGAGAAGCAGTTACGAAAAGGTCATTATTGCTATTTTCGTGTACATATTTTAATCCGAATTCGATGCTAACTATTTACATATTTGATAGATTGAAAAAACATGTATCTGACCCTACAAACCCACCGATACTTATTTTCCCGGAAGGAACGTGCATAAATAACACATCAGTTATGCAGTTTAAGAAAGGTAGTTTTGAGGTCGGAGGCGTTATTTATCCAGTTGCAATAAAGGTAATTTTGTATATGCAGTATCGAACAAAGTAAGCTTCCTTGGGAAAGATGTTAAAGTCTCAGACATCCCCTCCGCCGTAAGCATCCCCGGATTTCCGAGTTCCCGACCTCTGACAATTTAAATTGCTTTGCTCGATATCGTGCAACACATTATTCGCGTTACAATTTGAATAATGGATTTCAATATCTTTTATAGTACGATCCAAGGTTTGGGGATGCGTTCTGGAATAGTAGTCGGTACTCGATGATACAATACTTATACATGACTATGTCAAGTTGGGCTATTGTTGGCGATATTTGGTACCTTCCGCCGATGTACAGAAACGAAGGAGAGAGTGCTATTGATTTTGCAAATAGAGTAAAAGCTGTGATAGCAAGACAAGGAGGATTAGTTGATTTGCAATGGTATGTTGAAAGAATATATTAAAAGGAAAGAATATTTTTAAAATGAGAAAATAATCTAATAACATTGTTTGCTAGGGATGGTCAACTTAAGAGAACAAAACCAAAAAAAGAATGGAAAGAAAAGCAACAAGAGGAGTTTAGTAAACGACTAAAAGTCGAATAATTCGAGTCATCTCTAGTCGCACTTTTATGATCGATATAATGTGTGATATTTTGCTTAACTGAGAATATTTTACCTGATGTGCTGTTTTGTCTTCTTTGTGGATGTCTGTCTGTACGAAGAGGGAAGGATAGCTCGTATGCATGATTTAGTTTCTTTAATTTCACAAATGTGGTACGCTGTCTTTTATTAAATTAATTGTTCTATATTCTGAAAAATCGATAAATTTATACATATAAAAATACTTCAGGTTATGAAGTAGAATTTGTAATTCACTTGTATAAACAATTCGACTTTTAATTATTCTATTACAGCGTAATATTTATCTTCTTTCTTTTTTTGTTAGAAACAAATATTACCAATAACAAAAGATATTGTAGTGTAAAATTTGTTCTTAGTATTATGATTAAAGTTAAATAACTTCAGTGCAGCAAGTACCATATTTGTCATTTTTAATAACGAGATTCTACAGTGAGGCATTATAAATTTCTTATTTATACATAATGAAGTGTTTAATATGGAATGGTATGTCATAGTGTGTGATTTATTGTGTGCATGAATGTATGTAGCATCTCAGTCATTCTACTCGAATTCTTACATTTCTAAATCACCTCATTAACTCATTACTTTGATACATGGAGTTATATCCATCTGATATTATATAGGAAAAATTGCATTTTTTTTTCTTTTTGTAAAAATGGTAAGGCAAAATAATATCTCCATTGTAGTGTAAAAATAAACTATTTATTCATATTTCTGAATGAAAGAAGTTAGAATGTAACAGGGTTATGCTACTGTACCCATCCCCTGAAGATTATTTTAGGTATCATTCATTGCAATCCAGTTAAGAATGTATTTTAGATGTTTTCTATTTTTATAATTAATATTATCAAAATTTAAAGGATGAAGCATATGCATACATAAAAATATACATTTATTGTATATTTTACTAAAGAAAAAAGAAAAAAAAATCGGGAATCAGAATACATCATTCATTGTTCATGAATGTTGTGAACAGGTTGTTAATTTTCTAGTAAATATTATAATTAATTTTAGGTGTCATACATAATATAGTTTTATTACTTTTTGGGGACTTTTAGTTGAAGAACTAAACATTAAATAAAAGATTAGGTAATATAATTCATTTATTGTGTCAGAGATGTATATTTCCATGCAAGCTAGGCTTCCCTCGTGTAAGGGGAAATATAAAAGAAAAAGTCTTCTATCATTCACCATCAGTTACTGTAATTTCCTGTTAGCCTCGTATGAATAAGAATAAAAATAAATCGAACGATTGATGGGAGACCTCTCCCCCTATATTTCCCCTTAACCGAAGAAGGTTAATCTTTGACACAGAAAAAGTTAATACATTTTAGTAAAAATAAAGTTTAATTGATTGCACTGAGATTGTAATAATGTATAGATAATAAAATATGTAATATATTATAGACGCTGAAAGCTGTTACAAGAACTTATTTAAAATGTCAAATTGTTAGTTAAACGAATAGAATTATTTAGTTTGGTAATTAGTTTAGAAATTCGTTCATTTAAGAATTATGGTGCTATATGCAATGTCATTGTTCAATTTTTTATATAAAAAAAAAGCATTAAAATATATTTTTATAGCAATGAATATATAAAAAAATATATACAGCAACAAAACTGAAAAAGAAAGACATCATGTACCTGTCATATAAGTTTGACAGTAGCATTAAATGTTATTTGGAATATGTACCAATGCCTCAATTGTAACTCTGCTTTGATTAGATATTAAAAGTACTGTATATACAATGAAATGCTAGTCACTGATATACTTACATCACTGAAAGATAGAGCACAAATGAGTGATCATATTTAATTGCTGTATAATCTTCCTAATTTATATTTTGTATTTAATATTTTAAGTAGATACTAATTTTCCGTAAATATAATATTATATGCAAAAGATTTGAATGCACCAATAGATGACATAGGTAAATTTGTAAATTATTTAAATTTATTTAAAACAATATACTTTGAAGATTTTTATTCCAATATTAATTAAATTGATTAGGTTTTTTTGTAAAATGATAAAAAATATAATAAAAATAAGTATGTTATTTTAAAAGTGTCATGATATATTGGTTTAACTTTCCAATATATCCAATTTTAAATCTTTATTTTTATACAACATTTATATACAGTAAAACATCAAATACTAATACTATCATTTAACCACTATGTCCTTGAGCTTTATCGTATTCTTCTTTAAGTTTTTCAGATTCCTGTTGTTCTTTAAATAATTTAATCAATTGTTCTGTTGCTGAAGGTTCAAACTGATCAGCTTTACCAATATTTTTCTGAAAATGAACAAGATGTATAGTGCATCAGGAAAAAAAATTTAATAAAGAAATAACATGATCAAAAGGAAGCAAATTGAATACTTACATTTGGGAATTTAGCTTGATTCAAAGATGGTTCTTTAAAAGTAAAAGGTGTCCATGGTCCTTGAATAGAAGGAAAGTTTGTCTTCCATAATTTAAGCAATCTTAAAGCTGGGCCATTGTGATACTGTGTCTTTAATAATTCCATCCATTGTACAATATCGTCACGACTATAGTTGCGGACACAAATCCAGTGAGTATCTCCATTTACTAAAATACATATTAACATAATATTTCTAAAGTAAAAATTCTATGTATTTTGAAACAATATTCAACATACAATACTCGGCTGTTATTTGAGGAGCTTTGTGCCTCCTTGGCTTAACGTATACTACCACTCCGGGATTTTCTTTTGCATAATTAATTAAATCGTGTTCTAAAAATTGCCTGTATACAATAAAAATTTGCATTTAATTCGTGTTAAAAAACATAAAGATATATCGAGAATAGGTTAAAAACTTGAAAATATCTTTACCTAATTCCAAGACTCGGACCGGTGTTTTTACAAAATTTTAAAGTTACTCTCTGCAATTGGCATACATAACGACCAACACCGAGACCATACGGAGCATTTAGATATCCAAATTTCTGAAATATGTGCCTATTTGACATTTTTGCAGACGAAAATGCAATTTAGCCGCACTCCGTTTATCGCCACGGTGTTGTGTTCACCAACACTCCTTACATTTTCTATCAGTTCCCTCTTACGGCGTACGGTTAAAACATATATAAAAAAGTAATAAAAGTGAAATTTTAAAATGATTCATTCGATTCCATACCTAACTTGTGTTTCTTTCTCATTTATTTCAGATACTTTACAAATTTATTTACGACTTATCTACCATCGTTTCATTTTAATCGAGGAAGTGTGATTTGAATTTGAAGAAAAGTGATAATATTACAAAATCATTCTAACTATTATCGAACCAACGCGGCTCGATCACGTTGCATTTAACGGGTGGTAAAGGAACGGGCATTACGGAGGGCAACGACGTAGGTAAGAATTCCCCTGGCCAAAGATGAATAGCATCCAAAAATAAGAACCCAATAAGAATACCGTGCATAAGAGGAGCTAGAATTCTTAACAGTCTGCTTCTAGGTGGTTTTTGCGGCCATACAAAAATTAATGGAGATCCATCTAATAAGGATTAAAAAGTGATTCAATTTCGTAAGTTTCGGATACATTAACCTAAGTAGATTTAAATGACAAACTTGTATTCCTTCGGATGATCGACGATTTAACGTGATGGGGACTGACTCCGGCAGGGGCACTAAATATTTCATTTCCGTTGCAGGTTTTTCTCTTTTTGTAACTGAATCTCCGACCTCCGCTCTGCCCATGCAATACACGATCTTCGAAATTCCGTTGGTAGTTGGCTCTTATCGAGCCTGTGATCGTACTCCCTGTGCTGTCTTGTAAAGAGACGCTAGTTCCGGTTAGCAGTGAACATTTGTCGTCGTCTGTGTAACGGCTACTCAAGTCTGTTCTTCTGTCAAATACGAAATCATTTGTATACCAATTACCAAATTAATTAATCGTAAAATAATATTCGAAGAAATGGGATTTTTCTCTTTTACAGACTCCTGACTAAATCGAAGGGTAACATCGCTGTCCACCTCGATCGGCTCCAGATTTTTAAGCAATTCGACGTCTCTCACGGCACGGACAGATCGGTTTATCTGGATCACAGAAAGCTTTCCTGATGCATGCTAATTTTCTTGATGCGTACAGATTGTTTTTCAGAAAAAAAAAATCGAGAACAAATGTACGATCTTGTGCGATTTTTTTTTTTAAATCGAGTCACCGCCAAGTTCAATCGCTACACGATACAGTTCAGCTTAGCGCGTGAAATTGTCGGGGTCGTTTAAAAAATGCTCTTAAAGTGGTATCAAAATTCGAAAGACCATGTCGTCAAATGTATCGCCTATTTGTAACTTTTCGTCCGAAGAATGATGCAATGCAATGAAACGTTGAGGAATCCACGAAAGAAAAAAAAAATTATAGTAACCTAATTACAAAGTTCGCGTTTACTGGCGGAGACGAAGCAAGATGTCGCGTTGTAAATGTAGGTGATTCATCGAAAATAAACACATCGCTCGCGTTATAAACAAGATATACATTCGATAAAGCGTTATAATTCGTTATAATTTGTTTGGTCAGGTCCCATACCAGAGGACGATCCTTGTTCCCTGTGCTTCGAGGACATCACGTCGAAGATGCAGGAACGACGTTGCGATCTTCTTGGTAGGCAGAAGTATTTGAGGGACAAGATCACGACGATGGAACGATCTATACCGGCGTTAATAGCGTACAATATGTGGACGTGCAAAAAGTGCGAGGATGCACCGTATTGCAAGATTCGCGAGATCATGAGAAGGTTCTCACCTTACCCGGACCAAACCGAGAGATTGCTGGACAACTTGAAGAGAACCGTGAAGGAATTGAACGGGGAGACGGCGGAGTTGCATGTACGGAACGATTGAAATTCAACGATTTCTTCGGGTAAATCTTGCCAGTGTGCTCGAATCCTTGCACCCGTTGCAAAATCTCATTCGTCGTTGTTGTATCCCTATTCGTATTTCTTTTGCGTTTTCTCGAATCTTGACTAAAGGTATCGTTTGTAATTGTAGGAGAAGATTATTCAAGCGGACGTTAAGTTAGAGGAAACGGATATGGAGTTGGAATCATTGGAACTCGTGAACAAAGAAATGAACGACGCTCTGAACGATCTGCAGAAGGAGGTGCGGAGTTACAAGACTCCGAGCCTTCATTCCATACGTTCCGAGGACATCATTTGCTTGTCGAAGATCCGTCAGCTGGCCGAGGAGGAGCTGAGCCTAAAGAATTGTATCAAAGAGCTGGAACAGAGGGAAACGATATTCAAGGAGCAAATGGATCGACTGTTAACATCCAGAGAATACCAAAATGTTTGCGGTAGACGAAAGATCAACTGTGCTCAGGATCTAGAATGCAACGGGATGAAGATTTGTTGCGTGCCTAAGAAATGTTTGATGCGTTCGTCAAACGATTTTCGTCCGAAAAAGAAACAAGCACAACATAAAAGTGACGCGGTAGTTTCTACTTCGGAGCAGAATATTAATGAGAAACCAGATCAGGAAATTAAACAGGAAAAATCCGGGGATCAGGTAGAGAAAAAATCCTCGTGGATGCCGAACTGGTGGAAGAATAATGAGAACAAAGTGGAGGAGGTGTCGTCTCAAACAAAAAGTGTTACCTCGTCGAATCCTGAAAACAACGTAAATGAATTTGTTTTATTGCTGAAAGGGAATTATTAATTATTTAATAAATATTTATTAATTAATAATATTTTTATTCACGTTACAGAAAAATGAAGAGTCTATCGGTGCAACGCTATCTAACTCTGAGAAAAAAGAAGAAAAAGCGATTAACGATAAACCATCGAAACAATCAAAATCAAAGTTTTCAACCCCGTCTTGTGAACCTTGCGGACATATGACGTGCCCTCCAGGGACTTCTACAAAATTGCCGAACCGTTCTCGTCCGTGCATTGGTCCCCGAGAGATTCAAAGTATGATGAAAAAATCCTGCACAGGAAGAATTTCTTTTTGCAATAAGAGCTTCCCCAGAAGTTCCCCTTCGAGGAAGGGTTGTTGCGAATTATCGTCTTGCCCAATCATGGATCATGGTACGTAATGCAACCAGTTCATCGATCGGAATAGGAACTAATTGTACTCGAAATTACAGGTATTCGTAAGTTGTGCAAACCAATATTGGTACCGCCCTGTGATCTTAGAAGCCCGTGTGAAATTTGTCCTTCGCCTTGCAACGGTTTTCTACACCCCAAAGGAAATTGCAGGTGTAACTGCAAGGGTAAATGTGCACTAGGATTGTCGGATGCGGAGTGCAATTGCAGTGATGCACTGAACGATTATCATCCAACTGGCTCACAGTATCTAAACACGCACATGGAGGACAGTAATAGCGAGGATGAATTTTGCGAATGTTGTTCCTGCGGTTGCGAGGACAGCGATGCATCTTTGCCGTGCCAGTGCAACTGACCTGTAAGTATTTTTATCTATTGTTTTATTCTTTTGCAATATTACAAGGAAAATTTATTGACAAGGCTTATTACTTCTGCAAATATATTTCATTTAATCTTGTTATACATAATCCAATATTAGAACTCAATGTTAAATGGGAAGTACTTGTGATGTTCAAGTCTGAAAATCAAATATAAAATTATTAAAGAAGGATTTCTTTGGTGCTTGCTACAAGTACTTACCCAGGTATAATGCAGACCCTTCCATTGCAATCCAAGCTATTCATTACTTCCATATCTTCAGGGCTGAGTTCGAAGTCGAAAATTTCATAGTTTTCTTGGATTCTCGATTTTGTTACCGACTTGGGTATCACTATATGTCCACGTTGAGTCTATTAAGATAGAAGTGTAATAATGAAAGGTTTTTAATCCTATTCGAGATACTTAATGGATTCAAGATACATACTTGATACCGTAATGCTACTTGTGCAGGTGATTTCTTGTATTTAGCAGCCAGTTCCTTGAGTTTCGGATCTTCCAATACCAATCGGTCGTTAGGTTTAGCGAAAGGTCTATCGGGAGCTGCGAAAGGACTGTAAGCAGTGATCGTAATCTCCCTGGATTTACAAAACTCGGAAAGTTTCTTCTGAGTTAAATATGGATGGCATTCCACTTGATTAGTCACCGGTTTTATCGTACAATTGGCTAGTATTCGTTCTATTTGTTGGGAATTGAAATTGCTTACGCCAATGTTCTTCACGAGACCTTTCTTTAAAACGTTCTCCATGGCGCGCCAGGTATCGAGGTAATCGGTATCATCGGTTAAGATGTTACCATCGGAATCTTTTGGTATAGTTTCATCTCCATCTGTGAACGAATTTTTTAAATACACTAATCGATACTTAAACTCATTAAAGAAGAAAATACCTTTGAATGCAACTGGAAAATGTATCAGGTAAAGGTCCAGGTATTCGAGACCAAGGTCGTTCAAGGTTTTTTTCAATGCAGCCTCGACTCGTTCTGGTCGATGGTGCCATAATTTACTAGTGACAAAAATATCCTCCCGTTTGATAACGCCTTCTTTAATTTTCGCAGTAATCGCTGCACCCACTTCATTCTCGTTTTCATAAACTGGGGCGCAGTCAAGATGTCGATATCCTACATCAATGGCATCTTTCACAGCTTGAGTTACTTGGTCTGGTTTTGACTGTTTAATAAGCAAACGAATACATATATATGTGTATGTATTCATGTAATAAAACACGTCATTTGATCGGTAAGAATATAAATATTCTTAGAGATGATTACAGAAGATAAAAGCAATTAATTATTTTTCACGTCATTGATCTTTATATTCCGCTTATTGGCTGTTCAATTACAGAAATGAAAGATGTTTGATGAAACATAACCTATAATATGTTATTTCATTGAATAAAATTGTTTATATACTTTTTAAAGTAATAGAAATTTAGTGGAGTCAAGTTTTAACGTACCTTCCACGTGCCGAGACCCAATATGGGATACGTATTGCCATTGTAGAATTTTACAGATGGTACCATCGTGAAGTGTGCACTGCCAATTATATCTGCGATAAATTGATGTTCGTTAATCAAGACTTCTGTATATATATCATACCGGTATCATATCTAATTATTATTATCGATGTTATCTACACCGCAAGTCACTATAGCATTGTGTTATTTTTATTTCCCCACTATCTTAAGTGCTACGTTTTTTAATTAAAATACATCGGGCAGGTAATTAAAGTACACACATTTTTTATTATTGTGCAGTTTATTTTATACAGAATGCAGTATAAAACATGCAGAAAAATATATAAATGATGAAATTATACCAGTTTGTACATATCGTTTCTTAACATAATACAATTCCTTAAAATGGAATGTTGAAGGGATAGTAAGGACTTGGCTCGGTTCTGAAAAATAATAGTTTTATATTAGAAAAATTAAACGCGTTCCAAACTTAATATAAATAGTATTATAAAAGATATATTTACCCTGTCATTGGGCAGATCCTGCCATTGCAATCAAAGGTATCAATATATGCAATATCCTCTGGGGTGAGTTTGAAGTCAAAGACCTCACTGTTTTGAGCAATTCTTGATTTTGTTACTGATTTCGGTATTACTATGTGCCCGCGATCCAACTGATATCTAATTAGAACTTGTGCAGGTGTTTTCTTGTATTTTTTGGCAAGTTCAACCAATTTTTTGTCTTCTAATAATTTTGGATCATCTGGCTTGGCCCATGGTCTGTCAGGAGATCCAAGAGGACTGTAGGCAGTAATGAGAATACCCCTTTCTTTGCAAAAGTCTGAGAGCTTTCTTTGAGTTAGATATGGATGGCATTCAATCTGCAAATAAATAAACTCTGTAAAAATATTCTATAAGAAATGTTAGTAGAAATTGAATGAAATGCATGCTCACTTGATTTGTAACTGGTTTGATGGTACAGTTTTTGAGCAACCTTTCAATTTGTTCAGAATTGAAATTGCTTACACCAATGTTCTTGGTCAGTCCCTTTGCTACCAAAGCTTCCATTGCTTTCCATGTGTCTAGATAATCTACATTGCTCAATGCAGGCTTACCATCAGCATTTGTGGGAAATATATCACCCCCTTCTTTGTATGCCATTGGCCAATGGATTAAATAAAGGTCCAAATACTCTAGACCTAAATCTGACAAAGTTTTCTTGATGGCAGGTTCAACCAAGTCTGGCTTATGGAAAGTGTTCCACAATTTGCTTGTGATGAAAAGGTCCTGCCTTTTCACAACACCTTCAGCTATTTTTGCTTTAATGGCTTCACCCACTTCTTTTTCATTACCATACACATGGGCACAATCAATGTGCCTATACCCAATATCAATAGCATCCTTAACAGCCTGAGTAACTTCACCAGGTTTGGACTGAAATATGATTATCATTAATTAAGAATGTGAAGTACCACTTATCACACAAGTAAAAATTATTTTCCAGCAAATTCTTGGATCTCATATCATTCTTATATAATTGTGATAAATAGCTTATCTTTAAATATGCAATGCCATTTACTGATTCTAATAAAACTCAGTTATAATACTTATAGCAATTTTTTTTTATAATTGCACAATATGCATATCTGTAGTTTCGAAATGATAAATAACAGCTTAAACTTGCATATCCATATGTACTTCCATATATAATTACGTAAATTCAAATTTAAACAAAAATTATATTACTTTAATATACTTTATTTTTTATTCATACAATTTGATTTCTAACACATAAAATGTGAAAATAAATATCAATTAAACCGGAAGCTGTATTTCAGATGGAAGCGAACTATTCATCCATTTAGTAGATTCTAGAACATCGCGGAACAATTGCGTCTTAGATGAAGGAAGAATTAAATATTTTCCGTTGGTATGAGAAGAAAATTATGAAATAAATTCACTTAAAATGATCGGCATTCAGTAAGAGAGAAGTCGGAACGTAGCTTATGAACAATTCTTTGTATCTCTTTCGTGAATTTATGAGATAAATCTTTTGCTATGCTTAATCGCGTCATAGGAGATAGTACTGACCTTCCATGTACCCAAACCGAAAGCCGGCATTTCGTTGCCGTTATAGAATTTCATGATCGGTACGTTCAGAACCATCTTGATCTTGTTATATATTTATTGTTAGACACACAAAGACTTTTTGAAACAAAGTTTTCCACTTGTTGAGATTCGGCAAACCGTCATTCACTAAAGTTAGCAGTACAAATGCCGGTAGATTTGCCTAAGCTCCTTTTATAAATGTCCTACGTTGATTCCCTGTTCCCGCTCCCCCCGAAAGCAGACCCGTAATATGGATGTAGAATTCGTTGTCTTTTCGTGAATTTATAGATCAAAAGATATATTTAATCTTATGTATTCAAAAGATAAATATTGGTTATGATTAACGAATTTATATCAAAATCTCCTCTTACAGCATACTTCATAACAGTTTTTACATAACTTGGACACTAAACTTAAGATTCAATGTTTAAGAATTTTATTGATTGATACCAATACAAAAATCTATTTTATTCGTTTTGTTTAATTATTAAATATTGAATATATTTTTAGTAGAATAACACTCTGCATAGGACTTGTTTGATATTTACATACAGTATATACTTTATCTTTGGTTTCTGTTTTTCAGATTGAGATATTTTATATCAGACCTACGAATGGAAAAATTGTTACCGAAGGCTATAAACGAAGGAGTTTGAAAAATCTGAAAAAAATAAGAGAAAAGGAAAGGAACGGTACCTTTGATCCCCCAAAACTGTACTGCCCTGTTTCATAAGTGTTTTCTGCGCATGCGATTCTCGATCATACATGTGTGCGATCTTGCATAATAAGTTTTATGTCTTATACAGAAAGATTTCTTTGTGTCTGTATCTCGATCGTAGTCCCTGGGATGCCGGTAAATTCGTTAACGAGAAACGGGCCCTATGGAAAATTACAGAGACCGTTACAAACAGCAAGGGACGGTTGAAACCCTTGATTGTTAAGAATGAATGAATGAATTACAGAGAATAACAGTGTACACTCATAACAGAAATGGATTGTTCTTGAAAGTGATTTTAATTCACATTTCGCAGGAGATTTCGAATGTACGTTAATTCTGACAATGTCATCTATGGATCGATAAGTTGATTGTCTTCTGACATTTTTACGGCTTTCTGAAAACGACGCTCGGTTTCAACGAACTGGTAAACAGAAAAAAAAAACAAGAAAAAACATAACACTATGGTTTTAACGTTTGGAAATAATAAAATGAAAAGAAAAAAATAAAATTCGGTGTATACTTGAAACTATATTTCATATTTTATATACATTTTGACGTTATTCGCGTCGATAATACATTTAATTTAAAATCAATAATGTTTATTGATCGACATTCGCATTCGAAGGAGCTAACCGTTTGATGTTTGAGGTAGACTATTTCTTTTCTTCTAAACCGTACAATGGATAGAGCGTTCTTCAATAATGTTATTGTGTTAGCATATGGAAGAACAATGATGGTACTAAAACCTTTCAACGTTTCAATGAGAACGATAATTTTTATTTTTATATACAATGTAAAGAGCTTCTAATCATAGAAATATCTTCTATATACATAATTAAAGATATGCGTTCTGATAAAAATACACGTGTATAATTAGAACATTCAAAGTATCATATTATATAAACCTTGTTCATAAAGATCCGAATAATTGATCGGGGGTTTGATTAAATTCTATTTATCAGAGGAAAAAAAAAGAACTTTATAAAAAAATTTTGAAAACACTGCCAGATGAATTCAATTTATATAGAATACTTCTCTTTGTAATTTAAACAAGTGATTCTATGCACGTGTACAACTTTATCGTTCACTTTATCTTAATCTGTTAAAACGTCGAACGATATACCCATACCGTTTTCCGCGAAACAGATTTATCGATTTCGTAATCGATAAACGTAAGAACTGCACGAATAAAACTTCGAACTACATAAATATTAAACTAAAATCTATTTAATGTTCACGAAGCGTTGAATAACATTGGATAAAGAACACGGTGAAATAATACAAGGAAAGCCATATCCATCCGTAGTGGAATAGACAATAGATCTTGTTACAGAACCGTTGGTTGTAAACATCTTTTAAATTGTATTCCATTCCTGAACGATTTTGTAAACTGTTCGTACCGTTCCTTCTGAAGTAAATCCGATCCACTATGTCCCTTTGATAATTGTCTTTCGAATATTTCAAGCAGTTGTTTTGATCAACCACGATTCTGTTGTTTGATATATTTTTACTATTTATCTGTTTATTAAGTATAACACCGATTTTATCTTTGTAGGAGGACCAGTTCAACGCGTCACCCTCGACCTGTAAGCACCTACATGTTCTAGTTTTTCGAAAAATCATGAACTTCACGATGGCCTTGACTTTCCTCCGAATGATCACATCGTTCCATCGGCTTCTGGACATCGTTCCGTTTGGGATCAACGCGATATTTCTGTCGAGATAATTGCGTTCCTTCCGCAAAGTGTACAACGTCAACTCCAAGAGCAGACAATTGAAGAATTTTGCATCGAAGTACAAAAGATCCTCTAGGTCGTTCCTCAGAGTCGTTAGACTATTATCGCTGAAAACATCTTTGAATTCGTGTAAACGGGTACAATGATTGTCGATGTGTAAAACAATACAGCGGAGTATGGTGAAGATCAGGTTCATTACTTTGCTCTGAACGGTTCTTCCATTCCTCAGGAGGATCGATATCTCCTTCAGCTTCTGGTTGGACACGAATAGAGCATCGTATTGGCTCGCGAACACCGACATGACGGTGATTCTCGAAATCAATTACGTCCTTAATACTAATCTCTTAGAACCTAAACGTTATCTCTTACTTATCTTGTATCTGTTTGCTTAAACATTTATATATAGAGCGTTCTTTTCGCGCGGTCACTACTCGTACTCGATGACTGCACCATAAATTAAGAATGAAAAATGTGGAATGATTTTTCAAATTCTTGTCAGTATTCGCATCGTCACGAGCACGGCTGTTAAGATACTGAATCATTCATAATTCATACAATGCTTTTATTTACATTCAAATCCAACTAGGTAAAAGTAGAGCTCTAAAGCCAACCCCGGTCAGACCGGAAGTGGCAAAAAAAAAAATATTCGGTCATTAGTTAAGATTTTCACTCACTAAACACAATGGCGCAAGAATTTTTTCGATCGTCTAAATGCTTTAACCCCCTTCTCAAGATTTTCAATCTTAGATACGCTTGGCTAATAACGACGGACATGGATGTAGGGTCGTTGAAAGGTTTTGTAATGAAATTCCGAGGATCGCGTTTAATTTACAGAAAACTTTATTGCATCAAATTGAAAGTGAATCGTACATGATGTTCAATAAATAAAAATATTACAATGAATAGAAGATTAACATATAAATTCATATTGAGAAATTATTTTCGAAACCAGGATTCCAATTTTGAATCGGAGATGATGTACGATTTTTGGTAACTTCCGAATATTCGCTGAACGTCGAGTTCATGTGCGGATTTTGAAAATCAATATCCGAACAGTTCACATGTTCCTCGGAGTTCCAAACTCTACACGGGACGTTCTTCTCCTTGTCGTCGGCCCAAACAAACTCCGCGGCTCCTTCGGCGTAAGAAAGAAACGGCTCGGCCGATATTTTCTTCTTGATCGTAAACGCCTCTTTCTCGTCTAGATATTCTTCCATTACTTGCTTCTCTAATAGCAGGAACGATTTCAATGAGCTGTTGGTCGTGTCGTGGCTCGTCGTAAAGCGATCCACCGTGTCGTTCACCTCTGCGGATGTGTTCACTTCTTTCTCGTTCGAATTCAACGTCGAGTTACTCGTTAGATTCTCTTCATTATCGTACTCTTCATCCTTCAACGCGACGCTACTGAATGTGATGACGTCCGGTAACGAGGATGTTTTTTTATGTCTCGACACGTTGGAGGAGAAGGATGTCCCGTTCACGATAGCGGTTCGTTGTGCAGTTTCTATGGTGTTTGGTAACTTGTCGAAGGTAATCATGTTCTTAATCGCATCCCGGCATTCTTTCACCTTAACGAGCATTTTAGACCTCCACGAGCCGCAGTGGAATATCCTTGACGATTCAGTGCTTTCGGAAGACAGCTCCATTTGTGTTGGTGACTTGAATTTCGTGTTCAATCTATAGAATGAAAAACGGTATTCATTGTTTTCGCACATGCTGTAGATAAAATATTTGCAGTGAAAATACCGGGTATAACGTGACTCAATTTCATCAGATAGGTTTAAAAAAAGAATTTAAAAAAAAAAAACTTACACCTGTGCGATATGATTCATGATGTAATTGCGTCCTCCATATAACGAATTTATTGGAAACGTCTTGAATACGTGACCGTCAACTTGACAATATGATAGCGAATAGCATTGAAACTGTACGAACTCTGTCGAAGGTCATGGCATGATTTACTAAACACGACGATGTATGAGAAATTCAAATTCGAATCGGCATGTGACTTATCGCGCGATTCAGATAGTTCCTGTTGCTGTGATATAATATTTTCTTCACCGATGATGTTGTGGACATTACAGAACGTTAAGTGAATATTTTAAAGAGAGAAAAAGAAGAAACGAAAGTGATGGAATATCCCATCATAGTGGAAATATTGAATAATATAGCAGCAAAAAATTCCATTCGAACGAATATGGGATAAGCAATTTCGCTTGTCGATTAAGTCATACTAAAAAAAGGGTCCTCGCCCACACGAGCCTTTGCCATTCATTGGCCTTGAAGAAGGCTGGCCCAGAATTCTCAATGAAAATAAATCACGGTCCTTTTTCCCTAGTAGGATCCTGCTATAATTTATAGACGACTTTCTTCATTCCATGACTTGGACTACTTGTGCACTCTACCGTGTAATACTACTTTTTTTTCTCACAAGAACATTAAATAGTAAATTAGAATTGTAAAAAGAAGTTTCAAACGAAAATTAGCCTCATTTGGTATGAAACAATGTATTTTTATTACTTTATTATCTGCAAGCTTAATTGTATTCAAATTTCTTTTACTAATTACATTTCCGCTACCGCATTTCTGCTGTTTAGTATACAGATAACAGCCTGTATTTGAAACACGAGTGTCCTTTTACAGTATCTAGAATACCTTGACACACATTGATTTGCAAGTTTCCAACAAGTTTTCTGTTGCAAAAGCAACGATACACGATTGTTTCTTAAAAAATAGAAGATGTTATCGTATAAAGCTACGTTTTGATGCAATTTTATTTGCTCAGAAATTGTACATTCTGTCATCGTTGTAAATACTGGTTACATGCAATTAGCCTGATTCGCAACGGTGTCCGCTTTGTTATGTTTGCAGGCTAGTATGATGTCATTTCAAAACGAAGCGTCGAAATTTTCCATGGCGTTCAATATATCCAATTGAATAGACAAGGGTCAAACGAGAGCCGAATTGCAGCGTGGGATTATATAAGTTCAAAGAGGATATGCCTTACTATTTAATTTACACCGAAACTGATGAGCTGCTTCCTGCCATCCGTTCGCGATGAAACTTTCACTTCTAGAATGGGTAATATTTGTGGTCCTTCAAGCTGAAAAAAAATTAATAATGTAATGTTGATTGATTTCTTTCAATTGTATTACCTATACATAGTAAGTATTTTTCGCTTACTCTATAAATCGTGCAACGCGTTGACCTGTAGCGAGTGCTGCTATAGAGTTCATTTCCTCAGTTGATAAGGAAAAATCAAATATGTCCATGTTTTCCTTCAGTCGACTGGGTGTTACAGTTTTCGGGATAATGGCGATTCCATGTTGCACCTGATATGTTTGAAAGAATTACACGGAATTAAATATCTTATATCAGTAGATAACCGCATGTTTCTTTCTTTTTACAGAACCCATTTCTAACGATGAACGCAGATCATACTCGCAATTTATCGATATTAATTAAAATGATCAGCTTATGTTATTAATGCTGCTGTTGATAAAAAGGATTTTCGAAGCTCGTACGTGGCTTTATCCGAGGGCAAAAGATCAATTAACACTCTCTTCAATTTGATTAAAGGTAAAAAAATAATTACCGCGTATCGTAGACTAATTTGTGCTGGTGTTTTATTGTGCTTTTTGGCGAGTTCTAAAATTGTTGGGTTTTCCAGGAAATTCGGTGCACCGGCTTTGTTTCCAGGTTGTCCCAATGGTGAGTATCCAGTTACAGTGATATTATTTTTCTGACAGAATTCAATCAATGGCTTTTGATTTAAATTCACACTAACTTCGACCTGTGTACAAAGAATTTGTTCAGTATAATGTTTAAGAGTTACTTCGTTAAGATAGAATTACCTGATTGTTTACAGGTGGAACTTTAGCTACTGGAAGCAAACGAGTGATTTGTTCTATGCTGAAATTGCTGACTCCAATGCTACGAGCTAATCCTAACTGCACACATTGTTCCATTCCTTTCCAAGTTTCAAGATAGTCCGTGTCTGATGTTATAGGAATACCTTTTTCATTTTTAGGTAACAATTCATCTCCTTCCTAACAAATGATTAGAACATACTGTATAAATGTATGATGCTTTGGTAATTTAATTTCGATTGGGTGAATCGTTGAGTTGGAAGTTACCTTAAAAGCAAATGGCCAGTGAATTAGATAGAGATCCACGTAGCTGAGACCAAGAAGTTCCAAAGATTTTTTGCAAGTTGGAACAACCATATCTTCTTTATGGGCATTGTTCCAAAGCTAAAACAAACATCACTTTTTAATTCTACGTTTATTAAAATTAAAATTAATTGAAATAAGAAACAATATTACCTTGGTTGTAATGAAAAGATCCTCCCTTTTCACGGTGCCGTCTTTGATTTTAGCTTGAACCGCTTGACCGATTTCTTTTTCATTTTGGTAAAAATGTGCGGTGTCTATATGACGATATCCAAGATCTATAGCTTCCATCACGGCTTTTTCTACCTCTCCCGCTTTTGACTGAAAAAAGAAATTAGTTATAAACAAATTGTGCATGAAATCATAGGTGTACTGTATGTTCTAGATCTTGCAACTTTTGAATAAACCGCGTGCTTGGATCACGTGATATGATTCCGAAGATTCTTATCTACGAGGTTTCCAAAATGGTTCCTCTAACTATGTATGTATGTAGATGAAAGTTCTAATATTTTAATATTTGTTCAGCAATTTTAATAATGATCTACATGTTTTCTTACCTGGTACGTACCAAGGCCAAAAACAGGCATCTTGAGGCCATTGGAAAATGTAAGACTAGGTATTGGCGACATTTTAGGTTGGAATTTGAAGAAATTTTTAAAGAAAAATCTGATAGGCGGTAAAATTGTTCGTTGAACGTTCCGTTCTTTCAGTCCGATCCTCACTAAAACGCTAATATTCTTGGATATCAACTGGTTACAAAGCATTGAAGCACCTCCTATTCATACTATTCCTCACAGATAACAATTACGTAACAGTGTTGATGCGAATGATTCTATCGCTTATGCCAAGATTAAAAGTATTGCTTGAATTTCATAACGCCATGAAATTTTTAAGCACGGTATCAATGTTCGATTTCTTATCGACGATAAGAAATAAATTGTTTTGAGGAGTAATACTAATTGATATTTAACTAGAAAAGGCTCTGAATTTATACATAAACGTATAGAAAAACTATGATATATTACTACTTCTGAATATTTAATAGAAATGACGCTGCGGGCACGTGATTCATCGCTTTCTTGAGCAATATTTCTAAAACGGAAGTTTATTGGTATCAGGAATTACATATCCGGGTGAAGATTGTATAAAATATGAATACAAACAAACACAGGAATACATTACAATTATTTCGAAGAACTTTATTAGAATTCTATGTTAAAAGGATAATCCTTGTGTTCCTTGAACCTAAGTACAAAAATTGTATTATAATTAGAACATGAAAACGATAGTGTATATAAATACGAATATCTATTTATTACTTACTCTGCAGCTGGACATATACGAACTCCGCGATCGAGTTTATCTATTGCTGCAACTTCTTGCGGAGTTAGGTTAAAATCAAAAATGTTAATATTCTGTTTTATGCGATCTTTGGAGCTTGATTTCGGTATGGGAATAGTACCAATTTGTGTCTGAAAATGAAGGACGATTATTTTAGATAAGTTCCCCCGCCATGACTGTACAAATATAATTACCAAGTATCGCAGGACAACTTGTGCAGGGGTTTTTCCATATTTCTTAGCGATCGTAACAATTTCCGGCGCTTCGATGGTAACTTGTGGATCGCCAGGTTTGATCCAAGTTCGTTTAGGCGAACCAAAAGGGCTATAAGCGGTAATAGTTATACCACGTTTCGCACAGAATTCTCGTAACTTCTTTTGATTCAAGTTCGGGTGACATTCCACTTGATTCATAACAGGTTTAATCTCGGCGACCGATAACACACGTTCAATCTGTTTCGAGTTGAAATTGCTAAGCCCTATATTTTTTGCTAATCCTAATTTCACGCATTCTTCCATACCACGCCACGTGTCCACGTAATCAGCGTCCCCAGACAAGGGCTTACCATTCTCATCCACTGGCCACAGACCTTTGGCATTTTCCTGAAAATAATATGCAAGTTAAAATAACAAGTTTTATAACATATTTGAATTTATATAATCATACAATCTTACGTCATAAGATACGGGCCAGTGAATAAGATAAAGGTCCACGTAACCCAATCCGAAATTTTGGACTGATCTCTTACATGTTGGTACCACCTGTTCCCTTTTGTGGGATGTATTCCATAGCTAAAAATATAAAAATGTCAATAAATGCCGCTATTAATGTGACCCATTTTTGTCGTACACGTAACTACCTTTGTTGTAATGAATAAGTCTTCTCTTTTCACAACTCCTTCATTGATTTTTTCTCGCAATGCTTTACCGATTTCTTTCTCGTTACCGTAGATGTAAGCGCAATCGAAATGTCTGTATCCAGCGTCGACGGCATCTCGCACAGCTTGCTCAACAACGCTCGGATCGTCCTTAAAAAATATGACAATAAAAGTAATATAAATGTGTACTTTGAAAATGAACGTTATCGTCGGTGCTTGTCGTTTTTAATATTCGTAGCTTGTCATAATTAGCGTTTTAAAGACAGAAGTAATATTTACAGAAGTGATAACATGACTAATTTTCATAATGTAATATACTTACTCCGGCTTGCCAAGTACCAAGTCCTAACACTGGAACCTTTTGTCCATTACTTAAAGTAAGTGTTGGTGCAGCCATTGTAACTTGTGTTTTATCACACGTTTAGAGCTAATCCGGTTGTTACTTTCTGAAATATATACACAAGACTTAGATGACTTGTGAGTAGGTATATGTATAAGTACTAGTGAGATAGATCCCCCCACTATAGGTACATTCCCTCGCTAGGTACATATTCGCTGGTATCAAAATGAATACTTTTTGTTTAGTTTTTTTCCGCAATTGCAATAACTGATTCGATAAACCTAAGATTACATTATGTGCATACAGTACTGTATGCCTAATCTATATAGATACAGCTAATGAAGTCTTATTCAAAGTAATACGTACCGAAATATGGACATATGTACTCGTAGAAAACTTACGTAATTCACGATGAGATATGAACAATGTTTTTTACACTTATTTATTAGTTTTTAAAGAGATGCAAGTTCAAAGTATACATTCAAATTTGTATTAAAATGCAAACTATAAATAAGCGTAACGTACTTTTTTTATGAGCGGGAAAATATAATAATCGATAGAAACCAAATATAATATATCAATATTTGTATTTTCTTTAAAAACTTATGTTAACCATACAAATGCCAATAGATTATTTTATACAGCTTTCTCCCCTTCGCTGTTCTCCGTTATTTGAGCTTTTTCTTTCTTAGAATTCTTATTTTGATTTTTTATCTTTTTCGAAGTCTCAGTTTCACTTACTAGATTAATTCTTGTCTTTGCGCGTGTACCAGGTCCCCAATTAACGATAGGATTTTGCTGAAAACGAGTCAACTTATTTTGTCTGGAAACTGGATTGGCTAGAGGATGATATTCAAATGAAACATCTGTATCTATTGGTTTCTCTAATATCCATTTTCCAGGACTATTATCTGGCAATCTATTTGGGGTGACAGGATTCCGTTTCTCCCATGCACGTACAATATCCCATATAACAGAATTCGGTGCATCTGTTTTTATAGATGTTTTACACGCATGCGAGTATGATACATTAAAACCTGCATTCAACAATGCAGATCTAAATACTAACATTGGTGGTGTAATACATTTGACTATTGACATTAAACGATCGATAGTGTAATACAATGGAACATCCAACTCTTCACGAACGACATTCAAGATTCCGTGAATTCTTTTTGATGTTTTTAACTCCACATCATCTAAGTTACATAAAAGTGTAGAGACAAATTGTTGGTCATGCAAGGGCCCTAACCACATAGGTCCTCCTTCTTGCTGCTTGCGATGGCAGATTGAACAGAATTTATCCGTTCCAGGTGACTGTAGTAATTTATACCCTCCGGTAAGCTGTTTGTAGCATAATGGTTGAGTAGTGATGCTCTCACAACCTGTGCATTGATATACCCTTCCTATTTTGGTAGCATTCTCTTTACATTTAATTTGACTGGAAAATATCTTCACAAATACTCTTATATAGAAATCAGCGCTTATAGAGAGTAGCGGTATAATGTATCTTCCGTAACGACCAGCATGTGTTGCAATATTTTGTAACAAGATTCTTAGTGCCATTTCATGGCAAGCTTTAGATTTCAACGAGATAGCTCCATATTTAAGATAACAAGTTTCAGGAACATTCCCAGCCAATACAGCCATATCTGTAGCTGTAACCATAAGTAGTCCTCCATCTGATACACATTGAACTGCTCCATCCAAGAAGGGTGTAGGACAACCATACGGATCCAAGTCTATTACATTAAAACGGTTCCTTCTGCATTGGTACATTAATAATGTTGCATCTTCTTGATTTGGTTTTATAATATGTTCAACTTTATTGTGCTCTATATTTTTCTTTAAACTTTCTACTGCTTTCGCAGATATATCATTAGCTACAATTTGCTTTATACCCTCTACTTCTTTAGCATAGCGAATACTACGTAAACCAGTAGCAGATAAGGCTTCCAATAAAGTGATCCCAGTCAGTTTTTCTTCATTTGTTTCTAGTACTTGCTCAGTTTTGTCTTTTACATATGTCATTAATGCCAGCACACTAAGATCCCTGTTAAATTCTTGAACAGGGTTGTAAAACACATTTGTATTGTTTACCAGAATTTCTGCTTTCCCTTCTGTTATAGTAGAAGGAGGTATGCTTGTTTCATTATCCAATTTTAATTTTTTTGTACATTGTTCCATATTAGATAAGAGATACAATAGAAATATGAGACAAGATTTTGGAGTATATCTGTAAATATTCAATTAAATATTTTATATACGTATGTACAAGTGTATCTTAAATAATTCTTATTTTTATGTAATAATAACACTGTGTACTTAAGAAGAGAAATTTCACTTACATTACATATGTAAATTTTTTTCATAAGGAAATATAGGAGATAATAAACAGGAGAGTTTATTACTAGTTAAACATTCTACTTTACTGCACGTATATCATTTTATATGTGAATTAAATAATACATGTAAGGTTAATGTTCGGTTTGTTTTAAAATAATTCAGCATGTTCTACATCAAATGATGGCGACATTATTTTTATCTACAATCGTTATTGTAGTTTGTGTCATTACATAATAAACATTCTTAGAACGCTAGTTGCATCTTTCTATAAGAAAACGGAGCACATTTCAGTCAGTGACTACAGATGCAGCAAGATTGGATATGCCTTTGTTCTTGTTTTTTTTTTTTTTTTTTTTTTTTTTTTTAAATGGGAATTAGCATATGACCGTAAAATTATTAAAATAATTGTTTGACAAACTTGTATTTGCAAATATGTATTTTAAAAAGATCATTATAAATCAAGACTTTATAAACAAGGCGTTTCGCGCTATAGGCTGAAGCGCGTCAGTTTGTCTTTGGACCTCGAAGAGGTAGGATGGTGCGCTCTCTCGGCTTCGACTGTAGCGCCATCTATGTGGAAACAGCGCAAACTACTCAACAACTTACCGACTCCCGTATGATAAGTCAGGAAGTAGTTTCCGCTACTATCGGATAGATGGCGCTAGCGTTCCCTTCGGAAAATCGATCGGTAAGTTGTTGAGTAGTTTGCGCCATTTTTGTATAGATAGAGCTGGGATCGAATTTTAAAAGCACATAATCTATGGCGGTCTTTTTAAAATATAAGTTTATGGATACAAGTTTGTCGAACAATTATTTTAATAATTTTTTCGGCCTTGTGTAGATTTTGATTGATTTCTGAAAGAGCAGAATTTAAGGGAATCAAAATTGTGTCTTTTTAGTTGTCAGTGCGAGGTGTGGTAAAGGAAGAACTAATAAAATTGGTACGAATGTCATACTAACTATACGCTGCCATACAGAGAAGAAGTGGACTTATAGAAAGATCTGGAAACACAGATTACAAGTAAGTAATGTGTAGACAGATTCCTACAATGTTAATGCCTAGTAGATGATAATAAGTGAAAGAATAGAAATAACACAATAGTTTTCTTTAAATATATTTGGTATGTTGTATTGCAGTAATTGAAGATGGATACGTCGTGGAGGAATACTCGTGAAGCTCTTAAAAACTTTGCAAGTATACTAACATGTAACAAATGGTAATATTTTACTCAAAGTATTGAATTTTTCAATTGTTTTACATTCTTTTCAGTTTATTTTGTTTTCTTTTTATTCTAGTGGAAGTAAACCAATAGATGCAGTGAGATATACAAATTGTGGTCACTTTTTTTGCAATCAATGTACTGTAAATCACTCTGTATGCATAAGATGTAATATACCTGTGCAACCAGTTGAAACATGTAATGATCACTTAATTAAGAATCTTGTTTCTTATTGTAGTACTATTGCAGAAATAATACAGGAAAAGTGTGTACATATTATTGTATTTAGGAATATAGTTGTATGTTAATTTTATCTATATGTATAATTGTTATTCATTAATAACTAAAAGATAAAAGACATTATTTTGTAAAATGATTAATTATAAATGATAGTGCCTATAAGAAAATACTACTATGCTGATCACTTATGATATTTAATACAAACTTTTTAGAGATTTGTGGAATACAACTACAGATGTAAATACCTCACAAATCCTTAGTGTACCACAATCTGTACCAAAAGCTTCCAGTGTAAATTATCGCATACCAAAGAAAAATATAAATAAAAAAAATGATAAAGGAGAAACAAAATTACACATTGCTTGTATAAAGGTACAATTCAATACTTATAATACATTAAATTCAAAATAGAATAAAATATTTTTTTTAAATGTTTAGAAGCAAGAAGATTATGTAAAAGCTTTATTAACTGCTGGTGCAAATCCAAATACAAAAGATCATACTGGTTGGACACCTTTAGTAAGTTATTTTTGTATTTTAATATATCATTTTTTTAGTTACATAATTTGTACTGTTCATATTATATATTTTCTTTTGCAGCAAGAAGTTGTAAATTTTGGATATACTAGTATATGTAAACTACTGTTAGAATGTGGTGCATTACCCAATACACCTGGTGCAGAAAATAGAAGAGCACTGCATGATGCTGCTATGACCAATAGGTTACCAGAAGCACAGCTGCTTTTAAAATATTCTGCTAGTAAACATGTATATGACATCCATGGAAAAAAGCCTATGTACGTGTTATTTAGGGTTACAATGTTTCATACTGATTTCTGCATGTAAATATTAGTAACTAAAAATTGTATTATTCCACTACTAATTAGTATTAGTAAAGTGCTGACTTTATGATCTTATCTTTATTTGTCATACATGGTGGGCCATAAGTAATTGGTTTGTTACACTTCATGTAACCCACACTGTATGTTTATGCAAAGTTATTTTCATTATTATTTTGTATTCTTGTATGATAGAGATTACTGTATACCACAAAGTGAAATGTGGAATATTTTGAAAGATGAAAATGACGAGACAAATGAAGAAGTTACATTTTTTAATAGTACTTTAAATCAATCATTTTCTGCAACGCAACCATTTAATAGAATTGTTATATATGCATCAAATTTAAAAGATGAAGATAAAAAATACTTAGAGGAGATGGCTTCAAAGCATAGAATTAAAATTGCTTCTGTATTTGGGTATGTTATTAATTGTAGTTTGTAACAGACTATGATTTTAAAGTTGAAAAAGATCGAAAAATGTTTATATCTTAACATGTATTTTAGATCCACTGTAACTCATGTCATAGTAGAAGCAAATAGTAAAAATATCGTACAGCTATCGTACAATGTAATGATGGCACTCTTGCGCGGATGTTGGTTACTTAACACTGAATGTAAGACTGTGTACTTATTTATTTAAGTCTCAAAATTTATGAACGATCAATTTCTAATATATATTTTACACATGAAAGGGATTCAACTAGGTATGGATATAGATGAAATATTAAAAGGGGATTTGGAAGTATTTGAAGTAAGTGGGGTACCAGACAAAGGTATTCCGAAGCAAGCTAGAGAAAGTGCACAAAATCAGGTAAAGTTAATCATAATATTAGTAAAAGAATGTAAAATAATATTCCCGATTGTATTTTCAGAATCCAGGTCTTTTTAGTCAGTGTTATTTTTATTTTGCTTTGCAATCAAACAAGGAATATGTAATAAATGATATGTTACTAACAAAAGACGCTTTGATAAAACTTGTACAAGCAGGTGGTGGTACAGTCTTAAAAAGAGAACCAGATCCTGAGATTATAAAAGAAAAAGAACAACTCATTCCTTTTCATATTGCAAATGAACCTACTCATTCTTTATATAAGTGCAGTCATTATATTATATATGCTGTACAAAGAGACGAACAACGCATAAAATATAATATGCCTCATATAAAAGCGCTACCACTTGTGTGGTTAATTGAATGCATAGAAAAATTTACTTTAGTTGATCCATTACAATTAGGTTTACTTAGATTTACTTAAATTTACGTGTGACTTCCGGTTTTATAATGATAACTATTTTATATAACATAATAAATAATATGAATTGTATATTTTATAAAGTAATTATATTATTCTTTATTACTTAATTACGTATATCGTTAAAAATAATACGTGTATTGTTATCGTAATACCCACAAATATTAGTAATAAAATTCAACATTTAAGTTCTGTTCATATTTTTAGAAGGAGTAATGTAATAATTTTGTATTATGATCACTCAGAATTGGCCGTTGCGTAAAGAACGATAAATTCCAAAGGGAAATATCGTACGGTATCCTGTACATTTACGGGTAAAGTACCGCTAGTCGCGTACATATACATATATATGCAGTGGGAAAGAGGGAATGAAAGAAAAAAGTTGGTGGGGAGTAAGAGAGAGGCAAAGAGGAAGAATAGCGCGAACATGGAAAAGGATAGGGAAAAAGAAAAGTTCTAATATAGTCAAGAACAGACAATAAACGAATCAAAAGGTATATAAAACTAAGTAGTTAATTTATTAGAAATTAATTTTACCGAAAGATTACAGAATGCAATAATTATTTTAGGGCTGGCATAAGTACTCAAATATAACAATAAAAAAATAAGTAATTTAACAATAAAATTGACTTCAAACAGTATTACTGATAAATTCAATTAAATTAAAGTTTAATTTTCAAATGTTACCACAAATATAAGAATTATGTATTAAAGATGATGATTAGGGGGCTCCAATTATTAGGTAACGAGTTACGAAGTCCAACAACTTATTTTATTAGATTTGTAGTTTGTATGAATTTTCTTCTTCTAAAAAGCGACTTTGATCAATTTGTTACTACTGTAACTCGTAAAAATTCACATTTTCAGTAACGTTCAAAAGATGCAGATTTTCTTTTAGCCCTTCTTTACTCTTTTTGATTAATTCCCAGTAAGGTCGTCGATGATTCTCTACTTTTCCGCCTTCATTCTTTTTTCTCTCTTTTTTTTTTGATTGATGTAAAAGAGGGGATCCGCATCCTGACCCACAAGTGGGCTCCGGTACCTCTTCAGTCAGTCAGTCAGTCAGTCAAACAAGCCGAACAGGCAATGCGGGTCCGTATAATACCGTGGCTGCCGAACTCGCGGTAAAGTAGTTTGACACGCACGTGTTCGAACCGGGTAACGACACAGTGTATCTTCCTTCCACTGTTTTTACGGTTGCTTTTTAAGAAAAGAAAAGGAAAAATACGGTAAACGAGAAAGATAGTAAACGAGGGAGTTCGAAGATGATACTAAGAACAGTTTCTGGGGGCATCGTCCTTTTCCTCCTACTTAGCGGATCAATTGTTGCTCAGGACGACGATTCCTTGGCTGGTAGTTTCATAACAGGTAAATTAACAATTATATTATTATTGTCCCCCTTACTAACTTCTCAACATTCGAGTATTTCATTCAAATATCATACTCCTTTCTATTCTGTCAACTTCGTATTCTATCTTATTACTTCATGAAGATTTTATTAACTGTCTTCCTTTAAATATAACTTTTAATTGTTGTTATTTCGCTATATTGAAAAAAATCGAGCAGTAAATGCAAGTCTAAACAATATATTTATGCTGATTAGATTATTTAAAATTTTGCTATTGATAATATGATTCAGAAAATTGAATTTGTAAACAGAAAAGAATATCATGTAATAGCGAGAGCTATGGCCGATTATATACTTCTAGTTCGTTGACATTGATCTTGCTATCTTTAATGCATGAATTAAACCGTAACTGGTATTGCGGTAATGGGGTCCACGAACCTCACAGAAATGTTTAAAAATTTACAGATTATTTAAAAAAATCACTTAAAGACTGGTCAAGTTATATTTTAAAAAAATAATAATAATAAAAGTTGTTAGTATTTGTTAGGCTCCACCTTACTAGTTATATGAGTTACAGAACGTCTTGTCGAAAAAATGATATTTGAATTCTATTGCCAATTAACTTTAATGATTAGGTGTTGTCTATAATTGCGTGTGGTTCATTGAAATTTATAGAGAATAGCTGTAAATAAAATCAGTTCGTAGCAGAGGTTTCGAGAAATAGAAATTCGCGTGCGTGAACGTATGCTGTGCACGCTTATATAGGTAGTATCTGGAAGGATGCGACTGTCCCACTTAGGAGTCTCACAACGCTATATGGATAACGCTCAATCCACTGTTGGTGAGAAGGTCGTTGGCAACCTTGAGAAATACGCGTTGGTACACATATACGTAATTAGTAATTGATCTTCGTGTATGATCCCTTATAAATACAAAAAAAAAAATAAAATAAATTTCGTCAATTTTACTACATATTTATGTTCAAAAATTAATTCCTCATTAGCGGGAGCATTTAATAAAAAATAATTATGTTTAGGTTGCTAATTATGATATAACAGTCTCTTATTTTTGCAATCATACATTGGTTTATTAATTTGCTTGAATACCTTGTGACAGGTATTAATAGAATATTCAACTTCTAAAATTTTATAGGAACTTAATCTTATCTTATTAGTCGTTATGTTTTTTTCGGGTTTCCATTAAGTTGTTAGAAAAAAAGAATATTTGCTTTGTCATTTGGCATAAAAAGCAACTAATTAACTGTCACTAAATAATGTATAAATAGAAAGAAATACAAAAATTTAATGAATGATTTTGATTAAAAATAAAGATAAATGTAATTACGAAGAGGAATATATACTAGATCAATATATTAATTAATTAAATAAATTTCACATGTATGTTTATAATTAATTCACAGTGCATTATAAAATCATACGTATTATTATTCCTTAATTATATCATTGTAATTTAATATCCATTCTGGTTCATTAACTTATTTTTTATTTTCCTCAAGAAGTTCAGACAGAAACGTTTCCAATTAAAAATCAAGATTTCATACAATTTTCTATTAAATTAATGTTGATCGTAATTATCTGCAGTGCGGTTGAAAGATTTATTACAGTGATTAAATGTGTGTAAATTTAAGTTTATTATTAGCCTAAGACGATACGTTAGAGCAATCACATGTAATACCCACGATGGCTATACGATGGAGTCGAGCCGTTTAATTAACTACCGTTATGTTTGTTTGGGCCGTTATACTTGCCAAAGTGAAAACAGCTAGAAGTCTATACTATAGTCCGTGCGAATTTCTTGAAGCTCGTTTACTTGTATCGCAAAAGAGCAAGACTCATTGATCACTTTTGCCGAACTTTCATCGATTTCAAGTCATGGCCATTTCATTCACTAAATCTATAATATTATAAAATTTCATATTTAATATAATATACTTATCTTACACACATTTTACATTATGTATCATTCAGGATAATAGTGATATATCTCTAACTTTATTAAAAACAAAATAATATCATATATATTTTACCATTACATTTTTAGTGTCAAACTCTTTATGTAATTTAAATACAAAAGGTTTTTCTATAGAAAGAAGGTTCCCCTTTGGTTTTCTTTAGATTTTACTTAGGATTTACGACCCTCCTTAGGACTACTTTAAACCCTTTCTATGCTCTTTAAGAAGAGCCTAAGGGTTCTCTTCAGGTTCTTCCTAAGCTCTCCTTAGGACCTTTCTAAAATCTATTTAGGCTTTCCTGCAGCTCTTCTAAGACATTTTCCAGGTTCTTTTTGGGTTTTTCTAAAATTCTTCTCCCAAAAGTCCTTTACAGAAATAAATACTTTAAAGATATTTCAGTAACTCTTATTTTTAATCAGAGGTTTGGAATAATAGAAAACTAACAACTTAGTGTATTTTTTACATTTCACTTTCGAACTAAGCGCTTGGATTGAATCTCGTTATTGTCCATAAACAATAGATAATTGTCCACAGACAGTTTGCATTCATTGTCCGTGGATAAATCTTGGTTTGTCTCTTTTTTTAATAACTTTACTAGCGATTAATTGAAACTCAAAATATATCTTTAATTCATTATTAGTCTTACTTGTGTACAAATGAGCTCCATTTAAAAATTTTATTAACTTTCTATCTTTTAATTTTTTTAATAATCAAATTTATTTAATAATAAAAATAATGTCGAAATAGAAATAAAATAAATTCAAGTATAATTGCAATTATAGCAACAGTTTCAACAAAACCAATATCGTATCTTTTTTCTTTATTCTATCTGATAAAATAAAGAAACTGAAACATTGACGAAAAAGAAAGAAAAATCATTTTCGATGATAAAAACAGTTTCAACGGTTCGTTAACTTCTATCTGAGGTTCATCGACTGTCAAGATCAAGTTTAGTCATCCTTGACCATTTTATTTTATAAGTGGAGCATAAGATTACGTATGCAAGAATTTCTCTTGACTCACGGTACCTTCGCACCTGCATTCAATATACAGTTAATGTTGGATTTATGATACACGTGTTATTCATTATAAAAATATCTCACGATAAAACGACATAGTACTATTAAGATATCGTAGTATGTAACACATACATATTTATAGAAACGTAACAGTTTAAGCATACTTACCCTGTTTATCATGTGATGTCCTAATATTTCTTTGTTTAAAATACTTAAAATTATAATTTACTTATTATTGAAATGAAAATTTGTTTCTTAACGAATAGGTAAGATTAACCCTTGAACAGTGGAGTCTGGGTTAATCGAGACCTAATATTTCAAAACATATGAAAGGATATTAACTTAAAGTTTAAACGAAAAAGTTTCATATATTGTTAGAGTAATTTTTAAAGGAACAGTGTAAAATTTAGAAAGACAAAATTAAATTAAAATTGGGTCTCTCTCCATGGCCCGCCGCCTAAGGGTTAATAGTTACATGTATTTTTAATAATTTAGAAATAATTAAAAACTTGAAATATTTAAAAATAAATTGGACAATTAAATCGTAATACTTAATTACAGGACACTGCGATTACCTCTATTATATTCGCCACGCTTTCGTTTCACTTTTCACCCATTTTATTTAAAAGTTTCTTATTTAACAAATCAAAATTAGTTTATTTTTAGTTATTGCTAAAATAAATTGAAAATTTATTCATCATTATCAATCCAATGGTTTCCTATTATACAATGATTATTCTTAATTTTTGAAAGATAAATAATAAGAATATATTCAAGAAGTATTCGAGTAATACAATAAACCTTATTAATTACAATTTTTTCGTACTCCTTATATTTATGCAGGTTTACTAGATTCCATAACGAGCACAGCAAATAGCGCAGATTGTCCAGGTGTGTGTGTACACGCATTTGCAACATTAATATGTTACGAAGTTCTGGAGCACGTGCAATGCCCAGGTAGCATGCGATGTTGTATCGAAGCGCCTATAAATGGTACCGGAACTTCTGAAAATATTTCCAGTGACGATGGTTCAACTTCGACTATGTCCACTACCGTTAAAACAACGACAACAACTACAAGCACGACTACACCGTCGACGACTACAGCATTAACAACCCTGCCTTCAACAGCTTCGTCGAAAGTTACTCCAGTAAGTATGCTAAATTGTAACACTAAACAAGACCAAGTGTTACATTTATAATAATCATTACCATCCTCACTAAGTGGTAGAGCATAAATCTTTAGGAAAAGATAAAAATGAAGATTATCATTAGCTTAATATATTTTATTTATTTTCCAGGATAACCAGAAGGAAACAAATGACAAAGCATCAAGTAAGTAGGATTCTATAATCACACAATTAGGGTGATTTTTTAAATTTCCATATGAATCCATTATCCACATTATTAAAAGTCCTTCATTTATCTAATTAGAAATATTGCAAAAGTAATAGATAAAATTTGTGAAAAATTGAATTATCATTAATAAAATAAAATTTTCAATGCCTACAGTATGATAGTTAATGTGTTAAATCAAATTTCAGTTGATTTCATCTGTGACGAAAATATATTTTTTTTTTTTATATTAAGAAATTGATCTTTGCAGCAAAAGGATGTACTGGAATTTGCATGGCAGAGAGAATAGCCGACTATTGCGATGCCGTTTTAATGATAGACGCTCTCTGCAAGCCAGGATACAAATGTTGCGTGTCTAGAGACGAGTATGGAGAATCACCTCCAGCGGAATTGCTGGTAATTGATCGTACAAATTCAAGTCGTTTCGATGAGAAAACTGGTGTGAATACATCGCACAAAGGTTCTTCGACCCTTGCTACCGTACGACCAAATACGGCTATTTCTACGAGCGTGTCCACGACTATGACTACAACTACTACTGTAACGACGAAACAGCCAACGACGACGATAAGGCCAAAGATTTCTGGCAAGAAACCATGTAAAGGGGAATGCGTCAGTGGATTCTTCGCTCTTCTCTGCGACAAAGTTGATGGAGAAGCTGAATGTCCTGACGATGGATCTTGTTGTGTTATCGATGCGTTCATTAAAACGGTAATTATACGAATCATTTATTTTTATCATATACATGAGCAGCATCAATGATTCAATTTTCTTCTAGTTTGTATTAAATTTTAGGAATAAATAAAATTCATGTTAAGAGAATTGCTATAACTTGGTATAAAATAAAATTGAAATCATTAAAAATATTAGATTTAATGAAACAAAATTGGGGATTAAAGTCAAATAAAGTTGTATGAAAAATTAATTATCAGCGATATTTTTGTACAGCATACACAGGTTTTAAAGTAAAATTAACGTCAATCAATGTAAATTAGCACCTTATAAATTAACATTGCAGTAAATTAGCATGTCGTTGACGGTTCATTCTGAAAAGATGTAAAAATGTAAAGACTGTTCCTTTTGAAGATAGCACTTTTTATTTCTGTGCTTTCACTTATACAAAGTAAAAAAAATAAATAGAAGATAATATAAGCTATTTTTTCAAAAGCTAATTTATACATTATGCTAATTTATGTATTTAGTGTCTAAGATATTATAATGTGTAATACTTTCTTTTAGAACTATGAACTCTATTATAGTATTTTGTAAAATAGGTACTGATTTATTATTTATGTGATCTATAATTAGAAAAAGATCGTAGAGGGGGTTAATTCATTGAATTTTACAAACCAAACTAAATAGTAATGAATTAATTAGGAGACGACAACGACGACGACAGTTCGACCAACCACGAAGCCATCGCAACCAAAATTACAACCCTGTCCAGGATTTTGTTTGTTAACTATTATGGCAGCTTTTTGCGAACGACCGAATGTAATAATACCGAAGACATCGACCTGTCAATCCGGATCTATTTGTTGTGACAACACAAAAACCTCGCCGCAGGTGATTCTATTTCTTTTTTACGGTAGAACCCTTTCAAAGGAACGAATAAGTTGAGGCAAGTAAGATAGTGAACCCTTGTAAAAAGAAAGAAACATTGATATTTAACGTTGACACGTAGAAAATAAACGTAGTGACACCATCTTCTTCGTATCAGACTCCAAGGCCGAGGCCAAGGCCCACGCCAAGACCTGCGCCGATTACTACGGTTTCTTTGCCGCCAGATCCTCGTCCAGAGTGTCCTGGTTCCTGCATCGTTTCTTATTTATCTTTCACCTGTTTCAGTGAGTATTTTTCTATATATTTGTTTGAAAATTTCGGAAGTAGTTAACTGATAAGGAAACCTTTATCATAAGGGTTTGATATAAACGAGACCGGATTAACATTTCTATTATGCCAGTAGATATTACTACAATCTGATACTAAATTCTGATTTGTTTTAATTACCTCTTGTATATTTTTAATGATAAATAATTGTAATTCCCAAAGTTAATATCAAATTTTAATAAATTTCAAATATAACTATAATTTAATTTAAATAAAATAAATCGTTTCGAATATATTTTTAATGAATCTTTTGTTTATTATACAGTATGGTTTATATGATTTATCTTGATAGGAAATGCCGAACTGACAAACTTATTTAAGTGTAAGAAACAACGGCATCAGTGTTGTGCACCAAAGTCATTAATACGAGAATTTAACGAAGGAAATTCTACCGAGCCGATTTCGATTAACAGAAATGATACCATGTATGTCACGACGAAACCGTATACGACATCTCTTGCAACAACAATGTGTAAGTTATAAAACAGTATAGTGAATTTTTTAAAAATAATGTTAAATTGTTCGAAGGATATAGAGGGTTATTGAAAGCTCTGTATACTTATAAACCAGACTGTTCCCAGTCAATTTTATTAATTGTATTACAGAATTATATTACAGAATATAAATTTTTTATTTTACAGACGAAACAACGCCAATGACGACGACCGTCAGAAGTCCAGTTTACAGTAAATACGTGTGTGGTGTAAAGGGAACTTATCGTGGACCAATTCAAGCTCGTAACTTGAACAGAGGAGCGCGAGTTGTTGGAGGAGAAGATGCGGATGCCAATGAGTGGTGTTGGCAAGTCGCTTTAATCAATTCCCTCAATCAATATCTCTGCGGAGGTGCGCTCATAGGGACGCAATGGGTCCTCACCGCAGCACACTGTGTAACAAAGTAAATATTATCACAATTATTTCTTAAAATTACAAATATAAAACGATCATTTCGATACGATAATTTTTCGTAGAAGAAATAAATTACGTTTCGTATAAATAATGAATAACAAATAATTATCTTACAGTATCGTGAGATCTGGAGATGCGATTTACGTAAGGGTAGGAGATCACGACTTGACGCGGAAGTACGGAAGTCCAGGTGCTCAAACTTTACGAGTAGCGACGACTTATATTCATCACAACCACAACAGTCAAACTCTTGACAACGATATAGCGCTATTAAAGCTTCACGGGCAAGCAGAACTAAAGGATGGCGTTTGTCTGGTATGTCTACCTGCGCGAGGAGTCAGCCACACAGCTGGCAAACGATGCACCGTCACTGGTTATGGGTACATGGGGGAAGGTGATTATTCGTGTACAGTATGTAGTTTTAAATTCATAAAATCTAAATTAATATTTAATATATCTTAACAGCTGGCCCTATTCCTCTTCGGGTACGAGAGGCTGAAATTCCAATCGTGAGTGATGCTGAATGCATACGTAAAGTGAATGCTGTAACTGAAAAGATTTTCATCTTACCAGCGAGTAGCTTTTGTGCTGGTGGTGAACAAGGCAACGATGCATGTCAGGTAAGAATCAAATTTATACAGTATTCGAGGCTATCAAATCTCCAAGGGTTCCCTTGATTGATAAATTAAAATTTATTCCAAATAAGATTTTATAATATAAAGTAAAAGGGCAATAGTTTATAACAGAGCTCCCTGGAAAGTAGGGCCCAGAGTTGTAGCTCCCTTTAGATCTACCCTACTATTAACTCTTCTTCTCTACCCTTTATAGAAGGTTCCTATTCTTTCTTTTTTTTTTTATTAATGCATGCTAGGGTGCTAAATGCTCCAGGGTAGCGAAATATGGTTAATATTATCATAATGCCAATAAGGCCCCTATCTTATGTAGGGGTCTAAAGCGTAGATCTACGAGTTAATAATAATTATAATGTTTATATATTTAGGGAGATGGAGGTGGTCCTTTAGTCTGTCAAGATGACGGCTTCTACGAATTGGCTGGACTCGTATCGTGGGGCTTCGGTTGTGGCAGATTGGACGTTCCTGGTGTTTACGTCAAAGTTTCGGCGTTCATTGGCTGGATTAACCAAATTATTTCCGTAAATAATCTTTAGTTTCTTTTTATATATTGTTAATAAAATTGAAAATATTTATTTATTAAGAAATTGTAGTACCTTAACGCGCGCTTGATGTCGTAACAATTTTCTGTTACGTGTCTAGCAACGTGGAAGAAAGTTTGTTTTGATGCATGATAAATGTACGACAAATTCGTGCAAAGAAATTTGTCATTCTGAAATTGTTACAATATTTGTAATATATGTAACGTAAATATTATAGCTTTAACAGTAAAAAATAAATAAATTTTGTAATGACATTACGATCCTAGGTAATTAACATAGTAAACTTCTGTTTATCCATTTTATTTTAATTATCATTTGTTATTTTTAATAAAAAAAGATAATTTAATATTCTAAACCATTTTTAATAAAATGTTATTCTAACAATGTGTTATATTTTTAAGCTGACAAAGTAGCATTCAACAACTATAATCTGTTATTATTAATTTTTCTACATTTAAATGAATTTACATTTTTTACTTTAAATAAATTTGGGAACGGAAGTTTACTATATTGTAATCAGTCGTATGAAATTTCTTAGCATTTAAAAATCATTGATAAAATATACTAAGATTAATTTACAATTTTCTTTTCTTTTGGGGGCAAATAATCGTGCCATCAAGTGCGTCAATTTTAGGTGACAAAGATATCTTTTTATATGGTTTTAATAAAATAATCAACTATTGCTGTAATTATTGGGTCTACCGGGAAGTTCGGTTTCTTAAAAAGAAGAAATCCATAAAACACATAACTTTTCGTTAGATCCAATAATAATAGAGGAAAGTATATACAGTAAGCTACAAAATTAGTTGTACAGACATAAACCTGAAGAAGAAATATAGAATAGAAAGTTATAAGAATATTTTTGTTATTTTAAAATATATAATTTGCATTTTGACGATTTACATTTCATGTATGTTTATAGGATAATTAAAATTTCTTAAAGATTTCAAGGAAATCACTGCTAACACTGCTTTGTATATTATTGCATCGCTCATATGTTTTTAAAATTATAATTTTAAGAATGTTTTATCAGTTAAAAAGTAATAAATTTTTGAATGTGAATATCAAACATAGTCGGTAAGCGTTTTAAATTTATAAAATATTATTGTTAAACGTTATTGTAAAAATTTGTTGTATTACAATCTGAGTATTTTGTATCATTAGAATGAAAGTAATTACATTTTATTGAAACTACAAATCTTTTATTAAAAGTGCGATTAAAAATTGAAGACAATTATTATGTAACACTTCAATTTCTCTCAAATATCCAAAAATTCCCTCTCCTAATACATTCACAGTATATGTCAATATGCAAAAGAGTATTGCCGGTGTTAAGGGGGCCCTAACACCCCAGATACCATAATGTCGGTACGCAGAGTATCACCAGTACTTCGGGGTCCCAGGCACCCCAGATGCCATAATGTCGGTACGTAAAGAGTATCACCGTTGCTTCGGGGTCTCTAATACCCCATATACCATCATGTCGGTATGCAGAGTATCACCAGTGCTTCGGGGTCCCAGGCACCCCAAATGCCATAATGTCGGTACGTAGAGTATCGCCGTTGCTTCGGGGTCCCAAGCACCCCAGATGCCAAAATGTCGGTACGTAAAGAGTAATACCGATGCTTCGGGGTCTCTAACACCCCAGATACCATCATGTCGGTACGCAAACAGCATCACCAGTACTTCGGGGTCCCAGGCACCCCAGATGCCGTAATGTCGGTACGTAAAGAGTATCACCGTTGCTTCGGGGTCTCTAACACCCCAGATACCATCATGTCGGTATGCAAAGAGTATCATCAGGGCTTCGGGGTCCCTAACACCCCAGATGCAATAATATCGGTATAGAAAGAGTATCACCGGTGCTTTGGGGTCCCTAACACCCCAGATGCCATAATGTCGGTATGCAAAGATTCCCACCGGTGCATGGGGGTCCCTGATACCCCAGGATGATATCAGGCCCGTATGTAGAGAACACAACCAGCATAATAATCATCCTCTAATTTCTTTCCGGAGTTTACATAATTTACTTTATTTATTTTCTTTGCTTATTAATTAAACTCATCGAAGGGGAATAACATTTATGATTGCATCCCTCTCCATGGGCTTCGGCTCACACTTTCCAATTATTTATTATTTTTTTTGTCTTTGCGAGTCCCATGGGGCTCAGCCCTATATCTCTTGTATTCTTGCATCCCTTACATGTAGACATCCTTTAAATCCCAGCAACCCTTATATATAGACATCTTTGAAATCCCAGTAACCCTTGCATCTCTGCAGCTCTTACATTCCTATATCACTTACATCCCTGTACCGCTTACATCCCTTCCTCCTTTACATCCTTGAATTCCTTAGATCTCCGCATCCTTTATATCTCTCCATCCCTTATGTCCTTGAATTCTTTGAATCCTTGCACCCATTACATCACTGCATCCCTTATATGCCTGCAATCCTCATATCCCTACATCTCTTGTACCCCTACAACCCTTATAATAAATATATTACAAAAAATGGTTCGAGTAAAGGTAAGTAAAGGTAAGTAAAATCTTGTACAAATTTAGTTCCTTTTTCCGAAACAAGATGGCGCTGATCGGACGTTGAAATTTTAGTTCACATTTTTGCCGCCAGAGGGACAAAAATGGTGCATGATTTAGTTCCTTTTTCCGAAACCAGATGGCGCTGATCGGACATTGAAATTTTAGTTCACATTTTTGCCGCCAGAGGGCCAAAAATGATGTGTGATTTAGTTCCTTTTTCCGAAACCAGATGGCGCTGACTCGAGGTCGAGATTTTAGTTCACATTTTTGCCGCCAGAGGGCCAAAATTTCGGCGTGCTTTAGTTCCTTTTTCCGAAACCAGATGGCGCTGACCCGAGATCGAGATTTTAGTTCACATTTTTGCCGCCAGAGGGCCAAAATTTCGGCGTGCTTTAGTTCCTTTTTCCGAAACCAGATGGCGCTGACCCGAGATCGAGATTTTAGTTCACATTTTTGCCGCCAGAGGGCCAAAATTTCGGCGTGCTTTAGTTCCTTTTTCCGAAACCAGATGGCGCTGACTCGAGGTCGAGATTTTAGTTCACATTTTTCCCGCTAGGGGGCCAAAATTTCGGAAAAATGTAAGGGATGCAGAGATGTAAGAGATGCAGGGGTATAAGGGAAACAGGGATGTAAGTGATACAGGGATGTGAAGGATATAGGGGTATAAAGAAAGCAGGGATGAGAGGAATGCTGGGATGTAAGGGAGACAGAGATGTAAGAGATACAGGGATGTGAAGGATGTAGGGGTATAAAGAAAGCAGGGATGACAGGAATGCTGGGATGTAAGGGAAACAGAGATGTAAGAGATACAGGGATGTGAAGGATACAGGAGTATAAAGAAAGCAGGGATAAGAGGAATGCTGGGATGTAAGGGAAACAGAGATGTAAGAGATACAGGGATGTAAGGAATGTTGAAATGTAAATAATGCTGGGATGTGAGGGGTGCAGAGATGTAAAGGAATCAGAGATGTAAAGGATGCACACAGTAGTAATACAATCAACACGTTCTTCCTCCTAAACGAGTTTATTCAGTGTGCTAAGTAGATAAATACAGCAAGAAATAAAGGTATATGTATGTTTAGCAGGTAGATCTGCACCCCTTGACGGTCGCTGTAAGACTGAGATGATGGTGTTTCACTTCGCTCTAGGTCGAACGGTTGATAACGGTGCCGCCGCTAGCTACTTTTACTCGAATCAGTGGCTGTAAATATTTTTTTTTTTTTTTTATTAACGTGGGGAAATCTTACATAAGACCCCTCGCCGTCCCCTGGGGGAGGGCGGCGGGGGAGTGTCAGATTCCTACTGACTAAAACCCCACGGCGACCGTCTCTGGTGCTAAAGGAGGGCTCCGGAACTGTATTAGGACCCCTCCGCGCTTAGCAGACTGATGTCCATCCTGGGTGCCTAGCGTGTGGTCGACACCGGGGGTCGCACCCGATGCCGGCCTTCCCTCGGACCGCGTGCAAAGGCGTCTGGAGCCCCCACTCCCAACGCCATTGGCTTTTGATATCGATAGCAACATAACTAATTATTTTAACAACGGACTTTCGAATCGAGCTTATTATTCATCGATCTATTTGTTTCCCTCGGAGGGTAATTAAAGGGTGCGTCTACTCACCCTTTACCGGCGAGGGTGGCGTATTCTAGGAAAACAAACAGTTTATCTATCTATCTATGTCTCCTGTGAATTAGGCATAATGCCTGCTAACTCGTGGTATCATACTTAGCGTGTTCGACGGTGTTCATACTAAGATAGAGCAGATGGCGTTTGTCTTGGGGCAAAAAGTTCAAGACCCCTTTGAAAACAATGGCATGTCCAGTCTTGTTGAATCTGTAGTCACTGCTATAACCCATACGTAGAATTATGGCTGAATTAAAATCCGCTATTTGGAGCCTTTCTTCTAATTTTGTTGCAAATAGATATTTTTCACGTTTATTAACGTAAGTAAATACTAAATCAAATTGTTTGATCTTATCTGAAGCTATTTCAAAAAGAAGAATCACCTGATTTTATAAATCAAATGTAAAATTTATTAAGGTTTGAAGTATAATGGAAAATTGAGATTTCTATTGTATTTAATGATTAATATATTCTTTGTACGTTTCTAAATAATTGTAATATTATGTTGTCAAGAAATTTCTATACAATATCTATTGACATGTGATTGTTTTAAAGCAGGCAATTTTGATTTGTAGTTCTCACTGGTATAATGTATCTGCAGTTTCGTCGTTAAATAAAATGTCAACGGAGGCTGCTGTTAAGGCCGACAATGATATCGTTATTACAGATAGCTGTGTTAAACGTTTAAAAGAAATTACTGATGATAAAGGTTATTTAAGAGTTACAGTAGAAGGTGGAGGATGTTCTGGTTTTCAATATAAATTTGATTTAGATGAAAACATAAATGAAGATGATAAGTAAGATAACATATTGTAAATAATTTATATGTTTATGGCATTGTTATTAAAAATTAATCAGATGCATTATGTTACAGAATATTTCAAAAGGATGGTGTCAAAGTGGTGATAGATTCAACATCTTTAGAATATATTAAAGGAGCAACGATAGAGTATCATACAGAATTAATACGTTCCGCGTTTAGAATAACTAATAATCCTTTAGCTGAACAAGGTTGTAGTTGTGGCTCTAGTTTTTCTATTAAAATTTAATAAATTAATGAATTTTCATGTTTAGTAAATTCATATGCAAAGTAATTTATCTGTACTATCTTTTGTTATAAAATAATTGCGAATAGTTTGTTCATATTTTTTCTAAAGAAATATATATTTTACTTCAGTTAACTATAGTTTCACAGTAAGTGTGAAAGAATATTTGTATATCAGTATGCTTAATAATATTTATTTATTATACAGGGTGCCTTAAAGAGATTTACACCATATATATTGCAGATTCTACATACTAAAATGAATCCACAGAGTTCATCATTTTGCAATCTGTGGTTTAATTTTTAAAATATTTCAAGATCTGAATAATTAAAACTTAGGTGTTTAACATTTGGGGAACTGTTTAAACTTTATGCATGAAAGTGTGTCTATGCTGAATTCCATGTATGAGTGTGAGTCTCTACTTAAACGTTAGATTGCAAAACGATGAACGATCTTTCGATTTATTTCGTTATGAAAAATTTGCAGCTTTCAGGATATACATCTGTTTTGTAACATCCTGTACAACAAATAAAGTATAAAGAAAAATTTTATTTATAGGGAAACGAACTGTATAGTGTTGTAATGAAGTGACTAAAATATGTATTTTACGAGTCTGCATAAGATGTGTTATTTATGTTATAAATGTTCAGACAATGGATGTTAATAATAATTTTTACTTTTATTTCATATACTAAACAGATTCCAAAATCGTTTTAGTATATTAATTAAAGTATGATTAAAATTGTAATTACTATTTACCACGTGTAAGTTTCATATGTACATAAAATTAAAGATATTGATAGTTCTGATTAAAGTATGTTGCTGTTGGAATGTTATTAGTTATTCATTAACAACCTGATCTATATCACTTCTGTTTGCCTTTCTTACTGTTCTGAAAATTATAAAACGAAATGCTGAATATTTGAAATATTAACATTTACATCTAAAGTAAACATTTACCTTGCTTGCAAGTTGAAATTTTAATTGTTGGATTTCTTCTGTTTGTGAAATAAGCTTTTCGTTCATGATGGCAAGGTGTTCACTCATAGTACTAAGTTGAGCTTTATAATTTCCTTCTTGTGTTTCTTTATCTTTTTGCAAAATATTACAATTAGAAAGTGCCTCTGAAAGTGCAGATTCACACTTCTCCCTTTTTGATTCACACGTGTCTAAATGAACTTGCATAACTTCGGTCTAAAACATGTTTGTTCAATAAAACGTGTAATAAAAAAATGGGAAAGCTTTTGTTAACACGTTGACCATTGAGAAGGGGTCATTTCTATTAAGCATTCTTCAGTTAACTTAATTTAATGATTAAACAAAGAAAAAGAAACAATTTACATTGTAACAGTCAACATGTTAAATAAAAAAGTAAATAAAAATATTTAATTACATTGGCAGCCATAGCTAAATTTTTCACATGGTATATATGTTTTTCCGATATTAACTTATCGATCTCTTGAAGAAAATAATCTCTGATTTTTGCTTCCCGAGCTTCAATTTCTTCTGGTATTGCAAAAGGTACGGTTAGTCTTCCGATCTGTTATCAATACTTATTAATTAGATAATGTAGAACAAATATTTCTGTAAAATGATTAGAATAAATATTACCATATGGTTTATTTCTGCAGGTTGCAACGATTCATTCTCGAGTTGCAACTGTTTCAAGCATTCTGTTTGTTCTATTTCATCATATTTTATTTTAAGTATGTGATACTGTGATTTCCAATAATTCATTTCTTTTTCTAAGTCACAAGATTTTGAAAAATCAAATTCATTATTTTCTTCTTGTACTTTATGAGGACGACCTTCGCCAAGAGATTTTGATGATCGACGTGATGCTAATGGCGATGAAAATGGAGATGGTTCTAGTTGAGAATGACTAGAATGTCCTACTCTAGTATCAAATTCATATCCATCTCGTTTACCTTCATTACTAGACCATGATACAGTTTCCTCTTGTTTATGTCTATCATTTAATCTTTTTTGTAATTCGTTTCTTTCTCTTTCTAGTTTGTCTATAGTATTTTGATACTGGCATTTTAATTCAATTTTAGATTTTTCACTATGATCTAATTTATATTCTAATTGCTGTATTCTTTCATTTAGAGTTTCAATTTCACTATCTTTGTCACTGATTTGAGATAACAATTGAGCATTTTCAACTATTTTCTTTTGAAATTCTTCATTCAAGATGTGATTTGGTGGTGGAGATGGTGATAATTGACTATTACTTTCAGATAATTTATTCTTTCCTTTCTTAGATTTATTTTGTACTTTATCCAGCTCTTCTTGTAATACGGTTATACGTTTGGTCAGTTGCTGATTTCGAAAGGATAAACTGTCTAATTCTTGTTCTGCTCTTCGAAGTTCTACCTCTTTCTCCTTCAGCTGTTCTCGAATATCTGCATTACGTGCTTGTTCATCAATCACAGCCTTTTTTAGAACATTTGCTTGAGCACGAATCTAAAGGACAAAACATTTTAGTTAGAGGACTATGATGAACACTTGATAGATATTAAATTATAGAACAGATTAAGAAGAAACATACTATTTTATTACAGAGATTATTTAAAAATTCTTATACTGGGATATGTGGGATATTACTTACTTTTGAGTATTCAGTAGCAATCTTTTGATATTTGGTTTGCAGCTGCCCATTAACACCCTCCATAATGCTATCCACTGTTGATTCTGCTGCTTCCAAAATGTTTATAATTTATTACGATTATTATTAAAGAATATTCATTGTTATAACATCCACTGTAACACAGTATTTCCGGACAACAATTGTATGCATACTAGCACCTCCAACATAAATGTCAACGTCAGTAACAAATGTCTTAATAATTATGACAATTCGAAGAACAAAAAACCATATGTTTATATACTAAATGAAATTTCATGAATGAAAAATAGATTCCAAAAACGCCCCCAAATACGATACACTTTTCCATGAAATTCTATATTCGATGCCTAATAATCGTCAATTGTCAAGGTATCCTAGTGAACAGAAGTTAGTTAGTCGATTTTTGAGTTTTCGTTGATAAGTTATCAACTGAAGATAAAGATAACAACATTTTCTACCTTGACGATAGTCGGTACATTACCAACATATGGTTCAAGGTATCTTCTTTTATTACAGTTGATAAAAATTACATTTTTTAAATTACAAACAAGATATACAGTCTATCCAACGAGACGAGACAGTAAATGTGTATAAATTCACATTTATACACAAGCAGTGATCTTCTATTGAAGTATCTCAATAACTTTTTATACAGAATAAGAGGATGCAGCAATTGACATACAAAGCATTTACAGAGTTTCAAAAAAATTTTTTCAAATTGGAAAAGCCTATCTCTCCTTAAGATCAATTAATCAATTTTCGGTACAAGTGTCTCCGATACTCTTATGAAAAATAACAAAATACATCGATTGACGTCAGGAGAAGCATCTAGATCTACTAAAATTTTCCAATTACTTGTTGTATGTGGTGAAACTTTTAAATTTTCTGTGAAAGCTATTTACAGTAAAATATATAGACAGGAAGGCGATAAAACGGTATGGATTACTTCGTTAAATGGTAGTAATTTATTGAGTTCGGATCGAAGGATCATTGTTCTTGTTACCTTTTCCTTTTAACCCCTTATTCGTTTTCTCGCTCTTTGTCTACGGGCACATTGAACATTTTCTTTCGAAGGGACGGCGAAGAGGGATGCGTCGTATTTGTCGGTGGATACAACGGCTTCGCCGTAGCTTGTGCTTGCTTTCTGAATACGTTTTTCGTCCGCAACTCTACCGAGTGAGGCTACTATCTTGTCAAGCGAACCAGCCGCTGGAGCTGCTCCCTTTTACTCCCTTTTCTGTATCTATCCGGAGAAACGTATACGTATAACCTCGCATTAGTCACGCTCGTTGGAGCTTCTTTCTTAGTGAATCTCTCCATCGTAGACGCGACTGGCATTAACTAGGTCGGCTACGACTTCAAGTAAGCAGAGACAGAAGATTATGCCTCTTTCTGATCTTCAGGGACCATGTCCCCTTCGAACTTACCTTACTACCCTCCACAGAAAAATGAAAGTAGCCAGATTGAACGAGCTGGCTCGATATGGTGTTTTTCTCTTGGTAACAGGATTACGTGGTTATTGAGCGAAACATCTTTTTTCCTTTCTCATAGAATTTAATCTTTTTACATTTTAAAAATTCAAGGATTTATCAAAAAATTAAATCACAATAGAATTTTTTATTTTCAATGAATTATTGTCTGATTCAGCATTATTTGTGGTACATGCTAGCTTTCAATTTTTAATAATTCAATTGAAATTGACTAGCTAAAGGATTTCAAAACGGTCTGCATTCGTGATATACATATAATGTGACCGGAAGTGCAATAAACGAGAGTACCAGATGGCTAGTTGTAGAGGCTTTCGTGAAACAATCGCAACGTTTTGGAAGCCTACATAGTAGGACTCTCGTGAAACAGGTAATCAAAGTTAGAAGCTGTGCTCGTATTTGTTTAGTTTGCCAGCACGTATATACGGTTGCAGTTGGTAGATTGCATCTCACATATTGCTCTGAGTATTTATCGCCCAACGATATAACCTTTTTGCATTTGATTCAGTTTCTGTACGTCGTATAATATTCATTTAAAAACTGCAAATTCTGCTGATATCGAATGTCAGCTTATTAGTCTTTATTTCAATTTTCCTAATTAATTTAATGCGATTAATTTTTATTGAAATTCAATAATCTGCTGAAGATTCTTATAATCAAACTTTTAATATTAATTATTTTTCAAAACATTTTTCATTTGATACTTAGACAATAATGTATTAAAAAATGTTTTACTTAATTATAATTCAAACGTACCACCATAAAAAGGCCACGGTCTAATATTTTTGCACACGAATGTTGATATAAAGCAAATAGTGAGAGAAAAGAGTTGCAATTCACAATGTTGCAAATCGGATAATGTACTCTTGAAGGGGTAAATTCGCATTGGCTTTCATTGATTTGTCCGCGAGCTGACGGTAGATAAAGAAAGATGGTAAATCTGATAGAATCGAGGTGACGAACGTGCAATGGGGTGCGGAAAGCACCGGAGAGATTCCAAGCTGCAATCTTTTGTACCGTCCCTTTTCCGGTGCTCGTCGTCGTTACACAGAGCTTTGTAATTTTAATTATTTCATTAGTGGAAATCCTTCGAATATACAAAGGAGATGCAGCGTAGAAGGTGAACTGCCGTTGTTCCTCTAACTCAAGGGAATTTCGTCGACGTCGTCGCCATTCTACATCAGTTCTATTTTTCTTAAGGAGGACGTTTTCCCTCCCTCGTTCGCCGCTACCTTTTCTCCTTCTTTATTTTCAGATTTCCCGTAGTCTGCAATTTTACCAGTCCACCGATCGATTAAAGTCTGCCTTCGAATTTTAACACCGATTTGAATTACTAATTCCGACCGGCCGCAAATTAACTTTTCACTGTCTTACATTACAATCAAAGCAGCAATTCTTTCCAATGAAACTTTAATTGCGATAAATTACATTATTCCTTAGCGAGGTGTTTTAACAGTATTGAAAATTATATAAATTTATTATGATATAAGGTGATTAAACTACCAATTAAACATCTTTTATTTTATTTAAAATTTGTTATTATGTTTTGTTACGTTTACCTCAAAAATGCAATGTTATTTCTTAGATATTGATTTTTGGAGGTGTTGTTCATTGCATCGTATATTGAATAATTGCAACAGATTAAGCGACAGTATAACAAAGCAGGATTTATTAGATTCCCCATGTTCGCGACGAAATGGTACAACGTAGAATAACGATGCTTATCGCAGTGATAATAGGAGATACGCGGCTGTCGCGATATTAGTCTGTAATAAACCATAACGTAGACAATCAAATACACGACACCTAACAAGGGCCAAGTACCTACCCTCCGTGTACAACGGTCGCGTGGTGCACCAGTAATTTAGGTACCATTGGTTTGGTCAATAGCCAATTCCTATTTGGCTTAGATCCAAGGGGTCAAACAAACCGGTCATGCCGCGAAGGGTAAAGAACAGAGCTTAGAAATCCCCTTGAGCTTAAGTTTTCTTCTACGACATTCTTCTTTGATGCATAAGCTTACTGTTGAGTGTCCTATCCTCCATAGCTTATACGTTTACACAGTTGTAGTCAGAAGAGGATTAATAATCCTGAGGCCATAAAATAGAAATGAAATTAAAAATTTTCATAATTATAGTAGATTTCATATTTAAAAATTTTTTGATATAATAAATGGAAGACTTTGAAGGGTGTCCATAGATATAGCCTTCTTTAGATTCTTCCTAAATCGGCACTGGGTGTAGGATTTTATAATTTAAATTATGAATGAATGCTTTAAATGATGACATCGAAGAGATCCACTCCTTTGTTTAGCTTTGAAATCGTTTACATTGAGAAACGTTGATACATGAAATAATGAAAACCTGAAGAGCAATCGTCGAAACGAATGAACGAGGGTACCATTGTTTGATTCATTCGATTTTCATCTTGGCGAAGGTAAAAGGGAATAGAAAAGGAAAACGTTTGAGAGATCGTTCGATTAAACTACCCAACCTCATTTCGCTCGAACGCACGAATGTCGTTAACGAATTTCGTTAACGACTCGTGCGATCCTGTCGTCTCGCGAGATTGCTTCCTAGCCCAGTTCAGGCTACGATCGGAGTGATTTCCCAGCAAAATAGAGAACGTGCTCCCCCACCAATTCCAGCCGTGACAACCCTGCTACTCGATATTTGCATCGATTTCAAAATACTGAAGTACCTACTATCGAAATTCTGTCGGAAATTTATATATCCCTTCTCTGCTTACGTTAGAGCGAGGATGGTAATATGGCCTCTCAATTTGATAGATAGAAAAATAATCTCAAAAGTATGCCAACTATAACTTTTGAATGGATCGATTTCTAAAGTTAAAATTTATATTTTTCAAAGAAGTCAATGATTTTGTGATCTCATTCGTAATTCAAGCTGCTTCAAATTCTAACTTAAATTCAAATGGAAGAATAATTCAGGGAATTATCTAATCGATGGTGGATGATATATTTTCTCGATCACGGTCTGAAATATCAAGCACCACTGCCCCCTGTGAAACGAGCCACCTATATTATTTGCTATGACCCAGGAACACGGTATCAAATCATAAACAAATATCCCAGTAACGAGAAGCAAACAGTGCGTTCACGGGACAGCTGAGATGGTAGGTACCTACTAGGTAGTAATGGTAGGTAACCAAAAGGGATGAATACAAAAGGAGACAAGAACGGCGTGGTATTGCGAAAGAATGGAAAAGAAGAATAAACGATAGAAAAAAAAAAATGAAAATTACACTATAGAAACGATAGAAAAATTTCATGATAGAAGGAGATATGTTACCTGACCATATGGGCAGACATATCAGAATCTTTAATAATTATGAAACAGGATAAACCTTACCAATTTCAGTAACCCTGAACACCACTGTTCCTAAGTCTATGGGGTTCAGTCTAGGAAGGTGTCAATTTACCATCAGCCACGTGCTCCTCCTTTCCTGTGGGATGGAGGTAGAGTGTATGTGCCCTTTGTACACATATAGAGCGAGTCTCTTCATGGAATTCCGTGGACATGGAATTCCTTGAATGTGTTGTGGCTGAAGGGCCACGTTCACTGAAACGTGGACGTCTGGATCGCAAGGTTTTCAAGGTGTTACATAGTACCCTTACCTCAAGAGACTCCTGATGTTCCCTTTATAGATCCTCCCCTTTATAAATAGGAGATGTGGACCAGTGATAGAGGTGTCCAGATTCCTTTATAACTAACAAGAATGTTGAATAAATTTGACTTGTCAACCACTTTTTTATGTATCGTGAAAAATGACGTTATTCTCTGTATTCAGCTTCCTGAAATGGAGATAAAGGAAAGAGATGTGTAAAGAGGAGACATGTAAAGAATCAAACAAAAATAGACCAATCACCAAAGAGACGAATAGACAGATGCCAAAGTACGGTGCAAACTGGCAGATCGCATACTCTCGCTTATTGTGCCTGTCTA